ATGAGTTTTTTTTTAAATAGACAAACTTAATATGTTATAAAATTTTATTTGAGAGATGTAAAATAAAAAAATCAATTAAAAAATTTCTAACCACAATTCTCCATTTTCTTTAAGATTGAGGTCACCAAAATTTAAAATCCTACCTCCCAATTATTTTCTTTGATCCAAAAAAATTATAAAAATTAATAGAAGTTAAATTATGAATAAATATTAAGTTGATAATTTTATAAAAATAATAGTTTATAGAAAGTGTGAAATAAAATTGTATATGTGGTTAAAGATAAATAATTATAAAAAAAATTAACTATATGTTTTTATTTCCCTAGCATATTTGTAATTAAAAAATAGAAATAGACAATAACTTGTTTTTTTCATAAAATTTGTTATCCCATATATAATCAAATATAGACAATAATTTATTTTAATCTATAAATTGTTATAGTCATGTAAATTAAAATTCTAAAACATATATGTTGTTTTAGAATATTTTTCTTTTAAGTTGCATGAACATCTTATTTTATTTTAGTATTGGCTATATACAATAAAAGGGAGGATAAAAATTATTTTTCATTAGGAGAGTTGTTCACATTTAATGCTTAATTGTACCTCAAATATAATTACTTCTAACAGGAGAATACTTATTACTAATTAAAAAGTAGATAAAAATTTATTTTATTCTCACACAAATTATTTTAAAATATGATATCATGTGCATACAAAAAATATAAACATTTTTTATATGTGATCTCCACATAAATTAAAATTTAAAAAACATATTTTGGTTAAAAAGTTATTACTTGAAAATATAAATAAAAACTTATTTTATTTAAGAATTTCTCATACTTGTGCATATAAAAAATGTAAATAACACACTTTTTTTATATGTTTATCTAACTAAGTCAAATTTGAGTATTTTTTAACACAATTTAAAATAGTTCTTTCAAAAATAATTTTACATTCACACAATTTTTTATTATAGAATTTTTTACCGTTTCATCAACTTATTTTATTATATAACTTGTCATTTTGTATATATTAAAAACATAAATGAAATTTTATAAACAAAATTTATTATCCTTACACTTTGTTATTAAAATTTAAAAGTTAAAAATTAAATTGTAATAAACAAACAATATATTAAAAATACTATCATTCAATATATATTATAACTCATTCTACTTTATAATTTATTATCTAATACATATTGGAAAAGGGATGATAAAATTTGCTCAATAATAATTTAGTCTTTTAAGTTTGACTCAATAACAATTTAGTTCTTTAAATTTGCTTCAATAATATTTAGTCCTTCAAATTTATTGTTTGAAGAAGAAGTAATATATTGTTAAAATTTGCTAATATAGATAAAAAAAATATTGAATTGATAGCCACATAAATTAATAATAAAATCAAATTGACTTGAAGGAAAATTATTCTTACTTAGCCATGTGTAATAGGTCAGGTTATCAGCATAATTTATATGTCAGAATAATTTAAGGGTTAATTTTTCTTTAAAACCTACAAGATTAAAGTAACAATTTAAGAAAACATGAGAAATTAAATTGATAAAAATTAAACTTAAAAAAATTAATTAATAATTAAATAAATTTGAGGGACTTAAAATTTTATTTTCTTTTTAAAAATAAACAATGTACTTTATTTTAAAATTCATTACCCATAGATATTAAATATATGAGCACCAACTTATTCTAGTTTAAAATTTATTGTGCAAGATAACAAATTAAAAATATATTTTATGTGTAAAAATAAGTAATTTATTTTATAAAAATTTGTTTTATTCTATAATTTATTTTTCTGTGCATGTAGGCCTAAATTTCAATGGATGTAGACTTGAATTTTTATAATTTCTAAAAATTAAATTTATAATTTTATTATAAGTTTTTAATTTACATTTTTATTACATGTTTGACATTTAATATTTACAACCACATTTACAATAAAAAAAAGTAGATAGTGTTGTATAATAAAATATCTTACAACAGTCAAATTAAATTAAAGAGTTATTATCATATCATATGTGACACTTGTTAAGTGATAGAATTTATTTTAGCCATTAAATCCAAATATGATGTATCTCAAAATATTACTATAGTTCTATCATATATAATTCATTGAAAAATTTACTATATATTTCCTCAATTTTTAAATATAAGCAAAATTTTTATATGGTTTGTTGTTATTTTTTATAAGAAAAAAATAATTTTTAAAAAATTATTTATGATATATTTTCTTAACTACTCTTCATTAAATGATAGTATCATTAAATTAGAAAAAAATAAAATATTAATCACAAGTACATCTTAATCAAAAATTTTTAATTTAAGGGATAATTATTAAAATTAACCAATTCTTTAAACTATATGAATTGATTAAAATTTACTTATATATAAAAATGGTAAGTTGACTGATTTAAATAATAAAATATTCTATTTTATAATTTATCATTTAAATTTGTATATTATATACAATTAATTTTCTTATACGCATACAAAATACAAGCAATAGATGATAAATCTTTTTCCTCCATGCTTGATCCTCTTTTCTTCATTTTCTTCTCTATTTTCCACGAGCTACCATGTCCCATTTTATTTGATTTTTGTGCCATGTGTTGCTACACATCTAGCCTTAGCTGTAGTGTATGGCACAATGAGAAAAATTCTCACTATACTCATACGTTCTATTTTGAGATGCTGTTCTTTTACTCTTATCTATTCATATAATATCTCAATGAGTTAATACAACATTCAACCATTCAAAACTCTAATATCACATTAAATTACTAATTCATTCCTCAGTCAATTAGTAATGTAGGTTTAAAAATTTGAAATGTTATATAGCACATTTAGTTTACGAGTTATCATTGATCCATAAAGTAGGACGTTTTGTAATTTTTAAAAATTGTCTTTGTGTTAATTAATATGCATGATAAATTGTAAGTGTTAGACTTGGATAAGAGTAGAGTTGGAAAAAAAGTTAAATTTTTATAAAGTAAAAAAATTGATTAATACTCCCTTCGGTGCAAAATATAAGTATTTTTTTTAATTATCATACTAATAAAGTTCTCATTCTCATAAAAATATAAATTATTTTTTTATTTTTAGCCCTAGTCTTAATTGCCAATACATTCTATGATGAATGAGATATATTTATACAAATATCTATGTTAATAAATATAAGTGGTAAAATAATTTTTTTTATATGTACTAGATTACTTATATTTTAAATTAATATTAATTAAAGAATATTTATATTTTGAATTGGGGGGTATGTACCATGAGGGTAGAGTTGAAGGGGGTATTAAATTTATGGCAAAACTATGTCTAATTTTGACAGGAAAAGCTGCATTCTTAGCCAATTGTAGGATAGTTTCAAATGAAAACAATCATCATAGTTTCCCATGAACATCAATTTAATGGTTTTATGATGTTTCTTTTCTGGCTACTCACAGGGTTTCCTTCCAAAAAAAAAGGGACAATGTTAACCAAATCTATTTTCCAATTTTGATAATATTACATTCATACATGGACTGTTTTTGCCTCAATAGGAAGATAAATTAACAGATGACAGTCAATTTGGTACTTAATCCCGACACTGGAGAAAGGGGAAAAGTTGAATTTGCAGAAAAAGTTCGTAATTTTTGGTTTATTCTTTCGCGGGACAGAAATTAAAATTAAAATGATGATGCAATGATCCACGATATCAGGAAATTGAAACAAAGATTACTGCAATTAATCGAAAAAGTATTTTACTTAAATCAATATATTTTGACTAAAAAAATATTCCTAAGAAAAACATAAACATATTGAAGTACAAATATGAATATTTGGTCAATTATTTAAATTTCCTTGGATTCTTGCTTCCATTCAGAAAATTTAGTATGCTTTCATTTTCCAAATTAGCACAGATGAATATATAGAAAGTAGCTAATACAAAATATGGCTTACCATTAATATTTTTATTCGTTATATATTTTTCGATGTAATTATTTGATATTGTGTATGTTAAGTAAATTTAAGTATTATTGAACCTAATTACAATAACATTTTAAATATATCTTATAATATAACAAATTAATATTTGAATCTCTCTAAAAAAATATGTCTACATTTATTATTTGATCATATTTTTAACACTATTGTCTCAATTAGGAAAACACCTATGATTAATAGAAAACAATTTTCTTAATGTAATTTTTTTTTTCAATCCTCAACAGTCAAATTATTTACTCTAGAAAATGGAAGCAAAGCTTTTGATTTCAACCACTTATTAGTTTTACATGTTATATTAACTAATGACATATCAACATTGATTTTTATTAATTATTAATTAACAATAAAAGTCCTGGCAGCACTATCGTCACTGGTCAAAGGAGTTGTTCATATATTACATAAAAAATAATATAATATGGGTTATAGATACATGTCCTGCATGGCGGAGTTCATCGTACTTCTATGGTGAGTGAGGCGAATGAGAGAAACTGTTTTTATTTTATTATTTTAAAAATTAATATTTTATAAAACATATTTTAAAAATAAAAAAATAATAAAAATAAGTATTTTTTATTATTTTTTTAGAATAATAATCACAAAATATTTAAAAATTATCTTCATTTTTCTATTTTTTAAAATAATATTTTATTTTTTTATTCTATAAAATATTTTTTGAAAATATATTATTAAACAGATTTTTTTATTCTTTTATTTTAAAGAATGAAAAGCTGTTTTTAAAATAGATTTTCAATGCCACTGGCAAAAACTGCAAATCCCCTTAGTTACCTCTGGCATTTTTTATTTTGAATAATTTATTTAATAATAGTAATGATGATTTATGATGCAGTATTTTCTAATGTTTTTACTTTTTATCCATTTGTTCAGTAGTATACACCCAGGTGCGACCTGGATGTACTACGTAGCGGTTTGTAGCGAGGTGTGCGTTGATTAATGGATCAGGGTTCACTACAGCCAGAAGCGACATAAATAGCATCATTGCCTATAAACCCAACCACCACCCACTCGCCACCGGATCATCGTTCCTTCCAATAAGCAGCCTTCTTCTTCTTCTTCTTCTTCTTCTTCTTCTTCATGGAGCCTAATGGCACCACCACCAACTACAGGTCGCATTGCCTCCAAATAAGCATGGAAGAAATTCACAAGGTGGTGGCACCGCCACGCAGGACCACCCTGGAGAAGCTGAGGGCCAAGCTGAAGGAAATGTTCTTCCCTGACGACCCTCTTCGCCAATTCAAGGGTCAGCCATTGAGGAAGAAGCTGGTCCTTGCAGCCCAGTATTTCTTCCCTATCCTTCAATGGGCCCCCAATTACAGCCTCACTCTCTTCAAATCCGACATCGTTTCCGGCCTCACCATCGCCAGCTTGGCCATCCCCCAGGTTAGTGAACAGCAACTCAGATTCTGATACAGTTAGACATTCCTCCGTGCGTCCGCTCATCAGTACCTCTGTTTTATCCTCAGGGAATCAGTTATGCTAAGCTAGCAAGCCTTCCTCCAATTGTGGGACTCTGTGAGTGTTATTATATATATTGATTTTCTGGGATTATTCGCGTCTGCAAATTTTGTATCAACCTTTTGGATATATTTCAGATTCCAGTTTTGTGCCTCCTCTGGTTTATGCTGTTCTGGGAAGCTCGAGGGACCTTGCAGTAGGACCTGTGTCGATTGCTTCCTGGTGCTGGGATCGATGCTGAGGCAGGAAGTGTCCCCGGCTTCTGACCCTGTTCTGTTTCTCGAGTTGGCCTTCACTTCAACCCTCTTTGCTGGTCTCTTTCAAGCGTCTCTTGGAATCCTGAGGTTGATTATTTTCTGACAACCACTTATTTAAAGAAAAGACTGGAAGGAATACATATTAATTTCTGATTACTTGCAGGCTAGGCTTCATCATTGACTTCTTATCAAAGGCCATCCTGATTGGGTTTATGGCCGGAGCTGCTATAATTGTGTCTCTGCAACAACTAAAAAGCCTCTTGGGGATTAGTCATTTCACTACCCAGATGGGCCTAGTACCTGTGATGACCTCAGTTTTTCACAATTCCCATGAGGTTCTCTTTCTGTTTCTCTGTCGTTCTTGTTGATTGCCTTTATTCACTCCAGTCCATTTTTTTCCTATCAACCTCATCACACTCACCAAGACACACTCGATGGTTCATTGGTTTGTGATTCGTGGTGGGCCTAGATACAGTCTTAATCCTTGCGTGTAAATATCATACACTGCATGTAAAAACTGCTTCATAAAAAGACATTCATGATGACTCAACCCAGCCGCGGAGCCACCACCTGGAGCTACCTTATTTGATTTGGAAGTCTATCCAACTTGGGTAAATCTTGGGGGTGATGGTTTTTTGGGTCCAGGGCTAATCTTCTCTGCAACCTCAGATCTTCCTTTTTTCAATTATATTTCATATTTTTTCCAGTATTGGTAATTAACTTTGTTTTTTATTTTGGGATAAAAACTGCGGAGAAGAAGCTTTCCTTTCTGGTTTATATATTTGAGAAATGGTAATTGGTGGATGTTTTGCAGTGGTCATGGCAAACAATAGTGATGGGGTTTTGCTTCTTGGTGTTGCTCCTATTGGCAAGACACGTTGTATGTTGTTCCTCTCTCTGTCTCTGTCTGTGTGGTATACTTTTTGATTGCAAGTAGGAGTAAGAAATACCCATTTGGCTTTTTCCTTCCATAACCAAAAATACCACCAAGGCATAATCATGTAGCAATACTTAGTTAGACAATTTAAAGATTCTCTTTTACAAAATTAAAATTTTTAATAAATTATAATTTAATATTTTCAGTGTTGCAAGAATATTTTAACTCTTTAATTTTATGTACAACGAAGTCTAATATTAAGAAATCGTAATAATTTTAAAAAATAGCCAAAATTTAAATTCTTGAAATTACTAGTTTATTAAATTTTTCATTGAAATCAATATATAAACGCATGCCATAAAAGTTATAATAACTGGCAACATGTTTTCAGAAGGAGACCATCATAGCAGGTATTAAATGGTGAGAATACCTATTTTCAACTGGGACAGTGATCAAACTCCTGGATCAACCTCACGAAGCTCACACACTTCAATCGTCGTGTATCGATGTATTGATACCTGTTTGCATTGAACAGTGAGATGAAATTCGTACTTAAAATTATAAAAAAGTAAAAATAATAAATGACTCAGATTTACGTTACTATATATAATTTTTAAACATGCTAAATTTGCATTTCCAAACTTTAATATGCACATAATTTATTGAGAGAAAATACGCATAATTAGTAATTTAGTTAGCATGCATATATTTTTCTTGAAAATGTTATTTTAACCCGTACCGCTTTCATATTAGTATATATGTAGATCATGATTTTGTTTGAACTTTGTTAATAAAACTCGATTACAATTATGTGCATTGATTAATTGGAATTATAATAATAATCACATTGACAAGCTTCTAAAATACAGTCTTGACTTTACTTTTTAAAGTTGCTTTTGAGCACGCCCGCATGACCTTTTTATTTTTTTTGGGCGTTATCACTCACACTCACGCCTTATTTCACCCTGATGATGCCTGGACTTCCCAAAAAGGTTACACTCCGATGACCTTATTCGAAGAAAAACTGAAGAAAGTTTCCATTTTGGGTTCGAACTTCGAGCAGAAACCCTAACCATATTTACAGAAATTTCGCAACAATACAAGAGTGTCAAAGTGATGAAAGCGTAGCAACTGTAAAACCAATAGGCCTGGTTAAAATTAAAAGTCTCCACTTTGGTGAGGTTAAAGCTGGATTCTGGATTTAATTCGCCCATGAAGAAACATTAGAATCCCTGTTTTGGTTTCATCGTTCTTTTCTTCTCCTCTCTTCTTGTTTTTTCCCCCTGTAAAGGCATGATTTGATAAAGCATACTCCTTCTAATTCTATTTATAAGACACATTTTAAAAATAATTTTTTGTCTAGCATGTAAGACACTTTATAATAATTAAATTATTTTTTTAATTTTATCTTTTTTTAATTAGCATAAAGGTATTTAATATAATTGTATCATTATGTAAAATTGAGGATAAAAATAAAAGTACATATCCAGATATATAAAAAAATCTAATTTTTCTTTATATATATAAAACAGGTAAAAGTGTCTTATAATAAATATTAGAACAGAGGTAGAGAACACCGTTGAATCCAACTTTTATGTGTAGTATTTCACTTTAGCCTAATAATGCCCTTTCACGTAATACTGAATCTATGTCGTTCTTCGCAAGATTTGGTTTCCGCCCCTCCACCAAAATACAAGAAAGGAAAACAAATGTAATCATACCAGTTCCTATGATTCGTTAGGAATTGGAACTTAAAGAAATATCATGTTCCTGAAATTTGCGGGTGTTCTAGTTGCTACATTTTGGCCCAAATTGAACAGAACTTGCATATGTATAGATCTTTATATTTAATATCTATGCTAATGCCTGTTTGCTCAACATATTGAGCCTAGAACGTAACTTCTAATATCATAGGAAAGAAATACTTCATATCCCTTGGTATTTATATGTGTAGAGCATGAGGAGGCCAAAGCTTTTCTGGGTCTCAGCTGGTGCTCCTCTCGTGTCCGTGATAATCTCTACCCTCCTGGTATTTGCAATAAAGGGTCAGCATCATGGCATCAGTGTTGTATGTCACTTGCTCAAACAGCTTCATTACTTGCCTTAGTAATTACTTCACATTTTTTCGCCAAATATCACCTTTTGTGTACTGACCAGATTCTGGTGTGTTTGTTAGATAGGAAAATTGCAAGAAGGTTTAAATCCTCCTTCATGGAATATGCTGCGCTTTCATGGAAGTCGTCTGGGTCTAGTAATCAAAACTGGGCTTATCACTGGCATTTTGTCCCTCACTGTTAAGTTTTACCTTTTCTCTATTTCTTTTTTGCTTTTTGTTTCTTTGTAGGTTAAATTACCACATCCAATTCTGTAGTTTCAATCAACTTTTAAGTTTTGTTAATCTGACTTATCATGTAGCATCCTGGTACATAGAAATATACAGGATTTTATTGGTTAAGAATGCATTAAAATTCTTTAAAATCAAAAAAATTCGATCACAAAATTTTGAACTACAAGGATGAGTAGTGTAGAAGAAGCCAGATATCAATGGCAGATACTTTTTATAATACAAGTAGAAGTGTACCGTTAGGCATTTTGCATCTTTAGGATCCTGTGTTGCATATTAAATATTCGCGCGCGCGCGCGAGAGAGAGAGAGATTTATCCTGATTGAACGTTATGGGACTTTCTCAAACAGGAAGGTATTGCAGTCGGAAGGACTTTTGCAGCTCTCAAGAACTACAAAGTGGATGGAAATAAGGAGATGATGGCAATTGGCTTCATGAATGTGGTTGGCTCCTTTACTTCCTGCTATGTTACAACAGGTACAGCCAACAACTTAGAAACTAAACTCCCCCCAAATGAAAATGACAGACAGGACAATTTATGTATGACTGATGGTGTCCATTTGTGATTTAGAGAATCGTGTAATGTCTGATACAAGATTTTATCATATCTTAGACATGAACATTTTTTTTTTTGGGAATTGTACGTACTTCTTCGTGATTTACCCGACTTAACTATGAATTTCAGGTGCTTTCTCTAGATCAGCAGTCAATAACAATGCAGGAGCAAAATCAGCAGTGTCAAATATAGTAATGTCTGTGACAGTTATGGTGACTCTCCTGTTTCTCATGCCACTGTTTCAATACACTCCAAATGTTGTACTCGGAGCAATCATAGTGACAGCTGTAATCGGCCTCATTGATATCCCTGCTGCTTATTACATCTGGAAGTTAGACAAATACGATTTCATCGTGATGCTCACTGCATTCTTGGGCGTCATTTTTATCTCTGTGCAGGAAGGCCTTGCTCTTGCAGTAAGTACATTTTTCACTATTTTATTACTCATGAGGCTTCTATTGGCAACAACATTATTATAACCTTCAACTTCTAGGTGTTCCTCAAGAACAGGAAAAGTAAAAGGTTTATGATTTTCCCCCTTTTAAAATGACATGGGGGTGATGGACATGCTTTTGGTCAGGTTGGGTTGTCAATTTTGAAGATCCTCCTGCAAGTTACAAGGCCTAAGACAGTGATGTTGGGGAACATACCAGGTACAGATATATATCGAAATGTTGATCATTATGAGGAAGCTGTGAAGTTGCCTGGTTTTCTCCTTTTAAGCATCGAGGCTCCCATCAATTTCGCAAACATCACATATCTCAACGAGAGGTTGGGTTTCCACTTCACAGATTGTCACTTTTATCAATGGCTGATGGGTCCTTCCTCTGTTACTAAACTACTAGTATTTGTTTTGTTCAGGATTTTACGATGGATAGAAGAATATGAAGAGGAAGATAGCGTTAAGAAAGGCTCAAGTCTTCAATATGTGATTCTGGAAATGTCAGGTAACCAGATTAGTTTTGAAACCGAAGTTTGGTGGTCTGTTATTTTAATTTCTGGTAGAATCACATGCTACCAGATAAATTGCTAGTAATACTTTATATCTGTACTGTATATGTTGAGTCTTGTACCCATTCTTCTTGACTTGTGGTACATTGATTGAAGCATTGAAATGTTAGTTAAAGCATATTAAGCGCATGTTTAGTAGAACATTCAAATTAAAGGAACACTGAACAAGAGAAATATGGTGGTGGAACTTTTCAGCTGTGAGCAGCGTTGACACAAGTGGAGTCTCACTTTTCAGAGAATTGAAACAAGCAATGAAAAATAAGGGCATTGAGGCAAGAATGCTATAATCTCATATGCTTGGTGGTTTGCTACTTCATTTAATATGACAGGAAGTTCTCAAATCTTGACTGTGACTCAATGGTGTGGCTTGTGACAGATTGTGCTGGTGAATCCTCTGGCTGAAGTTATGGAGAAGTTGAAGAAAGCAGATGAAGGCAACGACTTGATCAGAGCAGATAACCTTTTCTTGACAGTTGGGGAGGCTGTGGCTTCACTTTCATCAACAACGAAGAGCCAAGCATCAAATATGGAAGAAGGGGCATAAGCAATGCCTCACTTCATAATTATACGGGCAAGTTTGCAAACAAAATCATCAAAAGTAAAATGAAGAAGCCGCAAGGAAGGAGAGAAAGAGAGTATAGTAGCTATGAAATGGAGCAAATTGTATATCTCTTTAGTCTAAATGATTTGATATTACGATGATTGAGGAGCATTAATGAGAAAGGAGTGGGAATTTTGTCATGTGTGACTCTGCCTACTTGTCAATCAATTGCTTGCAAAAGTTTGATACCATCAATTTATAATAAATATTATTTCAATTGAGGAATAAAATACAATTATGATACTTTCGTAACTGTAGAACCAACATGACATCTTATTTAGCACAATTAAATGTTGATCTAATGGCGGAAGATGAGAGTTTTTTTTATGAATTTCTTGAATTGGCATAAATGGACATGTCTTGGATCAAACCTGAAAAATCAAATGAGATGCATACGAATGAATCCAAACACCATTTGATCTCAATATCAACTACATTGTAGTGTGTAAAGGAAAACTCTATATATGATCATGATTATTTTATAGAGAAAAATTAAAAATATGCTCTCCCATGATGAACCACTGTAATCTATCACAGAAAGCAGACAACATGCGCATTGTCGCGCCATCAATAAAAGCATCATGAAGTCCAATGACCTCCAAGCTCTGCAACTTCTCAAGACACAGAAAAGGATCCTCCTTAAGTCGAGTGCCCACTAGCCTTAACACCTTCAAGCTCTTCAGAGAACACAACCAAGCACAGCCTTCCAAGAAGCGGAGGTGGTATCTTGCAAGTCGAATTTTCCGCTTGTGTTAAGAGACAGAGAACATAGATTGCTCTTTGTTTTTTTTTTTTTTTTAGATGAATAAGCACAGAGCACTCTGATGATGTTTTTGAAGATTGACCAAACACAGTCTTCTCAGTTGGATCAGCATCCCCAAGCCTTTCTCCAAGAAGTCACTTTCTTCTTCATTTGCTACTTCAACTATGCTTAGCTTCTGTAAAGAAACCAGACAACTAAAGGTATTCATCGTGTGAAATTGAATTCTCTGAGAATCAACATTGCAGAGCTGCTGAATCAAGTATTTCAGAAGCTCCTCTTCATTTAATGCTACCTTCTTGAAGCAGTCTCTGTTATAGCCATTATGACGGATTTGAAGTGCCATGGTGGTATTCCCCGTCCCTCCTTCTGCAACAGTTGCGATTACTTTATTCATGGCGGAGTCATCATCCTCTAAGAGGCAACCAATTAAAGTTTGACCTTCTTGGGCCAACGCCAACCAGTTGTTCTTCGGCGTCCTTTTCAACGGGATACGTTTTGTTTTCAGATAAAAAGGGTGCGATTTTAATTTCTAATCAAGATCTTTTTCTTTTCTTTGGGCTTACTTGATAATCTTGTTTAGCTTGTGTGTTCCTATTCCCTTGATTGTGTTTTGAAACCTTTCCTGAATTATAATTATGCTTTTATTCCATCCAGTGGGAAAACAAAAATACAATCAAGGGAACATAATAAGAAGTCCATTTGGATAATACAAGATTTTATCCCTTATTCTTTGCTTATATGCATATTATCGTCTCATTGGTCTAATATGCTAAATGCATGTGATCGGAAAAGAGAGCTTCTAACTCGCAAAGCCATGGAATATGCAATAGGTACTTTCTATATTCCCTATAAATCATGCATCTCATAGAATAATTTATTTCATGGGCAATTTGTCTCATACTCCTTCATGCTCTTCTTATTTTGTTTGGACAAAAAGTTGTCTCATTGGCCGTGTCACTTGCTCACTTTTCATATTTGGACGAGCTCCTAAGCTCAATCCCAACATTGACATGTCGACATGTTTGTGTGTATTTAATTTGATTATACTGCTGTAATAATAATAAACTTTATCCTATTGGATGAGATCAACTATATAAATTGTACGATATTATTATACTTTATATTTAATTTGATTTTAATAAAAAAAACAAATATCTTACCTTTCTAATAAAATGACTACGCAATCTTAGCCATTTTTGTAAAAAAGGTTATCTCCATACCATATCTATATTTGGCATATATTCAATGTTATATATTGATATTTGAAGTTTTTGATAATGATATAACTTGATTAAATAAAAAGAAAAAATTTATAGTTTAACTGTATATGCTTTAGGTGCTTCTTTTCCATGACATCAAGACATGATGATTTTTTTATATATTATTTATTCAATAACAAACTCTTATTATTAGTATTAAGATAAGTGAGAAAATTACCTTGAACTTTACACCTATTATAGACTCTGAATTTGTTTATTATGTAAATTATTTTCTCAATTTTTCAAGATAATACAATTTAGTTCCTATCACTAATAAAAGTTAACTTTAACTATTAGTTGATAAAAAAATAATTTAAAGAACCATAATTTTTTAGATCTTTACTTGTAATCTTGGATCTTTTATTGTAATTTTTTTGTCCTTTTCTATAATTTATTGTCTGTAAAATTTGGTTAAATACTTAAGTCTTTTTTATTTTAAAAAAGTACATTTTTATGGTTTAAAAATATCATTATTTTTTTAAACTTTCATGTAAACAAAATATGCAAACCAAGAGTATATAATTATAATAAGAATGGTATTTAAGGTGGGACAGATCTATGGGGGGGGGGCAAAGGGGATCCTTTCCCTCCTCCCAAAACAATTTGAATTTTTTTAAGAAATTAGTAGTTTTTGTGTCTAAAAAAAATTAGAAAATTTTTTGGCCCCGCAAGATATTTTCTGAAATGTGAAAGTTACATGTTATTAGGCAAAATTTTAAACTAGATATAAGGTAATGAATTTTTTTTTATCCGAAGTGTAAAACTTTTGCGTCAAGGATATTACTTCTTGATAGTCTTTGGTTTCAAAAAAGTAAGCTACATTTTTTTTTTAAACTAAACAAATTTTTTATCTGCTACAGTCCCAATAAAGCACCTGAAACATCTGACAGTATAAAGTCTCCCTTAATATTCTTCAATTAACTCCAATCTTAAGGAAATCAATGGATTAACCCCGAATAAGAATTTTCAAGTTGTAACATTTTTAAAATAGATCCTAAATTTTTAAGGTTTTTCAACATGATAAAGCATTTTTACAAATATAAACCAGAGTGCAAATGTTAAACGAAAGCATGTGAATCTAAAAAGAGTTAAACCATTTGCAGAAGAGTTGAAAATAGTACAAAAAACAAACATACGCAATGGCTTGTTATACATGTGATGCGGCATGTTGCTCTATGTGCTATGCGTCATGGTGCATTGCACATTTTTGACAATATTTTTGTTGTCATTTAACAACAATATAGGTGAACTTTTGACGTACCCTATTTCTCCATCTGATGTCTGATTAAGGCGATCTAAGTGTTTACAGATAGCTTTCTCTTTGCTGTAGCTAATAACATTGGTTTTATAATCAAATTATTTTTCAATCAAACATTGGATACTCATTTCATAATTCACTCTTTTTTACAATTCAAACACATCTTGGGAGTCCCAATTTCATATCAAGTGCTAAAAGCCTCAAATACACTTTAGACCATGCTCAATAGATTATTACAAATTTGTATAATACACCACATCTTGCAAACATCATATATAACACATTTTCAATGTTCAACTCTTTAATTATAAAAATAGAAGGGGGAGCTCTAATAGCATAATTCATTCATAACTCATCTTACTCAATCAACATACCATCATATTTGTTCACTTCTTACTTGTACTAGTATTTTAACTGTTTTTGAATTTCACAATTAACACATACATAATCTGGAGCCTAAAATACTCAATTAAACTTAACATTCATATAGTGCAAATAAATAACCATGAGTTGTCCTAATTGACAATATCAAAATAGATTATACACATAAATATCTAAATTAAATGAAGCCTACAGTTTAGGATAGAATCCTAAGCCTTAAATTCTTTCCCTTGGTCTTGTCTCAATGACCTAGCTCTTGTAATATTGAAGAGAAAGGAGTGAGTACAACTACTTAATAATCAATGTATTTTGAACTTACATAAAGCGTGTCAATTAATCTAAATGTAAGTGGCAACCATAGTCATACACATGTCAATTAGCCCAAAATCGCATTTCACATCATAACGAGCATATAATCATAAAGTGACAACATGACAACTCACTTTACATTATTATACTACTGGTCATATGTTTTCACTATGAAGATCACAATACAGAAAAAATGTGCTCCTTTTATCATAATATGTATGATCACACCTTCCTTATATTCTTCCTATGCCTCTAACATGAAATTGTAGGCTATAACATACTGTGATCGTCTTTGAGATGACACTATAGTAGCCATTCATGAGTGAGGGCTACTTGGCCAAGGTTTCTTAATTCACTTGTGGGTTATGGTTTCTCCCAAATCTCACATCGTAGGGTGTCATTCTCTCTAAACTAGTTTCCTTATCGAACAAGTGAAAAACTAATTAGGTTCAAATATCTTATAGAACAAGTAAGACAGCCCCTCATTAAACAAGTGAGATGATAATTATAAACAAATTCAGAAAAACCATCAAGCTCTGATGGAAGCTTTATCACGTGGATTTTAACTCACTACTCTTCTTCTTTGGCGAACTTTAGCATTTCACAATCATACAAGGCATAAAGATGCAATTTCTTATAGTATGCAAGGAATCAATTCACAAGTATACTTGAATATTCTCATAGTACTCACATATTACATGTTCATCACATAACACATTACATAATTGAACTCCTCTTTACACATACTCATTAAACTTCATTCACAAATATTCATGGAACTTTACAAGCATGATATCATTGAACTCCACAATGTTATTCCATAGAATCTCACATAAGTATGTCATTGAACTTCATAAACACAACTTCATTAACTTCACATAAATTAAGTTATTGAACCCCATAAAAATATAGTATTTGATTTTCAAGTAATCTATGCCATATTTGCATTTTTTTTATAATCTTAATTACTTCAATTATAACATATAAATTAATAAATCAATTAACACACAAAAATATAAGAAAGATTTCTCTTAATTACCTTAAATATTTAAGAGATTAAAAGTTTGCCCCTCAATTTATCACTTCCAAAGCTTTCACGAAGCTCGAATGGCTCCAAGTCATAATTACTCAACATTTATTCACACAATAATTATCAATAATCTCCTTAGGATAATTTCCAACACCTAATTCGCACTTTAACACTCTCTCAAATTTTAATTTCCTCAAAATTTAATTCACATTAATTCCATTAAACTCCTAACTAGCCATTAATAGCTTTACATAACTCTATCTTTCTCATTATGGAGGATTTTTGTGTATTTATGACTCCCAACCATAAAAAATTGAATAGAATCATAAATGCTAGATTAAAATGACTTAAACAACTCTCTAACTCTATTTAAGTTAATGAATTCAGACTCATAGTTTCTGTGGGCTAAGAATTGTCTTTCTCAACTGAACTCTAACTTTTAAATTCAAGAAAATGTAAGAGGAAGAGAGAAAAAGAGCTTAAGAGCCTTACCTTAATGTTTGATAGCTTAAAATTTCTTTTAACCCTTCAATTTTGCAAGTCCTAGTAGAGCTCTTTCATTTCTCTTTTATTTCCTCTCTATTTTTCTCCTTTGATATGCTCTTATTTCTGAAGATTCATTACTGTGTGCTGCGGTGCATGTACTACGTGCTGTAGCTTGTAACATAGAGCAATTTCTCTTTATTTTTCTCACTTTTTTTATGTTCAAGTGGCTCGACCTTTCCCCAAACTCAATTCAAGGGCTAAAATCCCAACCCACAACATCCGTTAGTTTTTTGTAACCATACATTATATTAATTTACTTAATTAACTTCATTTACTCAACTAATTAGGGATTAAATTCTCTAGGATGTTATATTAATGGTTTCAACCACCCAAATAACTTTCATTAATTCTATTTAAATTAATGGATTCAAACTCATAATTTATATAGATTGAAAATTAACTTTACACTATAAACCCTATTTTAAAACTAGTGTAAAGAGGAAGGGAAAGGATGGGAAGGGCTTATAATTGAGAGCTTCAAACCTTGTTAAATCCTTTACAATGTCGTGCCTTAATAGAGCTCAAACTCTTTCCTTCTCCTTTTTCATTTTCTCTTATTTTCCTCTCTCTATTTTTACATTTGTTTGTGTCTATTTTCTGTAGAAAATGGGCCATGCGTTGTGGCTTGTGTCACAAGCATTATGGTATATGGTATAGAGAGGCTCCTTCTTATTCTTTTAGCCCCAAGCGCCTCAGCACACCATGCATACACCGTGGCATGTGACAAAAAGACTCCTTTCTTTGTTTATCTCCACTTTTGATACCTAAGTGACCTAATTTCATTTTTGGTCCAACTTTATGCCTAAAACCACAATTAAAATGTTTATTAGTCCTCTCTGACCATGTACAACATAAATGCTATTTAATTACCCATAATTATGTTGATTATTATAGGGTTAATTTTTGAGGATGTTATGGTATCAGATACATCACAAAGATAAAAATTAACAAAACATTATAAAGACACAAATATACAAGCCTATTCAGTTTGGAGGCTCAGGGATTAGATGTTTCTAGTTGTGTAAGGATGCTAGTTTCAATGAAGTGTTTCTTGCTAAACACCTGTAGAGGATCTTGTTTGATGATTAATCTCTTTTGCTCACAAAAATTTTTAAAAAGAAAATTTTGGATGAAAAGACACTTACCTTTAAAATTTTGCCTTCCATTTCTTGGATGTGGAAAAGAGTGCTCCAAGTTACAAATTTAATCTCTAGTCAACTTTTGTGGAATATCTACTTTGGATTTGACATACCTCTAAACCACAGATTATGGTAGTCGATGCTAGTTGAATAAGTCTTGAGAGTTAATTAGATCATGGATCTATTACAACATCATGGTCAAGAATGGAATTAGAAACTTCTTTAATAGCTGTATTATTTATAACATTAACTTTCTATTTCTAGCACTCTATTCTCATTGTTGGATTCAAAAAGATAAAGTTTCATAGGGATGATGTCATGGTGGGTCTTACAATGTGAAAAAGGGTTATGCTCTAGCAATTGAAGTCATCAAAGAATAAGAGTCGTCATAGATATGGAAAGTCTTGTGGAGCCTTAGGATGCCTTATAGAATGATCCTTAAGATTTGGAGGTTTTTGAAGGGGGCTCTATCAATAGCAAATATCTTAAGAAGTCATTATTTATCATTCAGTGTTAATTATGTGTTGTGTAAGGAGTTTGCAGAGCATATGAACCATGTTTTTCTATTTTTCCTTTTTACATGAGTTGTATGGTTTGGGTTGCCTATAAGAGTACATACAATAGCACTTCAAGAACATGGAATTGTACCGTGGCTAAAAGGATGGCTTGCTAATCTGTACAGTAAAGACCTAGACACAATTTTTGCAATTGTAGTAATTATTTTCATCATTTGTAATATATGAGAATGCAAGAATGAAAGGATCCATGCACATCATAAAATAAGCCCAGCAACACTATTGGAACAATTAAGAGCATTCTTAAGTCTAAGGCTAATATGATTGCAAAAGAGGTGAAGAAACCCATGTTCAAACAACCTTGGGTTGCGTTTATTAGTTTACCTGATTAGAATTTGGCATTTAATGGGTGGCAATTATTTTGGGATCACATGTTCCTGAAATGAATGCTCTTTATATTCCTAAAAGAGGAAGATGCTGCCCAAATGTTGAATATGTTTTAAATGATCACCATTATTGTGTTAACATATTCTTTGTTACTATAAATACTCAATTGCAAGAAATGAATGATGGATTTAAAGAGGCTGCAATTCAGTTATTGACTCTTAGCTTAACTTTGAATCTAAGAGGTGGTTACAAGTTATCTAATGTTGATCAAGTTTGTGAATTGGCAACAAGATTTTATCCTAGTAATTTCACTGAGCAAGAGAGGTTACACCTAAAAATACAAGTACAACATTTTGAACTTGACATTCCTTAACATCTTGAATTTAAGAACATCTCAACAATCTCTCTATTATGTCAAGGATTGATAAAAATTGAAAAGTCTTCTGTTTATTACTTGATTGATCGTTTGTTTCAGTTAGTGTTGATTCTTCTAGTTTCAAATATAACAAGTAAGAGGTTATTTTTAGGTACTAATATCATAAAAAATAAGTTGAGAGATAAGATAAAAGATGAATATCTTACAAATTGCTTAGTCATTTATGAAGGAAAAAATTGTTGAAAAATTTAACACGAACTCTATCATTAGTGAGTTTTTTTAGGACAATGATCATTAATGAGTTCTATGATAAAAAAAATGTGTGTTCCATTTTGATAAATTACATAAACAAGTATGTTTTGTATACATGTTAATTCTTGTTATATGTTTAATTTGTTAATTTATTTTTATTTTTTGCCCCCAGGTAGTTAGCTCTGATCTGTTCCTACATTTAAGATTCATAACTAATAAATAATCATTAATAATTTCAAATAATAAAAACATTTTCATGAAAAGTATAGAATAAATTAATACTCCTTCCGTTCAAAAATATAAAGCGTTTTTAATCGAATCTCATCCCCAATAAAGTAATTACCTACTTTTCAACTAACTCTATTTTTTTATATTTACCCCTATTAAATACTCTATAACAAATATAAAGTCATTATCAATAGGGGCATTTAAAAAAAAGACAATGATTATACCTCAAAATGCCTTACATTTTTTAAACATCCAATTCCTTTAAAAATACCTTATATTTTTTAACAGAAGGAGGTATACTAATTTTTAAATGTATTACACATTATACTCTTGAAAATTAGAATTCAATATTTCTAATATTAAAAATAATTTAAAATTATCACTATTTTGTAATTGAAATGTTTTGTATTATTTGAAAGATTATGTTGCAATTTCAAGGGCATCTGATAACTTAAACAAGGTAATAATAATTTAATTTTAGTTCCTACACTTTATTTATATTTTACTATAAGTTCATATATTTTTTTTTGGTATTTTAAATCCTTACACTTTCATTTTTTGATGTCTTAAGTCTCTCCAAAATTATTACACTTTATTTATTTAAAAATTAAAAATATTAAAAAATAAAAGTGTAAGAATTTATAATATAAAAAATATAAAAATTTATAATAAAATATAAGTAAAGTGTTAGAATAAAAGTTATGTTTTTTTTTAAATTATCAAAAGCAAACAGAAACACCGGATGTCAAAAGGGGTAGAATATAACAATTTATACATCATCGATCGTGATAGCGAAGGTAAAAGGTGACAGAGAGGCACTAGCAGTTAATTAGATTAATTGATTCGAATTTTTATTATCAATACCAAAGTCAACGCTTCTAGTGGTGGTCCCCGTTACTTTTTTTCGTCCTTTGTTAGTCACTGCATTTTCCATATAATTCTTTTCCCGTGCTCTGATTTTGACTCTTTCTTCTATCTTGCGCCCAACGAAAAATATAACTTATTAGTTTTATTTATGTTTAGTAACAACTATATTTTCAAGTGAGATCATGAAACAACAAAAAAAGTAAAATTTTTATATTTTTAATTATGATTAATGAAGTTTTGTTTTAGTAAAAAAATAACACATTCTTTTGAAATATGTTTTTTAATACTTTTATGATTTTATCTTATAACAAATGTATACTTATCTTATATTAATAAAAAAATTATTATAAAATATTAAAAAGTGTATATACATATTTTTATCAAATTTATTTGAATTAAAAATATTAATATGTCACTAAGAATATATGATTTCATTCCAAGAGCGGATCAGGCGTGAGGAGTGCGCAGGATAAGATTTGCGCCACCCCTTCGTGCGTTTGAGTCCACCTTGTGTCATAGTCAGCGTGGCTTACTAATCTCCATTCCCAGTCCCACACACACCAAAAATAACGCTTACAGGACAGCCTCTGCCTCACGCATTATAGCTCACAAGTCACAACTCAGAAGCATCTCCATTACTTTCTCTCTCCATTTTCGTTCTTCAATTCTGACGCAGATCCCATCATCAACCCACTCCTCTCTCTCTCTCTCTCTCTCTCTCTCTCCCCCGCTCTCTCTCAAAAGCCATGGAAGATCTTCCTCAAGGTTATCGTCCCAATGTTGGAGTCTGTCTTATCAACTCCGATTATCAGGTTTCTGCTGCTCGTTCTCCTCTTTCATCCTCTGGTTTCCCCGCTTGTCCCCTTAACTTCCAGGAATCTGCACTTTCTGTTCTGTTTAATTGATACTTATGGTTTACTTTCGGTTTATCGCTTCTGTGTTTTTTTTTTTTGGTGGGGGCTTCCTTTATAAATTATGTCATTTATAGTTCGTGATTTTCGTTTCAGCGTGTTTTCCTTATCTAGATTTAGAAAATTATACTAGTGTATTGCCATTTTCCGCTTGTCAATCGTTATAACTTACTGCTTGAAAGCTCAAGTAACTGGAGGAGCAGTGTCGCAAATGGTGTAAATGAAAACTGCAAGGATTTTATAATTCTTTTTTCTGTTCTGTTCGTCCCTTACCGAGATCCTAAGTTCTCCTGTTTTCAACTTTTTCATTCAAAACCTGGTCATAGTTGTTAATCATTGTTAAATATTGATTTTATTGATCCTCTCTTTTCTATTTTCTGGTAGTCGGAGTTTGATATGTTATTACTGTTTTTAAGATAATATTTGTATTTGCGAAACTTTCACTGTAATGTTCAGCGTGCTATTCGCAATCCATGGTTTGCATTTTTTACTAGCAATCTGTTCAGAAAGTTGCAAAGACATGTATATATCTGAAGAAAAATTATGACCCTTCCTCCATATATCATAGTCTTTTTGTTCCAATATGTATATCTAGAGGAGCAAGAGGAGGAATCCATGACATCCAATCGTTTATTGCAGGTTTTTGTGGCTTCTAAATTGAATTCTCCAGGAGCATGGCAAATGCCTCAGGTGACTTTCCTTAACGTGCTCTTTCTGCCTTGACAACAACATTTTTGACACCATTAATTCAAAGAAGATACAAATTGCAACTCATGGAATTTTCTTGTGTAAGATGTGCTGGGCCTTGTTGTTTAGGGCTTTGAGTCATTGTTGTTAAGTCAAGATATCTATAGCAAATCAGAAAGCCTGTTTTTGAATAGTGACTCATCATTTTAAATGAGAAGATTCAATAATAAAGTTGAAAGTAGCTTGAAGTATAAAATATAATATTTGTATTCCTCCATTGCGCATAAAATACTTAAGATTATAAATTTAACCCAAGAGCTAAGGGAAATACTTAATCCCAAGTCCAAAATAAGTTGTTTGGTCAAAAAATTGCACAAATTCATTCTTTAAATGATCCCAATTTCTCAACTATTATCTTCTTTTGCTTTTCTCTAATGACTCATAATTCAATAACAATAAACATAGCAATATTAACTCTGATAAAAAAACGTTAACGTCTAGCCTGCCCCTCCCGTGTGATTTCTGGTTTCCACTTAAAACAAATTCATGAAAATGTATTCTTTGCAGTTATATGTTGAGTTGTGATCGATCCAACTTTGCAAACTCCGATGATATCTAATATTTTCATGCAGTTGAAGTAGAGTCATGAGATTCAAAGACATGGCTACTTTCGATTTAGTCATCCATTTATAGCATTGACTTTGTGACTCGTTATGAATCATACAATTTTATTGCCTGTTCTGAGTAAGCTTCCTTGTGACACTATTTAAAAATAGATTAAAGTATCAGCAAGGGTATGCTGATACTTTAGTAGCTTAATTTTGTTTCAAATTCAAAGTACCATTCTGTTGCTTCAATGGTGGGAGCTGGGGCTTAGTGTCTTTAATGAATCCTGATTCCTCCAATTGTGTTCTCATGAGAGGATTTTTCCAACAATATGCCATAGAGAGTGTGACGCTCCCTTTCATTTGATGTTGTCTTATTGTTGCCCTCAGCATATTCAATGCATCGTTATTGGCAGCTCTCTTGAATATAAAAAATTTCTTCCTATTCTGTACCTGGGTCTATTTTGGTCTTACAATATACTGAGCTACCTGACCCCTTCCGGAAATTTGCATAAAGTATAGCTTAGATTGCCCTGGAGAGGGATATAGACTGTAGTTCCAAGCTTTCGTTGAAAGTGGACTCTGGTATTTTAGGTATCATTTGGGGAATTTTACTCATTTTTCCTGTAATGATTTTTCAACTCTGGCATGGCTTGGAATTCTTTTGCTAAGACCATATGTCATGCACTTTTCTGTCCTTGAATATCAGGGGGGAATTGAAGACAGTGAAGAGCTCGCATCTGCTGCCATTCGGGAACTGCGACAAGAAACTGGAATAGTATCTGCTGAAATAATTACTCAGGTTTGCGAAATTTCTATCATGAGTTTGTTTTAGTTTTTATAGTTTATTTTGCTAAAAATTGAGTATCATGCAGGCTTTCATCTATGCTCTATAAATGAGTGCTATCTGACAACTTAATATCTATGTGAAATATAAATTACTTTTATCCTCGTGTATTAAAAGGCGAACAAAAAAGTTTAGAGAAGCAAGAAGCTATACTGCTCGACTCAGATATAAGAGAAGCAGTTAGACATCTTGCTGGTTTTGAATTTTGATACATTATATTTGTAATTCTTTTGAGCATGGTTTTATGATTAAGTGGAGGTTAATCATTTTGTATATATGACAGGTCCCAAAATGGTTAACTTATGACTTTCCACCTCATGTGAGGGCTAAAGTCAATCGTCTCTGGAGAGGTGATTGGCATGGACATGCACAGAAGTGGTGCGCTTGTCTTTTGCGTTTTAAGTCATTGGCTGAATGACCAAATACTTACATACTTGTCAGTTGTCGCTTCAAAGAAAAGCTCGAGTTTTATTATTATTATATATTTTTTTTGGCACAAAAAGCATGAGTTTTATTTGAGTCCTTAAATTTTGACCTACAATATCATGATATCATTCATGTATCTTTGTATTGTTTCTGCCACGTATCTCTTCATGTATATGATTGCCTGGCGTGTGGGAAGTAAGCGATTTGTGCCCCTGTAGCATAGATCTTGGAAAGCGATGTTTTGACATAAACAAATAGAAAATGAAAGAGGGTAGAAAACTAGTCAATTTCTATGTGTGCAAAAGCATGCTTCAAACTAAAGCTGCTTAGCACGCAAAGGTAATGTGTCTTCTTGCTCTTGAAGGGAGAGAAAAGAAGGGGGAAATCAAAATCAAAGCCCTCTGAGTGTGAAAGAAACTGCGTGGTGTGAAAAAGTTCCTCTGAATGGCTTTGGTGTTGTTTCTTATGTTCCTCAGCACCATAGTCACTGAGAGATGTTGTATTTGAATAGAACGGCCCCGCTGTAGCTGTATTTTTTTTTTTTAGGAGAAAAATGACTATTGTACACGTCGTTAACTTGTTATCCTTGATGTTGTGGAGTACTTCTTGGACTTTGTCCTATGGTGTTCCCCTCAATGTTTCTAGTTTTGTTTTTTGTAAAATTTGTGACTGAGTAGGCTTACATATGGTGATTAGTAAAATATTAACTAATGCTAATTTTGTAGTGAGGAACTGAAAATAGGACATAACATGTAATTCTCCATTGTTCCATTCTCTGATCATATTTGTACTGTTAGTCAGATTGGTACCATCTTATTATTTTTTTGACTGTCAGTAAATTAATTCGGCATTTTACCAAAACTTTGCTTTTTCTACATTAATATTGAATGTTTGGTAGGTTTCTCATGCGATTCACTAAAGATGACAGTGAGATCAACTTAACTAACGGTGAAGCAGACCCTGAATTTGCAGAATGGAAATGGTCAAGCCCTGAAGAAGTAATTGAGCAGGCTAGTTGCCAAAACTTATCATAAACGTTTAAGTCTGTTCATTTTTGCTCTTGGAAGGACTAATTGCAGAGAACTGATTACAGGCGGCAGACTACAAAAGACCAATCTATGAAGAAGTTTTGAGAACCTTCAAGCCTTATTTTCAAGGGAGTGCAATATCTGCCAAATGTAAATCTTCAAAGTGGTGAATGGTATAAATGCACATCGTAGTTTATCCATGTTGTTAAGTAATTTTATTTAAGCAGTTTGGTAGCACGTGTCACTCTGTAAATAGACATTAGTTACTTGGTTCCTGCTTTTAATGATGGGATATATGTTTCAGTACCTAATTATATTCCCCCTCTAAACTTTGCTGCGATTACGATTAAAGGTGTCTCTGTGCAAGTGGCATGCGGTTTAGGAAGCCTAGCTAGTGATTGGCTATAAACTTGTTCCAAAATACTAGATTAAGATTCTCAAAAGTAACTAGATAGTAGGGCTCCTCTATTTCATGAAGTCCCATGTAACGCGTTGCATTGTTGATGACTCAAAAATATGGATCTGATAACTATTCTGTAAAATAATATATCCTAAGGTTTTGTGTAAATTTTGGGTTGAGAGTGAAGGTTTTATAAATTTCTGTAGAACTCTGGAAGGATGCAGGAATAATTCAATTTAATTTTTTTAAAATAATAAATTTTAAATTAACAATAAACATACAAATAAGCTTAAAAAAAATCAAATGAAGAAACTTTCTTAAATTCTCAAGGAAACAAGAAAGATGTGGTAACCTGTTTTGAAAACAGTTTTTTTGTTTTTCAGAATAAAAAATAAAAAAAATTTATTTGAGAATGTATTTTTAAAAAGTGTTTTAGAAAATAAAAAAATAAAATATTATTTTGAAAAATAAAAAAATAAAAATAATTTTCAGGTATTCAAAGATTATTCTTCTGAAAAATAGAGGAGAATGAAAAAAATATTTATTTTTATTATTTTTTTATTCTCATATCATGTTTTATAAAATATAATTTTTAAAATAATAAAATAAAAATAATTTCAAACAAATCTTATAACATTGTAACTTGCGGTCTCCCGGACCACGAGGGACAGTGAGTCTCAAAGCTTAAGCATTTATGGGTTCTAATAATTTTCTCAAATTTCTCAAGATAATCTGAATGCCGTGAGAATATAAAATTCCTCATCTTTTTAAATGGTTATGCTTTTCGTTGATCTTTTCAATGGAGAATCTTAACAAAGACAATTTAGATAAACCATCAGTGCTAGTAATACAATTTTAGAACTAAATGATAATGATACATCTGCGCTCGAGAGCAATTTCTGTTTTTGACCTGAAACACTACATATCAAGCGAAAATCGCAAAAGACTAGTAATATATGATATTTTCATGGTCCAAAAGCAAAACGAAAAATCAATATATAATATTCAGGTAAAAAAATATGTATAAAAAGTCTCATATTTATATTTTAAATTATCATTAAGAATTAGGATGATAAACTTCTGATTAGATGGCACCGCTTCTTTATCTTGATTAGGATTATAATTTTGGCAAAAAAATTATGTTATAAATAACAGTCTGATTAGGCAAATGTTAATATTTTATATAATTTTCATTTAAAATAATAAATATTAAATTTAATATAGTTAAAAATATCAGCTGATCAAAATATAATTAAGAAAATAATACCAGTAATTATTGGTTAAATGTTAATTTTAACTCTAAATGTTATTAAAAACAGTTAATCTTAATGGAAAACCAAAAAAAATATTTTTTTGTCAAATAAAAATAATTTATTTTAAGACCTACTGAAATTGACTTCTATTTTTTGGTTTGAATAAAATAACTATAAGGAATTAAAGCCGATAATTTGGGCCAAACCAGATGGGCTAACCTGAACTCGCCCAAAAAATTTAGGCACGAGCCCAAAAAATTAATAATTTTTTATTGTTTGGGCCTATTCAGGCTGTCGAAAAAATTTGGGCCAAGCCCGATCGGGCTTGGCCCGAATACCTGAATAGAAAAAAATAAATTTTTAAAAATATATATAATATAATAAATATTAATTATTTTTAAAGTTTTATATTATTTTATTCTAAAATATCATATATTTGAGTATATTACTATAGTTATTTTAAAAAAATAAAAATATTTATATTTTCTTATTTTTATTATTTTTAGTCAAATAAAATATCTCAATCTAATAATTAAAATATATTTTAATATTAATTTTTATGTTTTAAGATTCAATTTTTTTCAAAAAAAAAGTTGAGTCATATACACCATTTTTTTGTCTGAAAATTATATTTTACATTTTTTATAAAATAAAATAATTTTAAATTAAAAATAATTTTAAAAATAAAATTTGGATATGTATGAATTCCTGACTCTACTGTTAAATAAATATAAAAAATAAAATAATATTTTTAAATAATTATTTAATTATCATTCATGCTAGACTTGGTTAAAAATTAAAAATGAATTAAAGTAAATACCCTTTGTATATAGGGTTTAAACAATATAAAAGATTAAAAAAATTAAAAAAATAGTATTTTACCCATAATTAAATAATTTTTTTATATAATATAATGACGGCTATTTTTTTCATATTCTTAAAAATAAAAAATATAATTTATTCAATAGTTATTAAAAACTTTGAGCTAATTAAGGCAATCATTTTAAATTAGTGGTTTAACTGTAGTTGAATTGAGATTAATTTGATCATAATTAAAATAATATAATTTAATTAAAATTTATAAATATTTTTATATAACCATGATAAGGGCAATGTTTAAACAAATAAAACATTAATTTACAAGTAAAGAAAATATTTATAAATAAATTACATATAATACAACAAAATAGTAATAGAGCTACTTAAGTACTTAACTACAAAATTAATAAGTTATTATTATTTTTTATTCCTTTCAAGTTAAAATAATATTTTATGCTTAATAAAATTATTTAAAAATTAAAATTGATTTAAAAATAAAGAAAAAAATATTTTTAAAAATTTTTGAGTATTCAGGCCGTTCCAAATAAGCTTGAAGCTCGAAGATGTTAGGGCCGAGCTTGGCTATATGAACTTTTTAAAATGAGTAGAATTCTGTAAATTCAATTTGAATAAGCTCGACCCACCCGAATTACTGGCTCTATAAGGGATTATCTACTATTTTTTTTAAGAATATTCCATAGTAATATTAATTATAAGCAATACTTTCACGGAAAGTAACATATTCTTAAAATTTAAATTAGTTGCACATATTGTAATTTTATTTTCGATTTTTCTTCTATTTTGTTTACACTTCTGTTTTTTTTATTTAAATTTTATTTTTTTTGGGCCAACTGAATTTTATTTTAGAATTAAGGGTTATTTTTATTTCTTAATTGTAAATGAAAAGTCATAAATGACTTTAAATTTAACTATAATCAATTTCATTCTTAAATTTTAAAGATTTTTTTTATTACATTATCATTTTGTCAAGTTTAATTGGCCATGAATGAATTCACATTATATTTTTAATTTTTTTATTATAAAATTTGAGTTGAGAATATTTGCTGACACTTTAAATAGAAGTTAAGAAATAAAAATAATTTTTAATTTAATAAAAAATATTTTAAAAATAATATATTATATTGATAATTAATAAATATTGAGTGTTTTTAACATTAACGATGGACAAAATTTTTTAACTTAGAGAAACAAAATTGATCATGTAAAGCTTTTGGGGGGGGGGGGGGGACAGTCTACAGCCTATACACCGCCGAGAATCCGTAACTATAAATACTGCATGAAGTTTCGAACCGGGCAAGGGCTCTCTAGTCTTACCATCGACTCTGGACTCAAATTTCGGCGCTTCGGCACCTCGACGTTCCGGTTGCCATGGAAAAGCCCCCATCTCGGCTACAGTTTCATGTCACCGATTGCAGAGGCACCCACATTATCGGCAAGATTAAGGATTTTCTCTTCTCTCAGGCTTCCGCAATTAATCCTTCCATCATCGAACGTCGAATTCAAAAGCTTTTCCCCTCCTTCGAAACCCCAACTCACCCGCCGTACGCCTTGGTAACTATCTCGCCTAACTCACGAGCTTTTGTGGCTGTTTTATTTTTTTTTTTTTTTTGGGAATCGAATTGCGCAATGCTGTAATTGAATGTCTTTTGAAAATTTTGACCATTTTTTCCTTATTGTTTGATCCATTTACGCGATTCCTTTCGGTTTGGGAGTTTAGATGATACAGAAGGCAGTGAAGGAGTTGAATGAAAGAAATGGATCGACTGAGGAGGCTATCTCGGAGTTTATCAAAAATGAGTTTCAAGATTTGCCCTGGGCTCATACGAGGATTCTTGGTCTTCATTTGGGAAAGCTTTGCCAGGCTAAGGAGCTTTTGCGCGCAGAGAGTGGTAGATATATGCTTATGACTGATGACTATAAGTTTGATGGGACGAAGGAGAAGGGATGGAGGGGTAGCAAAAGGAGAAAGAAAAGCAAAAGGGGAAGAAACCACGGAGGTGGAGAGACACTGGAAAGAAGTGAAGGTGCAAAGAGATGTAACGAGTTGCAAGAGCGCGAAAATGAGGGACAAAATCATCTTTCTGAGTTACATGGTACAAGGACTAGTGAGCTAATTGAGGAACAGGGAAAGTCTGAAATAAGGCAACTTGGGGTGCCTGAAGAGGGCCATGGGCCGGTGGTTCAGGGACAAGGTAAAGCAGAAACGCGACAAAATGAAAATGCCGACGAACGAATTCAGGTAATGTATGATTTAACGGTAATTTTTGGTTTTTTCTTTTCAGGTTAGTCTACCTTTGTAGTATTTGGATTTCACTTTTGTGTAAGCAAGCTAATATTCTAACTAACTGATAAAAGCTAGATAACATTTTTATAGAATTAAAATATCACAACAACAGCATCATCATCGTCATTACTTCTTTTTTTTTTTTAAAAAAAAAGGAAAGCCTAATTGATTCATGTTTTTTCTCACCTTGCATTCATAAAGCTCACCGTGCATTCTTTTCCGAGGAGTAAGTGCACTAACAGACAAAAGCTTGAGAACCTTTTTGAAAATCAAAATTAAAATATTATAACAATAACATCTCGTTACTTTTTAGTAATAGCACTTAATTGATTCATTTTTTTCTCACCTTGCATTCTTAAAGCTCACCATGCATTCTTTTCTCCTACCTCTAACTTAGAAATTAAGGCATGCAAATAGCCTACTATTTGGTACCTATCGGATTTCACAATCGTAACTTTTTCATTAGAAAAACTATCCAAAGAAATTTCTTGAGTAGTAGAGTGTACCTTCTCAATCCCCTTCGTTAGATAGTCATATGCTATGAACTTTCTGGTCATAAAGATAAAGATTGAGGTTGTTTTCTGTTTGAGCTAATTATCTTTAATTTGCTTCATGTAAAAAGGCATTCTATTTTTTACGTTAATACTTGTCAACAAAAAGCGTGCGGCAGAAGGAAATGGAATTCGATTGCTTTAAAACCCTGAAAATTGTAAAGTGGGGCAAATTCTGTTCTTGATTACTCTGCATTTTTTGGTTTTGTTATGTCATTTTTAGGTACATATGATTTGACTTGTTCTAGATTCCTTGAATTACATTGCTTTGTTATTAAATTTATATTGATCTAATGAATTTTTTAATTTGTTAGAAATTTATTTTCATCATCCCTCGTCATTATTTGTGGTTGAGATATATTTTATACTTTGTCTTGCTTTTGATGTAGGAGGCAATCATGGAGTTGAACAATAAAATCGGCTCAAGTGAAATAATGAATATGGAGCCTCATATGGTGGAAAAACAGAATTCTATGGTCATCAAGGAACACGTTCAATTTGAGAAACCGCCAGATAATTTGTTGGCCGTGACAGACAATCAAACACTCATACAACAAATTGAGGGCACAACTGAGATATCAAGATTCTGTTCATATGAAATCAGTAATAATGAAAACTTGAGTACTTCACTTGGTAGTCCTACTGTTGCAGAAAATCAATGTGAGAAACAGCCGGGTAATTTGTTGGCCATGGCAGAAAATCAAACTCTTGCACAGCCAATTGAGGCCACAACTGAGATATCAAGGTTCTGTTCAGATGAAATCAGTAATAATAAAAACTTGAGTGCTTCACTTGATAGTCCTACTGATGCAGAAAATCAACGTGAGAAACAGCCGTATAATTTGTTGGCCGTGGTAGAAAATCAGACACTTACAAAACAAATTGAGGCCACAACTGATATATCAAGATTCTATTCAGATGAAATCAGTGATGATGAATACTTGAGTGCTTTACTTGGTAGTCCCACTGTGTCAGTTATTCCAAAGGAGAAATTGCAAATTTCACGGCAAGAACAGGATCAGAATGAGACGCCCTCCATCCAGCAGAAATTCTCTGGTGCCTGTGAATTGCTTGTGGATCAGGAGGGGCCTGTACTTTATTGGGAAACTATTTGTTCATCCCAGCCCACAGCACCAGACCTTCCAGTTGATCTGACTTCCGACTCCCAGAATTGTCTGTCAGTTCCTATTTCTACCGAGTTCTTTGAGCACACACCACCAGAAGGGATAGAATTAACCCATACACAATTGCTGGTTCAAGCCTCAATGTGTGGAATTCCGGAGACTGATTTGTGCCCAACAACCAAAACGTTAGCTTCTATGATTGTTCATGAGCACAAACAACCACAGGATGATATACTAGGAAGTCCTGAAGGGAGGGTGGATGAGAATACAACTTTTGGGGACCTGGAGAAGCACATGCTAAGGCCTCAATGCAGTGAGAGACAGCCTAATCAGGAGACTATTGCAGGCTATCCAGAGGTGTCATTGTTGCCCTCAGACAGTTGCATTGTTGACAAGCAAATGCCTAGGTATTACGATATTAAAAGGAAGCCGCAGTTACAGCCTCAAGGTCAAGGTAGAGGGCGCGGTCGTGGAATGTCTCCCAACCTAGACAGAAATCTTTATCAACACAAGGAGCAGTTACAACTCCAGGACCAAGCTCTCGCTTCAGTGAGCTTTCCTAGTTTAGAACCAAATGAACCAATTTACTCATTACTTTCTCCAAACCTTCCTGCTTCTTTTAACCAGCAGCAGTTAGTTGATCCAATTTCTGAAGAGAGCCCAGGTTGCCTAAAGAGAGAAATATCACAACTACAGTTGGAACTGCAAATGTCATGGCATAGACTTGTATACGGAGATTTGGGCGCAATGGGTACAGCACCCAAAATGGAATATTCATTGTCTTCTCTGAGTGATTCAGAAGATAATCCGCTGCAGCATGGGAATAAAAGAGGTCGTAAGCGAAGGTTGAATTTAGATGGACAAACAGAATTTGGACATCTTGAGCAGCAGTTGCCAAAGCGAAGACGTAGAGGGAGGCCTCCTAATCCAGTGCCTACCAAAGACTAATCATGGGTGCCAGTGGTGTCCTCAAACACTCGCATTCATTGTGACAAAAACCCAAATTCCTACAACATTGTGAAGCACAGGCAGCTGCAATCCCCAGGGAATAGGGATAAGGCGAGGCCTGCTAAACAAGGTTGTATTCAACGCCGTTATGAGTTCTGGCCATAAGGCCAAGCTCAAGTTCAGGTGCATTCTCCTTATTTGCCAGATTATGATAATGGAAGTTGGGGGCAGACACACTGGATGCGTCCTAAACTAAAGTCAGATGCGGATGGAAGCTGTCAGCAGCATATGCTATTGCCACGTAGTAGCAGTCAAGTTCGGGGTAAGCGCGAGCTGCTGCGGCTGAATATGTCTAATGCACACCAAAGCAATCAGCAGCTATCTATAGAAACATGTCAGAGTCAAGGTAAACGCTTGTTGAGGTCCAGTTTGACTAAATCAAGCTGATGTGCAAGCTAACCCTCTAACCGTGTAAGAGGAAAGAACAATCATGTTATTTGTAACGCTTTCTTACCGTGGAATCTCAAAGTTTGAGATGCGCCTTATTAATTATTATATTAGTTCATGTATAACGTTCATGATTTGATAAGGATTCTTGTATTCTACTCCTCTTGCTGATCTTCCTTTTGTGAATTCGTTTTTGCCGATCTTTGTTATAGCATGCTTATAACTTGCTATTGCTTAGAAAAATAAATGCAGAAGACAGCAGGGGTATTCGGTATGTGCAACTGCAATTGGAAAAAAATATTTATTTTTTGCTGTGTAAGAAATGAGTGACATATATAATATTTAGTGTTGTTATAATTGTTTGTTTATTATTGTTCAAATTTTAATCTTCTTATTACATTGCATATAGAATATTTGTAATTTGTAGTTACAATTTTATTTTATTTTGATTTGTTTTTATTTTTTATTTTGCATACCAAATAACTAAAATATTGAACCGACAAAATCGTCATCCATGTATACTTTGTTAATGCACCCACTTTAGTACCCTAGTTCATCAATTAGAATGATGTCCAGTGTTCAAATTAAGTGTGCATTAATTATTAGCTATTTTTTTTTTTAAAAAAGAAGGCTGCAATTGCAAAATAAAACAGTTATATATGCACGTTGTATGTATGTGTGTATATAATTTGCAAAGGACTTCATGCCTCTTTATTTTGCCAGTATTATTTTTTTAGGTTTATTTCTACTAATTTTTTCCTTTTTAAATTAGAATTTTGAATGTGAATTTCGTACCTAAATTTTTGTTCAAATCAATAAACATTTTTAGCAAAGAAGTTTCAATTAAATTATTATTTATCCCTTATATTGTTTGGGAACAAATCTTGTCGATGTTTATTTGAATCCTGCTTCCTTCTTACGTGATATATATATATCATCTACTTTATATAGATCATCCATAGCATGGCTTACTTTAGACTTAATAAAATGCATTAAAAAACTTATCTAATTTAAATAAAAGAGGCTAAATCATGAAAGCAACATAAAAAAGGATAAATATAAAAATAAATGTAGACGGGGCTGTGGCTTCGACAGGTGGAAGCACAGCGTGTGGTGGACTGCCGCGCAATGAGCATGCGATTCATATGCCGTTTGGAGGAAAGTGACAGTATGACAGCAGCGTGTCTGCTGGGTCTGAAAACTGCTTGGGACTCTGGCTTCAAGAAGATCATCTTCGATTCAAACTCCGCGGAGGCTTTAGAAGCGTTGCTTGTTGAGCCAAATCCTGAGCACCATGATCTGGGAGTCATTTTGGAGGGTCGTCAGGTCTTGGTCTGATTGGGAGTTGAGTCTTCAACATGTAAGCCGTGAATATGACAGGGCTGCGGATGCTTTAGCAAAACAGGGTCTTGGAGCGCTACCTGGTTTAATTGTGATTTTTCTTCCTTCCGGTGATTTATTGAGGATAATGAACCAAGAGTGATCTTGTACCGATGATACAAGAAAGAGTGTTTTTTATTGGGCCAACAGATCCATCAAATTCAACTAGTTTCAGAACTCAGATACAGCATTTTATTCAAGACACAGCATTTTATTCAATACCCATTAGGGAGCGGGATTACTCTGGCCCTCTTAAAAAAATTGTATCCAGGTAACTTCTCTGTTTGTTTATACCATTCTCTGCTGCAAATCCTTGATCATATGATGAACATTTACCCAGTGGACTTGATGGCTTCAAGCACCGATTTGCTGATCTTGAGGAAAATAATAGCTGAGGAGAAAGAAGCGCACTGCTTTATGGGAAATATGCCTCGTTGCCGAGGTACTATGCTCATGCTGACCATATTGTTGAGATTTAGCTAGTGGCCATGCGGAAGCATCTATAAAACAACCCTTGAAATATCATATAGTTTCTCATGTCTTGACCTGTACCCTTAGGCCTTAGTGGCTATGCTATTCGACTTCCTTGTGCCTTCTGAATTGATTGGCCAGCTTTCACTACGAGGAGCGGGTTGGTGCAGCTGAGAAACAGGAGGCGGAAATGGACAGAAATTCACTGAAGAAGGAGAATGCAATTTCTGCTGTGCGTGCAACCGTTCTGAGTCCTTCTAGGTCCCTGAACGGTAGAGACTGGAAGATGCTCGCAGAAACTCATTAATAATGCAGAACAACCGATGCAAAACAGCTTACAAGGGTCATAGACCTGTAAAGAGTGCCAGTATGAATACTTCCATGCGTCCAGTTGTTATGGAACCAAAACCAGGAAGTAAGTTTTAAGGCTACTTTGCTTACATCAACTACCATCTAGATCATGGACTCATTTTAAGGATCAGACATTGACACTGCCCCGAGACACTACCATGGGAGACATGGACAATTCAGAAAATGGGGGAACAAGACAGAATGAAATACTGGACATTCCATGTTAGAGAGACTGACATGTATATTTTTATTATTATTCTTGTACAGACGTGAATACGTTTTAATTAAGCCTATTACAGGTATGAATAATTTAAACTACAGTTACAATCTGTTTTTTGGGTGATTACAAGGGGTCAGATAGACATTAAAATGAAAAGAAAACAAAACAACGGAGCTATTTCCTCAGGATCTCCCATCAAAAGAAGCTTTGGTTGTGGCGGGGTGTAGTGTATCCCTCCCTACTAAGACTATAGGAAACTCTTTGATCCGCTCATCTATTTGCCGCTCCATAGATGTATTTGAGCTCTATTTCGTACTCCCTCTTCATCCATGCTCTTATTTGTTGCAAGAGTAGATTGTAGCCTTGTAGATCATCTCTGTTAGTCTTAACAGCATTGATCATTGTTAGGGTTCTCCTTTCTCCCGACACACTTGAAGCCCTAATAAATGGGCGTGTCTTCTCACTTGAACCGCCGTTTCCATGCTGCTTCATGATCCTGGAGTACTCTTCCCCAGCTCGCATGTCCCTGTAGCCTGTATCGATATTTAATTAGGCGGCTCCATCGATATTTAATTAGCAACCCAATCCTCTTCGGCTACAATCCATTTCCATAGTTTCCCATGAGAACTAGATCAAATATCTTCTTTCTTTTCAACGAAGAACAATGCTGCCTGTTTAACCATTTCTAAACAAAAAATCTTTTTTCTGGGCATTTGCATTATCTTAAAGATGTTGAGCAAAAAGAAAAGTATTGTTTGAGAATGGAAAGTAAAAGCTACATATTTATTAACCTACTATTGACAGTCCTGTACTCGTGTGTTCAAAAAAATAGTTTTAGCGTCATTAGTGTTGATGTAAATATGAAAATTTTAACTACTCATGCTGTTCATAAATCAATTTGTTTCATGATGGTCTGGGCTTTTGCTTCTTAACTCAGGCTGTAGGGAGATGAGAGTGCTTTTTTGTGATGCTGATAACTGGTCATTATTGGTGATTTTAATTCTCCGTACATGGAATGTGATGCATGGAGGTGATAAATCTATTAATTATCTAGGTAGTAGTTATTATTTATGTAGGGATATGACTGTCAGGATAGTTCTATAAACCTTCATTCTTATTTTCTAATGCGACTTTTAATCTCGTAAAACTTTTATAACAGTGGCAACATTTCTTGTTTTTTGGTGCTGTTTTAAGGTTTGGAATGATTTTGATGGTGTTGGTTCTTTTCTTTCTTGGTATAAAACTCAAATCTAATTATAAGTATAAAACTCATCATCACTCATTGAATAAAAGTAAAAGAGTTAAAAGAATTTAATACATGCCATGAAAATTAACTCCATAAATAAAAGTTCCTTATTTTATTTATATTTTTAAAATTATAAAATCTAATATTACGAGCAAATTAAATTAAAGAATAAATGACAATGTGTACTTTAAACTATAGGTTCATGGAAAATTTGAATCTTGAACTTATATTTAATATATTTTAAATTATAAATAATTAAATTTAGGATAATTTTTTCTCACCATTAATTTAAACCTAACGTCATTACTTTAAGTGAGCCCCTCTCCCCCCTTTGTTCTTGCTCTTTGCCTTCCTCCTCCTCATCTTCTCCAAGAACCAATTTGCCAAGAGATTCTCTTAATCAACTAAAGCTACCTTAGAAACCAATAATACTCCTTTGGGATCGGAGTTATGTTTTTTTTTTTTTTTGAAAAAGTTAAGATCAGTGCTTTACCTTCCTTGTTGCAGCAATGCGATTCCACTTTTTTGGAAACTTTTCTTTCTCGAAAGTGACAGTTTTTAGCTTTCTCATTTGCCATAAAGAATGATGAAGTCATTCGTTTTAGACTTCCAATAGATAAGACTAAGAATAAATCTTTTTATTTCACTATTTAAAGTAATACTATAATTTTGAAATCGCTTCTATTCTTAAAAAAAAAATAGATTTTGAATGATTTAATCATATTTGAGTGCATGTACTTATATCTTTTGTCTTGCAGAGCAACAACTATTTCTTGTAAATTTTTACGATAGATTTAAACTGTGTCCCCTCTTTATAGATTTCTTTTTTTAGGGTCTTTCTTTTTGAAATTTCTCGAAAAAGTGACACCTTACAGTCATCCTGATACATGAAATGAACAAGTCTCTTGTGTTTGATTTTAATAATACTACACTTTTAGATTAATTTCATTTTTCTTGAATTTTGGATTTCACATCGATTTATTTCTTCTGTAGTAAATTTTAACTTTCAAGGCCTTTCTTTGTTTCTTCCCCTTTCTCATAGAGTCACAATCATTCATTGGCATGAGGTGACAATCAAGCTACTCCAAACCACCACCATGGGCAAAGTCTAGCTCTATGACGTCGATCCCACTTTCATCAAAGCCCTCTTGCAAACTTTGGAATCAAAATCATAATGGGCATCGACAACAACGACATTTTGAGCTTGGCCTCCTATCCTAACTCAACGTAGGGAATAATATTTGCCACCAGTAATATATGGCCTAGATCTTGAAACCACCATGCTTTTGTTGGTAGCGTTGACTTGTGGTTTTTGGAGTAGCTTTGGTTGAAGATGAGAATCTCTTGGCAGAATTGGCTTCTAAAGAATACGACAAGGAGAAAGTAAGGGCGTTAAATTTAAATTGATAGCGGGTGTGATTGCCTCATATTTAATTATTTAAAATTTAAAATATATCAAATATAAATTTAGAGTTTAAATTATTTTTACATCTATAATTTAAAATTTAAATTACTATTTAATCCTTAAACTAAATGAATGAAAATATTAAAATAGTAAAATAGAATTATAGAACTAAGAACAAAACAAAGCATAATTAAAGTAGAGAATTTATTGTTGTATTTTTTTATAAAATCAAAGTAAAATTCTACTTTTCTCCTTCGAAATCGAAGATCTTGCTTTGTTTTGGCCAGACTGGTCATTGTTAATGTATTAAATATCAATAAAAATTACATATAGATCTAGAGAATACACTGAACTCTCTTGAAATTAAATACAATTTAAATTCTAAGTAAAAATCTCTTTATGCCTTATTTACTGAAACAAAAAGCCTGATGTGTCATTGAAACTTTTATGCCTCGGAGTTCTCACTTCTCCTACGCTATCAGCTCCCCCAACAGCCATCGAGGCGCGGCTTCTGGTTACTCCTCTTCCTCACCTTTCTCCTTCCCCCCTGTGATTCTAATACGACGAGCTCATGAAAATCGGAGCGCATCTGAATCTGGTTAAAGGTCAAGGCAGTTCGCTCCCGAGGGAGAAAATGATAAACTTATTTATCCTAGTTAACTGGTTTAGTCGAACAGGCAATACAATGCGTATTATTAACAAAAACAGTATCATCATTAAACTTATTTATCCATTTGCTGGAAACTCACTACTTCAAGGCTTAAAAAACTGTTCGAGGATTCAAGTCGTGTGGAAAAGTTGAGAACTTTTGGAAAAAACGAAGAACCCTTTGTGACTGATAATGGGGATTTACATTGTGGATTTGTATTTCAAGAGAAATATTGGTGATTTGAAGCTGCAAATGACACAATTCTGCAACTTGTGTTTTGGAAAAAGCACGATTAAATCAACAATCAATCAAGGCAAAAGAAGATGAAGAGATGGGCGAGGGAAGAGCCTGGAGAAGGATGGGATGATTTGTGGGAATCTGTTTGTGAGAACCTTTTGAGTTTCTTTTGTTCCGGCAGGTGGGGTTATAGACGTATTTTTGCTTAAAATTTAAATTACACTCAGGTCTTTAGAAATTTAATTATTTTTTCTACCCCGGGACCTGTAATTTTCCCAATATAAATTGCTACAGCACACTCCTGAATTAAGTGAAAACTTCTAGTATATTCCTCAATCCTCTTCTCCTGGCAAAAACCAAGGCCTTCACGGATTGCATGCCTCTCTGCGATCATCCTTGAAACATCCTCAAGTTTGACAGCAAGACTCAACCTATCCCCTGTCAGTTTCTAATGGCACCCCTTCTCCTGCGTGTTCTGAAAGCAACGGTTACCTCGGCTTGGGTTCTCTCCTCCTCCCAAATTTGCCCTTACTCGCTATTGATTTTGCAAACAAACTAAAAGCACTGCAGCAGCAAGCACAAATCACGGTCACTGCCAGTGTCACGGCATTGCGCACTGGTCAAAGTCATTGGACTTGATACGAGGATGAAATCTAGTGTGTGACAAGGAGACATTGTTCGCCACTTCCAGTTGTTAGTTATAAGTTCTGCAGCACTTTTAAGTTTTTAAGTTGCTTTTGGACGAGAAAGAGAAAGAGAAAGAATGGACAAAAGGCCGCCACCAGATCCAGTGGCAGTACTGCGAGGCCATCGTGCCTCTGTCATGGACATTTGTTTTCATCCGTGTAAATCCATATTATTCTCCGGGTAAATAATTTGATTTCTCTGCAATTATTGACATCGATTGTACTCGTTGTTGCTAGATGTGACTGTTTTGTTTAATTGTTTGCCTATATGATAAGTTTGGTTCATTTAGTGGTTTCATTGTCTTCTTGCTTGCAGTTCTGCTGATGGTGAACTACGGATTTGGGACACGATTCAACGTCGAACTGTGTCATCTGCATGGTATCCGTTTCTTCATTTTTTTGTTAATATTTAGTTTTTTTGATCCTTTTGCTTCATAATCATGCAAAGAACCCCCTTTTATATCGAAAATCTAGGACTTCTCTTTCGAGTTCACCAATTGTAAAACTAATTTTGGTGCAATACCAAATGGCAGGATACATAGTGCCTCCCATGGGATTATTGCTGTTGCCAGTAGCGCATCCCTCGGAGCCAATAAATTTCTTAGGTGCTTATCTTCATTCCGCACTTTTCCATTCTATATTTTCAAAATATAGTTTGTGGGAGTTCATTAGCTTATTTTATTGAGTTTCATTTTGATTGAAGTTATTCTGTGTTCATTTAGCCAGGGTAGGGATGGGACTGTGAAATTTTGGGATATCGGTGATGGTGGTGTGTCCAGGTACGTAGCCATGTCTCGTTTAAATGCTCAATTCTATCAATGGCAATTTACTAGAAGGCAAGTTTTCAAAGAAACTTGCTATTAGAACTTCGCCAACTTTTTTTTGTTAATTTCATATGAATTGTGTCACGTAGATTTACGGACCTTTGCAGAAGCTACTAGTGTTCTTATGTAGTATTTATGGTTGCTGCCCCTTTTGCAAATATCTGCATGTGGGTTGGGATTCAAATGATGTGATGTTTCTACTTTTCAGCTGACGTAGCAACTGGTCATCTTATACATCATTCCCCTCTCTCCATTTTTAACTGTATTCATTACCCAAAGAATAAATCATCAATTCGTCTGAATTTCAGAAGATTCTTTTAGTTCTTTCTTCCACTCATTCCTTTCTTTTTTCCTTTGTGTGTTTTTTTTTTACTGCTTTATGTTCTGTGAGATTTTGATTTTAAATTTCATACTTGCTGGCATCCTACGTTATCAGCTGTCGATGTTGAGTAAACTCTTTTTAAATTTAAACATGACTCAGCATCTTTTTCCTGAATAATACTAATAATAATGAGTATCATCTCACTCCCTGGTAATTAACTTTCTCCTTCTAGGATTCCATATCTTACTATCAAGACAAACTCTTACCATTTTTGCAAGCTTTCCTTAGCGAAGAAGCCTTTCACTTGGTCTAAATTTAAAGAAGAGAATGCATCAAGAGATTGCCACAAAATGGAGCTAAAGGGAAGTTCTGATGCTGAAAATCTAGAGGTTAGAAGAGAAGAGACTCAGACTGACCAAAGCAGTTCTGAAAGCCTTAAAGGTCTGTAGATTTTAGTTTTAATGGAATTTTCAGACTACTTCATTTGCTTATTTTTTGCAGTTTTCTCCTCTAGCATTAGAATTATTCCTGTCTCTTATGATATTAGAGTAACATCACATCATGTTGTGATGTGTAGAAATACATATGTACTTGTTGGTTTCGTATTGAAGTTGGGGTTTAAAACAATTAGTTCTTTGCTTGAGAATTGGGACATGATCACTAGTGTGCATATCTTATTAATTTCTGGCAATGTATTGCTGATGGCATTCCAAATGCAAGTTGGAGATGATTGTTGAATGTCTGCTGGGGGAACCTATTGTATTTGTCAAACTGTGGTTACTTTTTTTTAACACACACACACACACACACACACACACACACACACACACACTCACTCTATTATTGTATTGTCATGGGTAGACATTGTCCTAGAATTCTCACACATTGATTGAGATACTTTTCAACGGTAAATATCTGAAGATTCTTTATTATATTCGGACATATTTTAAAAGTGCTTTCTGAGTTCAAACAAGCATTTTTTCAGCTTTTTGTTATTTTTTCTACCTACAGAATTTAGGTATATTTTCGAACTTTGTTATTGTAATATTTCTATTATATAGTACTAGAATACCTGGATAAGTGGATTTGCAAAACAAATTTAGCTTATTCTGAAAAGCTGCTCTGGCTAATTACATTTTGGAGGTTCTTCTGTGATGGATTAGGTTTTTCATCTTGTGTTCTCTTTGGTCATTTCTTATGTAAGTTCATTTGTCTTTGGATTATATTACGGAGTGTTATAGTTTGGAATCTGTTGATTGATGAAACTTAGTCGTTTTTAGATAAAGCATGTCCGGAAGAGTATGTGGCTTTATCAGGGGAGCAGTCTTCCCAGGTTAGCGGGCATCTGATTTAAGTATACAATTTTTTATCTTTGTTGATGTATTCTTCTTGGAAAAAGTCAGGGGTTCTTGATGCTCGTTAATTCCTGCTGTGAAGGTTGAAATTTGGGACCTCAAGTCCGCAAAGAAGTTTGCACAACTGCCTTCAAACACTCCTTGTAGCTCTTCAAATGTCTGCAATAAAAACAGGGGTTATTTTCTGCTCCTTATGATGTTTGAACTTCAGTTTCTCAAATACCATCTTTTTTGGAAATTGGTATTGATCAGGTTTTACAGTAATTTTGTCATGCAATTCTCACTCTATCATTCAAGTAGACTGTCTGTTGCCCATTGCATATTTACTAGTCTTAGTAACGGACGAGCACCAAATCATTATTGATGTAGTCATATATTCAGTGCTACTGCTATACTATGTATAAATGTTTTTGTCTATTATTACATTGCTTATACTAACATCATTATTCCTTACTAGATTTCATATTCTTTACTTCTCCCTTTTTGTTTTTTGCTTTAACATTAAACATCCAGTGTTTTACAGGAATGTGCATGGCGCTTCAATTATTTTTACCTTCTGAATCTCAAGGATTTTTAAATGTCTTGGCTGGGTATAGTCTTAATCCTCTTGTCATCTTTTCTTTTTGTTCCTATAAAGCTTGAATATGTGGTATTGATTTATAAATTAAACAATACTGCCGCACTACTCTAGATGTGGAGTATGTTATGACAAATTAATGTCTCACTGCATTCTACAGAGTGTTTGCTTTTGGCATTTATCTGTAATCAAGTTTCTGTGGGAGGAGCTATTGTAGCATATTTGATTTTTTTAATAATTGTTTACCAAATATCATACCCAAAATTACCTTAGCCTGTATTCTGCTTATCATTGGGATGTTTGAGGATATGACCTAGTGTCAATCTGTTATTGATTTGATTCATCCTTGCTGGACAAAATTATGCCCTGAAGTGGTGAATTGCATGTTTTATCTCATTAGGACATTTTTTGTATGATCAATGCTTGTTAGGATCATTAAAATCAGGACTGCTCTGTTTCTGGTATCTGTAATTTTGTAGAACACGTCTTCATTTGATTGATTGATTCTTTTTAGGAAAAATTAATCATTTAGTCTTTATAGTTTTGACACAGTTATAACTTAATCCCTTAACTTTGACTCATTGGAAATTAGTCCCTGAAGTTTCGACTCTTGCAACTCAATCCCTAAACTTTTATTCTTGTGACTTAGTCCTTATATTTTTAATCATTTAAATATTGGTCCCTAATTCTTGAAAAATAAAGTTGTAAAGATTAAAATTATGTTAAAATTTATGACTAATGTTTTAAATTACTAAACCCTTTTAATCTTTATAAATATTATAAATATTAAAAGTTTAAAATATTTTTAATATTTAATATTTTATTTTTTTAAATATAAGGACCAATATTTAGATAGTTGAAACTCTAGGAATTGAGTTGCAAAAGGCAAAGTTCAAAAACTGAGTTACAATTAACTTAAAAATATAAAGATTGAGTTATAACGAGTTAAAATTCAGGACTGAATTATAATTTGGTCAAAACTATAGGAACCAAATGAACAAATTTCCCTTCCTTTTATATAACATGAATGCTATGTGATAGATATGAAGATGGTTCTATGCTTTGGTGGGATGTACGGAATCCTGGAGTTCCTGTAACTTCTGTGAAGTTCCATTCTGAGCCAGGTGTTGCCCCTAGCACCATTAAACTTTGTGTAGTTATTTTGCTTACTAAAATTTGTTACATTGCTTGTCTTTTGTGCAGTTCTCAGTGTTTGTATTGACGGGTTTTGTAATGGAGGTATATCAGGAGCTGCAGATGACAAGATTGTAATGTACGGTTTGGAGAATTCTACGGTAATTTTGTTTATCTTATAATTCTTCTTCCGTCAAAACATCTCCCACCCTATAAAATTTTCTTTTGGTTATTTGTTCTGCATCTGTGAACTTTGTGTGGAAGAGAGCATGGTACTTGTAACTTTGCCATGCCTTCTACTTTCTCTAGATTTTGTCATGAGCCAATAAACATGTTCCAGTGACTAGCTCATGAGCATGGTTTATGCCAAAATAGATCTGTTTTACCATCTATATCTTTACTGTTCAATTAGTTGCTTGTATTTACTGTTAATGGAATAAACAAAATGTTATGGCATCAAATAATGTTAAAATTTAGTATTATGAAATCATTTGTTTTGTCTTCTTAGAAGAAGGCTCGATGCTAGTGGAATCATATTAAGAGTACAATGGACTCCATAGATCAAGGTCAATGCTCACTTTTGCAAGGCAAAACCCAGATATTATTCCAAGAAACACCAGTGGCAAAAGGCACGAGGCAATGCACTTAAATCCAGCCTCAGCTTGGCTGTCAATTCATTGGAATTTATCACTGGTCATGTTCTAGGTTCTTATACAAAAACTGTGAGATAAACAGGGGTTCTAGATATATCCTGTAAACTACTAACTAAACATGAAATGAGTGGGTATGCTCAATATTGAGTTTTTGTGAAGCTGGGTATGTGAAAGAGTTACAGGTTGCTTGACTGTATCTTATGATGGTTTTTCAGTTTGCAGTTTATAACTTAATGAATCACTTCTTCTTTTTATGTAACATATTGTCTTAAGGGAACATGTGTGGTCAAGAGAGAAATCAACTTGGAACGACCTGGAATATCAGGCACCTCAATCAGACCGGATGGAAAAATTGCTGCTGCTGCTGGCTGGGACCACAGGTTGTAAATTCGTTACTGGTTTTCAGCTTGTCTTTTCTACTCTTCAGCTAATCTATTAGAATTTACCATATTTTCTTGATTACTCCATACTTACTCTAAAGTGCAAACCGAAAGGAAAATAATCTCTCTTTGCATCACTTGCAAACATGTATTGATTTGTAGTTGAAATCGGAAATTATAACCTGTGCAGTTTTCTTTTTATAGGGTAGGGAATTCTGGCATATTAAAGTTTTAATTGAAAATGTTAATGTGACCCTTTCCATTTGCTGTGTGAAGGAAAAAAAAAATCTTTTTTATATCCTTGATGGGATGTTTAATTATACTTCATCCTAGAGATTTCTGATGAAGATGGGTCAGAATAAGTTGCTTTTAATATCCATGCCTGGATTCTCTGATTTATGAGAAAAGTAGACCAAGCTTCTTGTGGTATGAGTTGAAGTTTTTGTGGGAAAAATATATGGTTTGGAGCACATATTACGGAATTTCTGATTTTCACCGCTTTAGAGTGAGGTAGTTATATTTACATGGAAGCATAAATATCGGCATGAGGTAAGTTTCAAAAGTATTGACATCAAACCGAGAGGCCTTTCCTAATTCCTACCACCACTCCTCTCCCTTTAACCCTGAAAGTAATTTTTGCGCCCACATATATTTGAAAAATGACTACGTGCATGATGTCATGTAAGACCCGCTGCATGAACTTGCTATCTATTTCTTCTTATTGGCAGAGTGAGGATATATAATTATCGCAAAGGAAATGCTTTGGCAATATTGAAGTATCATCATGCCACGGTATGTTAGTTGTTTCATATATCTGATTTATCTCCTAGTACCTTTGACGAAAGAGAACTACTTGTCTTCCTTTCATTGACTATCGGACTTCATATATCCTTTGAAAACGTATAACTCTAGTGACGCGTGGTTATACATCTCGCAGTGCAATGCTGTCACTTATTCATCGGATGGTAAAACTATGGCCTCTGCGTCAGAGGACGCAACAGTGGCTCTATGGGAATTATACCCTCCTCAAAATAGAACCTAACCAGTTTGGGTTTCATGTGTTGTACAGGATTTAAAATAAGTCAGTACTGTAAGGTATTTCTCCTATAAATTGATTTGTCAGTTGTCTCTCCTTCACTTATGTTGATGATTATTTTATCTTGGTTTTAAAACATGTTGTTCGACGTCAAGGAATTGAGTGATCTCTAGACTCTGGTTAGTGAGATTGAGTGATGCCTTTCCTCAGTTGCCATCAATTACTGGAATTTATCCTATTAAACAATTTTATTTGGGTTGACCATTCTTTCAATTTTCCTGTTAATGGACCCTCTTCTTCTAGGCCAGTCTATTAGCGAGATGCATTTTCTTGTATACTTTTTTATGAGAAATGCTTCGCAAATTGTATTTTCTTCTGTCATGTAGTTATGGATGATACCCATTTCTAATTCTAATGTTCATAATATTTTATGCCTCGTTTGGTAGGAATGAATTGGGGTGAGAGAAGTGGAAGTGGAATCATAATTTGTCTGTTTGGTATAATAGAACACGGTTCCCCATGAAACCCAATTCCATCAAAATCAATGGAACTGGGTTCCGTGCCTTACCTAATGGAACTGGAACTGGGTTCCATTATCTTCCTGGACTTGTTTACCCTTGCCTTCTCCCTCCCACCCTCACCATGTTCTCCCTCCCTTCACCAGCGACAGCGACAACCCTCCACTAGCAACAATGGTGACGATTCTCGATCATCCTCCTCCAGCAATGCATGGGTTGAGAATAATATTTGAAAATTAGATCTTTGAAGTCTTCGATCTTTTCCACTACTGTGAGTTTGTGACGATGCCTGTAGATTCTAGCGAACTAACCCACTATTTCCGGTTCAACTCCAAAGAGGGTGGAGTAGAGGGTGACAATAACTTTGGTGAAGATGATGGCAAACGATGATGACTCATGACCGACGAATGACAATTTCTAGTTCAATTTCTTCTTCGATTTCTGTCTTTAATTACTCCATTGCATCTTAAGGTCGATTTCATGGCAGAAGGGTTGAAGATTTTCGGCCGAAGCTTTGATTTCCTCCCTCTTTCTGTGTTGATTTTTTTTTTATTTGGGGTTTTAATTATCTGTGTCTGTATTCATTATTTTTTTTTGAAATTATTATTTGTGCTTGGGTTATTGTTTTCGATTTGGGGCTTTGATTCTCGATTAATCATCGTTGTTGTGCCTGCTTCCGTTTTGGGTTTTGATGGTAGTTCATAGTGGTGATGAATGCTTCTGATGGTGGTAGATATTTTCTATTGGAGGGCATTTTGGTATTTTTACATTATAAACACATTTTAATTAAAAATTATACCTTACTTTCATGGGCATATCAAATATGATTTAGAACTCCGTTCCACCTTACTTCTTCTTTCACTTCCACTTTTTTTTTTACCCTACTTTCACGTCCATCACAAACCCTTTCATGCTGTCAAGTGGGGCATTATAGTTACAACATCTAAATATTGGCGTGAACTTCAGATAACGGGGTTTTTTTTTGGGGGGGGGGGGGGTGGGGGGCTGTGCTAGATGGAGAGTGATGGCATAACAGAGGATGTGAAGATGCATTGCGTATCAAGCACTTTACGAAATTATCTATTTTCATTGAAGGCCTCCTTCAGCCAATGACTAGAAACTATGAATGATTCTAATAGATTTTTAGCTATAAAATTGTTGTTAAATAAACTCTATTATTGAGTTCATGGAATTTTTTGCCCAAAAAAAAAATGTGTTCATGAACGACTTGGTAATAGTTAATGTCTATAGAGATGAGATTATATGAAGAAGGAAACTGTGTCATAGAGGTGCACGAAGCCTGTATTTTATCCCTTACATAGAGACACACAGAAACCCTATGGCATTGTACAGAGCCACGTGTATGCACAAAACAAATAAAGAATGGGATCTGCACAGCAAATAAATAGAGCCCAGCTAATGTTATCTATTGGGCTTCTGAGGCTTTAGACACGGCTTTAACATATATAAGTGTTTTATGGTTATTTAAATCTTTTATTTTGACCAATGGATAGTCGGTAGGGTTAGTAAAGGCTATTGTCGACATTCTTCAAGGCAAAGATTCAAACTCTAGAAAGTGGTAGATGTGATAATTAACACGACTTCAAAGAGATTGTTCTATTGACACCTCACTATTATTGTAAGATTTTCTTGCAAGAGATTCAGATTAGTTTGGGGCGTACAATGAACTCGAGATAATTCAGGATACCAGATGGTTTATATTAAAAAAACTCTCATTTTGTAGGAGATGCTCTTCCAATTTATTGATACGTCAATTATTGAATTTATGTTTCACATTATAATAATGTGTGTAATTTTTTTCCAAGCGAAAAAAGAGACTTAGAACTCTAAAAGTTTAAATAAATATGATGATGATTTAAAAATGGTGGAAAATAAGTGGGTGAGGCATGAGTGAAATAAGTATTGCTTTTCTTATTTAAAAATATAAAATATTTTTAATTAAATTTTACTCTTCAATAAAATAGTTATTTATCTTGATCTAGCTTTATCTTTTCATATTTATTATTATTTAATAAGTATTTTACTCTAAACAAATATAAAGCAATTTATTATATAGGGGTATTTTTGAAAAAAATGTAATGATTTTTGTATATTTTTTTCACTAATATTTTTTCTTCCCTCTTTATTATAAAACATAATTACTAGCAATAAGTTTTTTGGTTTGAGTTTGAGCTTTTGATAACGGAGGAACTTTTATTTTCTTGAAATCAAAATGCATTAGTTTTTGCAGATGTAGTTACTTTCTCCCATCAAAACTTTCAAAAAACGTGTAATCAATTAAAGCACAAAGTTTGCCGAGAACTTTTATATAATATTTAAAATATATTAATTATATTAATTTTTTCTAATTGGTTCGAACAGACCATTAAACTGTGAATGGCCGCCTTAGCTTGTTTAATGGCTAGTCCTGTTTTAATAACTTTGTTTGGCTTTGCTTCTCCGAGAAAAGGCTTAGAGGAGTGTCTGCTACACTTAGAACAAAACTATCTAGAAATTTGTAATTTTTACTATAATAAAAATAGAAATAAAATATTTAAATATTTAAATTACATATTTAAATATTAGATTTAATTTGGACTGGTCAGATTAAATTTAAACAGTCCATATTTAATATTTATCTTTATTGAAATATAGAATTATAAAATTATAGTTTTTTTAATGAATCATATTATCAATCTTGACAATCTAAATTTAATATTGATGATTTAAATTTAATATTTAATTTTTTATATATTGACTATCCAAATAGATATACTCTAAAAATTACAAATTTAATATGAATGGTTCATATTGAATATTAAAATTTTTTATAAATTAATTATCTAAATATTTTTTATACAGTGCAATTATCTATTTAAAAACATTTTTTAAAAATATTTTAAAAAATTACATTTTAAATATTTTACATCATAGTGTAAAAATTATAAAAAATTAAATATTAAATTTAGATAATTAATATTAAATTTAGACTGTTAATCTTGATAACAAGATTTATTAAATTTTTTAATAATTTTTCTAGTGTTTTATTTTAATGAAAATAAAAAATAAAATATTAAGTCTGAAAAGTTCAAATTACGTTCCAAATTTTTATTAGGTGCAGTGGATTGTTAGGTCTCATATTAAAAAAATTTGAAGAGTTTTAATTATATAAGTGGATGTGTTATATGTCTTAATGAATCAATTTTTGGAGTAGAGAGTAATTATCCTCACAGACGCTCCTCCAAGAAAAGTCTCGGATGAGCAAAATCCAAGTCCACCCGTCTCCTCCGTCTTCCTTCTTTCCCTCCCTTCCCTCTCTCCTCGGCGCCAGCTTGTCATATGGGCCCACCGAACTCGGTTAGCTTCTGTCCGTCTCTTGTCGTTCAGTTCGCCGAAGTAGATTTGCCGTTCAGTCCGTCGTCTTCAATCTGCGTTAAGTCCTCCGGCGTCGTCCTCGTTCCAGATCCGCATTCAATTTTCCAGATCTGCGCGACGTTCCCTCTCATCAGAAAGTGCGTATTGAATCGTCGCGTTTTAGTTCTCTTGTTGTTTGTTCGTTTTGTTGTTTTTGTCAGTTGAATTTCTTGGACCTTCACGTGTGGAAAATTAGGCTTCACACTTCCTTTCTTGCGATTCTTCTCTGTTAGGTTTTCACATGTTTTGATGGAATCAGTCAATTCATTTTGATCTGGGTTTTCACGTGTGAGGTTGGATGAGAAAATTATTCTGTTGCGCGATTAATTCTTCCGGAGTATGGATTTATTGATTTTATTGTTTGCTTTTAATGATTCTTCTGTTGAGCGATAGAGCAACTGGAATCTGGCATCCCGTTATTTTCATTTTGTAGATTTGGGGAAGAAGGTATTGGAGAGAGAAGAGAGAGAGGAAGCTTGGTGAAGAAGGGGATGGGGTTTCGGATGAAGTGACAGAGATATAGGAGTGCAGACGTGGCGTCAGTGGCATGTGAGTAAGGTAGATAACGGTCAACGCGGTCAATCATTGACGGTGAGGCGACATTGTACCCATTTAAAAAACCGTAGGGCTCGATTGCGCCAAAAAAAAAAAAAAAACTTAAGGATATCAATTGCGCCTGTTTGGAAACTTTGAGAGGAGATTTGTACCTTGACCCGAGTATTTAGCATTACCATTAGCATTTAATTATATGCTTCTGTATTTGGATAAGACAGACAATTTGATATTTGGCTTTTAGTTTGACTTTGTCTATTTGAACATGTTGTCTGAAGTCACTGCAGTGTCTTTTCAGTGTTTTAGTGGAAAGCAACTGAGAGGTCTTGTAATCTTTCGAGTTGAGAGAGGATACTGGGGCTGCTTGAATAGGAGAATGAGGTACTGTGCCTGATTCTGGTTTCAGTTTGAGCTTTTGATAATGGAGGAACTTCTATTTTCTTGAAATCAAAATGCATTAGTTTTTGCAGATGTAGTTATTTTCTCCCATCAAAACTTTCAAAAACGTGTAATCAATTAAAGCACAAGTTTGCGGAGAAGATGCTGATGGAAATTGAGCGACCTGGTTCAAGAAGCAGCTCAAAGTTTCATAATAAGGTAGATGGATGCTTCTGTACTTTGATATCTGTGTTATTCCTGGGGATCTTGGGGTGGGGGACCAGAGGAGTAAATTTGCATATTTTGCTTTCTGCAGATTTTCATCTTTGCTTTTATTGAGGTGAGGACCTGAAAGTTTGTTTGAGCTTTATTTAGCTTGCATAGACACTGATGAGAAATCTGACTGTCATGCCCTTGATTTATTTTATCAAAAAGAGCAGTGAAGCACTGAAATTGAAATCTCATCGTGGTTTGCTTGACTTTATTTGTCCCTCTTTTTACATTGGAAAGTAGGATTTGGACTTTATGTTCTTATTGAGTTATTCGTTTAAGTCCTATCCTCCATCAGGGTTATTACTGTAAAAACTATTTATAGAACTTTATTTGTTCTTGAAATGGGGGGCAATTTCTTCTTGTTGACCCCCTTCGGAAGACTAAGGTTTCCTCTGAGGTCTTGTTCTATTTGAGCTGTTGTACATGTTAAAATTGATACAATGATGCTGGTTCAATGATCACCCAAAACTTTCTTTGCTTATGTGTTGTTTATTGTTTCTTCTTTAATTCTGAAACTACCAGCCATGTCCAGCAGTAACTGCTAAATATTTGTTGTGAAGTTTGGTAATTTTGGTGTCTGTCCAGAAAGTTTGGAGAAATTTCTGATACAATTGACAGAAGTGAAGACAGAAAGGTTCTATGGTAGTGTAAATGTTTGCTAGATGGAAAGGTTCTAATGTGATCTTGCACAGCTTTGCTCTGTTTCAGTCTATATTTGATTGGTTGTAGTTTGCTACAATGAAGCTAACTTCATCTGTCATTAATCATAAATGTAGGTATCTGTTGTCATGGATTATGAGCTTCCTGATCTAACTGGAAATGAAGGAGGTGAAAAGAAGTCTAAAATGAATCTTGGAGGTGAAGTAGATGAGGTGGACATCTCTGTGGCATGTAAAGATTTCCATCAATCATTCTGGGAAGTGCTTCTCAAGTGGATTTGTATGATGGGACCAAATCTCTCCCTGAAATTATGAGCATTCTACAAACAGTGGATTTAGAACAATATATTTCTGATTCTTCTGAGACAAGATGGGTGCAAAATTCGCTCTCTGAAGCTCAGCCTTCTATGTATGCCAATCATTCTAGTGTAAAATCCTCCTCTTTAAGGGAAGATTCTTGTACTTGTCCTTTATCACCTCATTCAATGTCTTCAAAGTCTGTAAGAGAAAAACTGGATCACCAAGTCACCAAAGGGGATTCTCATGGGAATGTAGTATTACGGTCCCACGTCAAGCTTACACCTAATGAGTTATTTCTTGACAAGCCTATTAATTGTATACCTGGATTAAGTAAGAGAAATTTCCAGCAGCTGGAAAACTGTGGCTTTCACACTGTGAGTTCCTAGAAATGTTTGGATTTTGAAATATGTGTTCTTTGGATTTTAAATTTCAAAAATTGGTTTGGATGCACATTGATCCTCTTGTTTCCATCTAGTTGCGGAAATTGTTACACCATTATCCACGAACATATGCTGATCTACAGAATGCACATGCTCAAATTACTGATGGGCAGTATTTGATTTTTGTTGGAAAAATCTTATCATCAAGGTAGCTTCTATTTTTTAATTTCTTTTTTTAATTAGATATATTCATACTTATTGTTTTCTTTTAATGTAGGTTTTAAGTGATATAAAATCTTGCTTTGTCACTTGGATGAGGGTGGGGACTGAGATGATAAATATGCTTGAAGCAACTTGACTTTGCCCATCATGCATGTAGTAAAATGCGTATTCATGCAACATGACATGGCTCATTGCAAATTGTTTCATAATTGATGATGCTTGATATGGCAAGTATAGATGGTTGTGGCTAATGAATTGCATGGTTTGCTTACACATCAAATGATATATATGACCTAAAGGTACATATGATGCTGTCATTCATTTTTTTTGTGCTTGCAGAAGCTTGGCGCTCATGTAATTATTTTCCCAGACTAATTTTAACTTTAGACAACAATGTTCTCAACGCATGAAAGATCCTTTTTGGTCTTTTAAGGTTACTAATAGCTTTTGTATCTTTATTCTCTCTTAATTCAAGTTCTTTTATATATGGGAAAAAAGGCATTATAAGGAATTTTCTGTTTGAAATTTATATATTTTGTGTAACCTTGTGAATATGTTTATGAGCCTAACCAAAAGTGTGGTTATGACTTCCCAAAATTTCTCTCATTTTTCCAACATGGGAAGATGACTTGTACCTTTTCTTTTGAATTTTCATACTTCTCCAACCATTACCTTAATTGCTTTTTATGACTAAGTTTCTGTGTGCCCATGTGCATCTCAGTACATGCACAAGCTGCATGTCCATGTTTTTATGTGCATCCAATTAGTTAGGATATTGGATGGTCTTACATGTTTGTGTTAGCCTCTTGGTAAGATTTAGTATTTTCATTGCAGGGGAGTCAAAGCTAGTTTTTCCTTTTCGTTTCTTGAGGTGGTTGTGGAATGTCAGGTTGTGGACAGTAAATCCGCTTTTCAACAAGTGACAGACAATATTATTAACAAGGGAAACGAGACAATTTATTTGCATCTGAAGAAATTTTTCCGTGGCACTCGTTTTACCTGTAAGCCTTTTCTAAATAGTCTTGCTGAGAAATATCAAAAAGGAGATTTGGCATGTGTGAGTGGCAAGGTGAGTTTCTTGTGTTCCCCCTTTGGTTGACAGATACATCATGTTTTGCGATTGTTTAATATGGAGAAATTGTTTTTTCCCCTTAGGTTGACAGATACATTATGCATACCATTTTTGAAGTTGATAATATATTTGATAGAAACAAACTGTGTGAAGTAGGCTGCTGTATTTAATTCTGTTCTGTGAGTTATCAAGACTTGGTTGGGCACAATCTACAACATACTTTCTTAGAAATATTTGGATTTAGTTGTGGTTTAAGTCCTCCATCGATTCTTATAGTTTTGCACATTATTTTATTAGTTAGTACATATAAGTTTCTAATGGTTCCCTATAATGTTAGAGTGCAAAAACTCATAGTAGGAGAGAAGATGCAGAGATTCTGCAATTCTCACAGTTTGACTTGAATGATGCTACGATTATATAGGAGAGAAATGGTAGTCATAAACACTAAATCCCATGAAATAAGAAAACAGGCTCTCCTAGTTGCTAGCCATCCGTTAAGTCTTGTAAATGGAAAGATACAAAGTCAAATCATAAAGTAAATTAAAACAACTTAAATGCCTAAGATTTAGGAAACGGGAAAGGGGGTCTGAGGTCTCCAACACTGAAGTTTGTAACTGGGTCCTTCCTACTTGTACTCTCCAGGACAAACCTTCAAGTGGATGACCAACTGAAATGGCTTAGCTGACATAACATTTCTTAGCCACGTCATTATCAACCTTGAAATTACTAGCAATAATTGAAATTCAAATAAGCTAAAAGAAATTGAAAAAATTATTTTCCTTTCTTTTTCTTTTAATAGACAGAGTTTTTGATATTAGTAGCCATGCATTACCAAAAGCCTTTACCTTCAGTTATATATGAATTTCTATCTCTATTTGGTTGAAATATTTTCTTATGGTTGAATTTAGTCGTTCTTTTAAAATAGGTGAGGACTATGCGTGCTAAAAACCATTACGAGATGAGAGAATATAATCTTGATGTGCTTGAAGATGGAAACAATTCATCCTTCTGTGCTAAAGAAAGGCCATATCCTATCTACCCTTCAAAAGGAGGTTTGAACCCAGATTTTCTCAGGAATATCATTACAAGGTATGCACTTCAAGGCCTGCCAATTTTTTCCATTTTTAGTTTTTGAATTTTCTATATGACCCTTCAATTTTGAGTTATAAGCAGTAATAATACTCTAATTTAGGTGGGATGATTTGGGGTGCCTTTGGCTATCTGTCAGAAAAATTGATTGATATGATTTTTTGAATATAATTGATTATATTATGTGATATAATTGATTTATAAAATTGATTAATAAGATTGATTTTAAGCCGAATTAAAAATAAGGTAAAACCGTGGTTTTGTGAAAATATATCCAAACACTTCTGTTGCATGCCAAAATCAATTATGAACTTAAAGTCATGGTTTTCTTAAAAATATTAAAACACCCATTGTACATGTCAAAATTAATTATGAACCAAAAACTATGGTTTTTGTAAAGATATTCAAACACCCATTGTACATGTCAAAATTAATTATAAAAAAAAACCATGGTTTTCTTAAAAATATCCACACACCCAAAACCATGGTTTTTTGTTTATAATTAATTTTGACTTGTATAGCCCGAAACCATGGTTTCTTGTTGATAATTAATTTTGACTTCTATAATGGTGTTTGGATATTTTTAAGAAAATCATGGTTTTGAGTTCATAATTGATTTTGACATGTAATAAAGGTGTTTAAATGTATTTTCACAAAACCATAGTTTTTACTCCCAAAATTGATTATATCATCTATCCAGACATGCACTTGGTCTCTTGATCGTTCTGGTTTTCTTTCTTGTATCTGTTTTTAGTTTTTGACTTGTTCTAAAAACAACTTTGTTCTTCATGAGCCAAACTGGAAGCTTAAGGCTCTTGACAGGATAAGTGCCAATAAATGGTGTAGGCTTTTGACCAAAAAAAATGGTGTAGGCTTGAAGACAAACGATAACCTTATCCCCTGACGTGTGCATCATGAATTATCAATCATGTGTACTTCTAAATCTAAATCTACTGATCAACATCTTTTTTTGTGCTGTTGGGTAGCTGTTTTTCGTATAAAATAAATGATTAGATATTTTTTCCATTGGCAAAGAGTGAACCTTTGAATGTGGGAATTGTTCTGTTGACAAATTACAATGGTTTCGCCAAGGAGGAGGAGTTCAAAGTGCAGTGGCAGCATGCAGTCGTTGCAGTTAAATATGCATGCTGAAATTTGCATTGCAGCATGATATCTCAGCACTGCCTCTGTGATCTGCTTAAAAAATAGTCATAGTCTCAAGTTTATCCTGACACAACAAACTATTTAAAAAGTACAAACGGGAGGTGGGGGACCTGACCTTGCTAAGTAAATCTTCGACTTCTCTGGATAAAACATGTGTTTGATGTGTTGATGAGGAATTTTCTGTGTATATATGGCTTTCATATTTTCTATTTGTCCTCTCATGTCTAATAAGAAACATCAAGAATTATACTAATATTCCATATGTAATTTATGAATTTCTATTTTATTTCTTCCAGAGGCTTACAGGCGTTGCCTGTCAATATTGATCCAATACCTCAAGAAATCACTGAGCAATTTGGCTTATTAAGTCTTCATGATGTAAGTATCTTTATATTTGTCATTCTTTATTTCACTTCTCCCTAGTCCCTGCCTTCCGTATTGGTGGCTTGAACTGAACTAGAAATTCCTCTATGTATATGCCTTTTGCAGTATCAGGAAACTTTACGGAAATAGAGTAGTTACTATAAGTGCGCCCTAAGTATTAAGGATGTACAAGCATAGGGGAGTATATGTTGCCTTAATTTACATTGATAATATTCAAAATCATATTCTTCTTCTTTACTATTCTCAAACACCTCTCTCAATCTGCTGTCTTGAATGTTGGAGTGGCCTTCCCTCTGTATATGTTGTAGATCAGGGATAAATGTATCTCTGGATTTTGGTAAGCATCCAAATTTTCATCTGAGGGGATTGTACTGGTAGAACACTTGAAGAATCATAAGATTATTAGTGACCTTTGGTCATTCATCTGCATTATTACCAGAAGAGAGTACTCACAAGCAGGATTTTTGTGAAGTAAGAATGAAAAATTGATTTTCATAATTGGGCATTTCACCTTTTCCTATTGAATTTTCCTCTTATGCTAATCTTTTGCAGGTTCTTTTGATATTTTTTCTTTGAGTTTTAGTTGTTGCTAAGTTCGCATGTTTCTTGCCTCATTTTTTGGGCGTTATTCCAAGACTATGAGCATAATCTTTGATGTATGATGTATGAATGTAAATTTTTTTTATTTTTTTTTTTGGGTCATTGGGCCATTGGGCCATTGCTTGTTCATTTATGTTAATGCTTTAAGCTGTTATGTTAATTAGTTCCTTGACAAGGTGGTAAGCCTACCCCAAAAAGGAATATAGAGATTGGTCTTTCAACCATCAGTCTTATAATTCATATACATGGCCGAAGTGCTGTATTGTTTAATTTTGATAACAATGTAGCTATCAACCACATTTCAAGTCCAGAAACCTTCACATGAAAAGGCATGCTAAAATCATTGAGGCCATTATTGAGCCCTTGTTTGATAGCTTAAGGTGCCATTTGGTAGGGTAAAAGTCAGCCTATGGAAATGGAAAATAGCCTTCTTTCCATCACTTTGCTTGTTTGGTATACTGAACCATTTTTCCCATGGGAAGCCATTTTCTTTTACATATGGGAATAGCAACTCCTTACTCTAGGCAAGAGAAGCTAGCTCTCTGGCAGGAAAATGATGAGAAAGGACCAAAAAAAAAAAAAAAACCTAAACCATGTTCATCTTCTTCCTCCCTCCCTCCCTTTTGTTGGATCTGTTGAGTAGATCCACTTGTGATCTTGTTCACCAATTTGCTTGGGACTGGCTCATCTATCATCGAGTGTACCGTCGAAGGATTGCTCTCTCAAGATTGCTCAAATCTGCTTGCTCATCTTCATTTTACTGGTCTTGTTTTATGATTTTTGGACTATTATGTTTAATGGCCTGCTTTTTGTGTAGTGAAATATGGTTCAAGTACTTGTTTATTTCATCTGGGAAGAGGGTATATATGTCACACCCCAAAATATGGGGGTGACCAACACTGGATATGTATAAAAACTCATTCCTTAAGCCTTTACTCTATAAATTTTCAATTTTCAAATCATAAATATACATGTAATAGATTTAGGAGCCTTCCAATATTCTTTACACCAATAAACACTTTAAACTATATGCAGAAACTTCGGCATCACCTCCTCTATAAATAGGAGGTCCAAAAAATTATATATCAACATTTTTACATAAAACAACAACCAGGAGTTCAGCTCCTATCAACAGACCGACAATATAGTTTAACGAATGAGGATTCTAATTATAGTTTATATGGAGCATCTAAAACAAGATTTCTAAAATACAATACATAAATTAAAATTTTATATCAAGATAGAGATTAACCAAAATGACGTTTCAATTTCAATTCAGTAGTAAAACCTCTTCAGTGATTTGTCGAAGGTACATGGTTAGCTGCACTATCTGAAACCAAAATATTTTTCAATAAATAATATCCCAATAATAAAATTAAAAGAATCAAGATGAATAAATACAAGTAATTGTATACCAATTAAAGTGAACAATCAATATAATATAATCACCAAACTTGAAGATTAAGAGATTTTATAGAGATTCAAAAATATCGAATCATTAAACTTACAATAGCAAAACAACTTTAACCCTTGATTTTGTGAAATAAAATAGATTAAGTAAATAACTGAAAATGGTAACATTTACTAATTAAAATCAATGAAGTGTATGTTCACGAATTAATTAAAAGCTAATATTCTGATGACTTTGTAGAACAAGTAACAAATGTGGACATACAGTATATAAGAATTAATAATCAAACGTGGCTTACACCACGAAGACAAACGTGGATTTACAGTTTAGGAGGATAAGTAACCAAATGCAGCTTAGGCTATGAAAACAAATGTGAATACACAGTCCACGAGAATAACACTATTCAAACGTAGCTCGAAGCCATGGAATCAAACTCAGGTATAGGACTCACGAATAACAAACGTGAGTGTGATGCTTATAAAAGTCAAACTAGCTAGTTATAACTATGGTGCACCAAGAACTAACGGAACTGTTGTTAGTAATCAATGTTCTGCGTACAATCATCTCAAAATCATCTTTCAAACACGCGAGAAAATAATCATTATCAAGATAAAGTTTTCTATTCTCAATATCAAACTTGCACGATCCTTTTAAAAACCTCAATCCTTCTTAATATAAAATTCTTCACTAATTCTAGGCTTTCCTTTATCTAATAAAAGATTGTTAGGGCTAATAAAACTTTTTTGTCTACCTTCAAGATATATTTTATAATGAAAACATGCGTGGGAATGTCATTTCAATAGTCTTCACTATACAAATTACAATTTCATAAGAAAAAAACAAACAACAACAACAACAACAAGCCTTTATCCCACTAGGTGGGGTCAGCTACATGGATTGCAAGACGCCATTGTGCTCTATCATTTATCAAGCTTTTAGGAATATTATTAATTAAGAGATCGCGCTCAACAACTTCCAAGAGTGTTTTCTTAGGCCTTCCTCTACCTCTCTTAATCGGACTCAAAGTTATATGTTCCACTCTTCTCACTGGTGCCTCCCTTGGTCTTCTTTGTACATGCCCAAACCATCTCAATCGATTTTCTACCATTTTTTCTTCAATAGGTGCCACCCTTACTTTTTTGCGTACGTGCTCATTTCGAATTTTATCTTTACGTGTATGTTTGCACATCCATCGTAACATTCTCATCTCTGCTACTCCAACTTTATGCTCTTGCTGTCCCGTTAGAGCCCAGCATTCACTACTATATAACATTGCCGGTCTGATAGCAGTGCGATAAAACTTTCCTTTAAGTTTATTAGGCACCTTACGGTCGCAAATAACTCCTTTAGCTTTTCTCCAATTAAACCACTCAGCTTGAATTCTATGTGAAATATCTCCACTGATTTCGCCATCATTTTGAATAATGGCTCCCAAATATCTAAAGTTTTCCACTTGAGGTATAATTTGATCTCTCAATTTCACTTCCAAATTATTGTCGAATAGTCCTTTACCAAATTTACAATATAAATATTCCGTCTTCTACTCGGACGAAAACCTTTCGACTCCAATGTCCTCCTCCATAACTCAAGTTTGTAATTAACCTCTTCTCTTGTCTCTGCTATAAGAACTATATCATCCGCGAAGAGCATACATTTCGGAATTTCCTCTTGAATATGTTCCGTCAAAACATTTAAGATCAAGTTGAACAAATAAGGACTCAGAGATGATCCCTGATGTAGTCCAATCTTTATAGGAAAATCCTTTGTTTGACCACTAGGCGTTCTTATACTAGTTTTTACCCCCTCATACATATCTTGTATAGCTTTAATATAAGCAATCCGTACTCTCTTGTTTTCCAACGCTTTTCAAAGCACTTCTCTTGGTATACGGTCATAAGCTTTTTCCAAATCAATAAAAACCATGTGTAGATCTTTATCTTTACAACGATACTTTTCCATTAATCCCCTTAGTAGATAAATCACCTCTGTAGTTGATCTACCTGGCATAAAACCAAATTGATTCTCAGAAATACTTGTCTCCAATCTCAACCTGTGCTCAATTACTTTCTCCCACAATTTCATTGTGTGGCTTATGAGTTTAATCCCTCTATAGTTAGTACAATTCTAAATATCTCCTTTATTTTTATAAATAGGAATTAATGTACTTCTCCTCCACTCATCAGGCATTTTCTTGGACCATAAAATCACATTAAATAATTTAGTTAACCATCTCACCCCTTCTTCACCTAAACATTTCCACGCTTCGATAGATATACAATCAGGTCCGTTGGCTCTATCATTTGCCATTTTCTTAAGAGCTTCCTTTACCTCCTTATCACGTATTATTCGATAGAATGACAAATTTTGTTCTCCTTCACCAGTTACTAAATCCTCCAAGTTACTAGATGAATCCTCTCCATCATTGAAAAGTTTAGAAAAGTAAGTCTTCCATCTATTTTTAATTTCATCATCTGTAACTAAAATTCTTCCCTCTTCATCCTTAATACACCTTACCTGTTCTAGATCTCTTGATTTTCTTTCCCTACTCTTGGCAATCTTATAAATATTTTGCTCTCCTTCTTTCGTCTCAAGGTTCTTATAAAATTCTTCAAAAGCTTTAGAACGAGCTTCACCCACAGCTCTCTTAATTTTCTTCTTAGCCATACGGTACCTCTCCCAATTTTCCTCATTGTTACACAAATGTATGGCTTTAAAACAGTTCTTCTTATACTTGATTTTGTCTTGTACACTATTATTCCACCACCAAGTCTCCTTATCTCTCGGACCAGAACCTTTCGATTCTCCCAAAACTACTTTGCAACCTCCCATATCTTTTTAGCCATATCCTCCCATATGATGTTAGCACTTCCCTGAGATTCCCAAATTCCTTTATCCAAAAGATTTCGCTTGAAAATATCTTGCTTCTCGCCTTTTAATTGCCACCACCTAATCCTTGGTGTTACTACTTGTCGACGTTTTTGGATTTTACTCATAATACACACATCAAGGACTAGGACCCTATGTTGTGTCATTACAGCATCTCCGGGGATCACCTTACAATTTTTACAAAGTCTTCTATCTGTGTTCCTAACCAAAAGAAAATCAATCTGTGACCTTGAGGTTCCACTTTTGTAAGTGATGAGATGCTCATCTCTCTTCTTGAAACAAGTGTTGGCAATCTTAAAATCATACGCCAATGAGAAATCAAGAAGAGTTTGTCCTTCATTGTTTAGCTCTCCAAAACCAAAACCACCATGCACCCTCGCATACTGACCAGCTTCCCTCTCGACATGCCCATTAAAGTCTCCTCCAATAAAAATCTTTTCACTCTGTGGTATGTGCAAAGGCAATATAATTAACAAAATATTCAACACTTGAATTTGTACATGAAATCTATTTCAAAAAGAAAACATTTTAGTAAAAATAAATTGTGGATAAGTTAATTTAGGATATTATCCATTTACCTCAAGTGTTCTCTGGCACTAAAATTCATTCCTTAAAACTTCAATTAAGTCTTCTGTTTTCTAAACACTCTATTCAATGTAAAAGAAAAAAAATTAAAATCCTTTACTCAAGTTTAATATTCCATTATTGACAACACCAAAATCAACTAAGTTTTCAAATCATTATAATTTATGCTTTAGTTCCTCCAATCCCCTTAATGCTTTATATGTCTACCTTTCTATTCGACACTTTGATTATATTTTAACTTGTCCTTCCAACTCTTCTATAACACATACAACTAAGTTTTAATCAAGAGTGTGCACGCATGCACACGCACGCACGCACGCACCCCATTAACATGTAATCTGGGAAATATGAAAGAAAATCCCATCATCTCCTTGTTTTATATGCTTCATGATTCATTACAGTAGCCCAACCTTTACCACTACAATATATATATATATATATATAAACAATTTTCATAGCTTTCAAGTCTCAATGGTACCACTTCATGAAAGTCCAATTTCATTACTTTCATCATCAAGCACTTTATCGACATCCTAGAAGCTAACATAAGAACAAACCAACTTGGTCCTTGAATTATCAACCAAATATGCCTTCCAAAAATCCTCTAATTCTATTTTCAACCTTCATTATAGAAAATAATTGTCTCTTATAATAATTTAATTAACAACAATCAATTTATCATACTTATTTGTTATCAAAGACCAACATCCACCTCTTACATGTTTTATCAAACACCTTGCATGCGTTCAACAATTAAACCATAAAACAATAATCTTACTCTTTAAATCCCTTTTTCCAATTTTAATATTTAAATTTATCATTCTTCTGAAATTCGGTACCTTTCCAAAAATCAATTTAAGCTCAATTAGAATTCAAACCCACACCATCATTATCTTGCTCTTAATACAAATTTTTAACTTGATTCAACTTTTCCTTTCCTTATTCAACACAGCACAGGGCAAAGCAAATTGCAAACTCAATAACTTAATACCCACACACACGGATCGTACAAGAGAGAGGATTCAAAACTCCCCATATCAAGCCTTTCTAACAAAGTGAAGAGAAAAAGAAGCAAAAAATGGAGGAGGAGGAAGAACTTGATGCTCTAAACCACAATAGCTTGAGCAAAGGGAAGAGAGGAGGATTCTAGCAATGAAAAACAAGGGAGGAAGGAGATCTAGGCATTCACCGATGCATGAAGAGAAGACTGATGGAGGAGCAGGGGAGTTGACAAACTCATGACTCTGACCTTGATAGTGGTGGATTCACGGTTAATACAGACACCAGTGATGAACTGAACAGTAGGCCTAGCCCCTCACGTGTGCACTTTGGAGATGTATAGAAGGAATGGATGGAGAAGAACAAAGGACTGTAGACTCTTGAAGCTTTCTCTAGCTCACATGTTGGCGATGACAACAAGGACTAATGCCGGAGCAAGAGGGAGAGAAGGGTGATCTCACTGAGCTCTGGAACCTTTGAAAATGCAGAAGGAGGTTGTGTTAGGGTTTCTGATTCTTCATCTCTCTCTCTAGCAAGGGCATGATAGGAATTTCACTATAAACTGAAGCAAAGATAAAATCCTCCCTTTTTACCTTGAGGATTCGAATCCAACATCAAGAGAGTTTCCACTAAGCCGCCACATCTTTCTTGTTATATTTGTCCCAAAATCTAATAAAAATATATTTAAAATACCTTATCATAAATTTTAATTTTTTACTTAAAACTTTGGGTCATTACAATATTTACACAGAAGATGAGTCTAGGAAATTATGGCTTATTGACAGCCTATCAATATAGCCTATCCTATGCAACCTATCACAAAAGAAGCTTTACTTCCTTCTAGCAGACTCTATATATAACCTACAACATAGTCAATAATATCCTCTACTATCCTATTCTAACATATTGGTTTGTTAATTTTTCTGGTGTGGTGGTCTCTTCTCTCTTTTTGGTCGTGGTATTTGATTTTTCTGGTCTGGGTCTTGCTATTGAGGAAGAAGATTGCAGGAAGAGGGAGGGGTTGTCTTCTTTTCATTTTAAATGAGGTTATTTAGGGTATTTTATGTTTTTTATTTCATTGTTTATTTTTTTAAATTTATCATTTTACCTTCCTCTCTTTGGCATTCTAAATGTCTCAGTGGTTGGAATTTTTCCTTTCTCTTCCTTTCCTTTCCTTCTCATATGTTTCCAGCGAAATACATTCTCCCTACTAAACAGGCCCTAAGATTTTTCAAAGAACCTTTTGATTTATAAGCTTAAAGTGTTACATGAACGCCTGAAAATGGGTTTAGTACCCAACACATTACCTTTTACAAAGTATGGAAAAACACATGCTCTCAACAACCTTGTTTATTCTAGGTCTCTACAATTGTGCCTTCCTGCATATTATCACTTGAAAATTCAATTTTCTGTGTTTACAATATAGGCATATATTGGGATCCATAAACCAATGGATATCACTGAAGCTGATTTGGCTCGCAAGAGGCTTATATTTGACGAATTTTTTTACCTGCAGGTGAGGTGTAACACTTTCTTATCTCTCTTACAGTCTCATCCGTCAAATATTCTATTAATATTTTTTCAGTATGTTACTTAATTCATGCCTCTGGTTCGTTTACCCTATTCACACATCTAAAGGAATGTCTGTCAGTTAGCTATTTTAACATTACCACTCCCCACCGACCATTTCTCCTTACATTTGAATTCTTCTAACTTAAAATTGCTCCTGTTATACAACAACTCTAACGTTGTTCTAGAAATGACTCATTGCTCTTTTTAGAAGTTCATATCATTTGATAATTTAAGCTAGCTCAATTATCTTAACCTTTCAGTTAGGCCGCTTATTCCAAATGCTTGAAGGTGTTGGTACAAAACTAGAAAAGGATGTATTGCTAGATAAGTATCGGAAACCAGAAGATAATTCTGTTTGTACAGAGGAATGGTCACTTCTCACCAAAAAATTTCTGGAGGCACTTCCATATACTCTTACATCTAGTCAACTTCGTGCTGTTTCAGAAATTATTTGGGATCTGAAAAGGCCTGTCCCTATGAATCGACTACTACAGGTTTGAATTTCTGTCTTTCTGTTCCTTTATTACCAAGCAGTAGGTTATCTGTTTCTAATTGTTTCTTGCTTCTTGGCTCTTATTCTTCCTGTTTATGAATGTGATGGGACTAAACTGAATTTCTCTATGGGTTATCCACAAATGCTGAGCTACAAACTTCTGAACATTATCTGATATAGAAGCTAAACCCAGAGCAATCAAGACAAATGCATGAAAATAAAATGAAACCTGTGATAAACTAGCCTCTAGCATTCAAGAGGCTAGGACTCTCGATTCACAGCCAAGCTGCCTCTCTCTCACCCCTGCCTGTCACTGTATTACCCTCGCAAGTTAGTCACTCTGTGATTCTCTCCCTCTTTCTCCGCCAAGTCATTCCTCTCCTCTTTTCTTTCTTGTAAGTCTTGAAAGGTTCCCTCCCTCTTCTGCTATAAGTGACCAGCTGCTAGGATTGGGCTTTATCAGGCCCATCAAGATGGAATTCAACTTCATCTCCTTCCTTTCAATCAAGTATAAAAGCTTTCGTTAAACTTACACATTTTAATCTCGTTGGACTTTCAATGTGAGCTTCTTCAATTACAATGATGCGATTTGCCTTAATCAGCAAGTGATAGAATTTTAATCTGTCTTACTTTTCTATGTTGATAGAGCACAATGATGTCGTGCAATCCTATTTAGTGGGATAAGACTTGTTATTATTGTTTTCTTTTCTATTGAGACTGCAAAACTAGCCAGACGGCTACCAGAATTTCAATATGCTTCTGCTTTTTGGCATTGCACGGTTTCTTTTCTTTCTTTCATTCTCTTTTTTGTTAGAGGTGGGGACCTCTTTCATTTGCTTTCTTCTAGACTCTTTTCTTATAAAACTCTTCATTTTCAATGAAAATAGTTTAAATGCAGAAACTTTGTTTGAGAGTATGTGGAAATGCTTTTTTTTTTAATATAATTTTTTGATCAATCTTGTCTCAATCTTCATAGATGTTCAAATATAAAATCTGCTCATCTATAGTTATGATGTGACATACAGGGTGATGTTGGATGTGGAAAAACTGTGGTAGCTTTTCTGGTATGCATGGAGGTTATTGGCTCTGGATATCAAGTAGGTCACGTTTATTTTACGATGGAATCCTTTGTAAATCCAGCATTAGTTTTATTTAGAAAACAGCCCTGCACCGATATTCCATTGCAAAACGGGTAATATCTGGTGGATTGCAAAACAGAGACAGACAAACAGGAAACAGTAACTGAGATGAGAAAATAAAAATGCTGGTTCTCTAGGTTTCAAGAGGCTAGAGGCTTTCTGTCCACTTTTCTCAATGCCCTTCTTTCTCTGCTCCTCCCACTATATTCTCCTCGCTGGTCTACTGAGTTAGTTAGCCAGTTTTGTCTTTTTCCTCATTAAGTGAGCCCTTCTCTTTACTAAATATTTGGGCTCTCACACAGGTTCAATTCCCTTTCTTCATCTCACCTAGGTCTGGCCTGGATGTGCTTTGGGCCTTTACACAGGCTGAATTCCTTTTCTTCATCTTGTAATTAGGATCTTAATTCATTTTAGAAAAAAATTAGAATTAAATTCATGATAACAATTTTTTTTTGTATTATAATTAGGCAGCTTTCATGGTTCCAACAGAGTTGCTTGCAATCCAGCATTTTCAGCACTTGCTTAATTTGCTAGAGAATTTGGCTGAGGTTGAGCGCAGACCCACAGTTGCTTTACTCACAGGTTCAACCCCACTAAAACAATCTCGGCTGATTCGTAAGGTGTGGATGTGAATTCATATCACTTTCTTGCTCATTAGTTAAATTCTGATAAGTTTATTCAAATAATGTTGTGGCAGGGTATCCAGACTGGAGAAATCTCAATGGTCATAGGAACTCACAGTTTGATATCAGAAAATGTGGAATTTTCAGCTTTACGTATTGCTGTGGTAGATGAACAGCACCGTTTTGGTGTGATTCAAAGAGGAAGATTTAACAGTAAGGTGGCCCACTTATCTTTTTCATCTTTGATTTAGTTATATTATGCATGCAAACAAGCACATGATTGAAGAACCTACATGAGACGTTAATGGTTGACATACAGAGAAGAAGGAAAACCAGACGTCTTATAACAAAGCAGAAGACAATTAAAGACGTCAAGACAAAAGATATCTCTACTACTCGTGCATGTCTGCCATGTTTTTTTCCATATACATGAGATGGAAGCCGACAGGGTTACAATTGAAACAAATGGCAAGGACTAAATCTTAAATTTTGTGAAGTCTAGGATGGATTTTAAAAAAAAAAAAATCGTCATCATCATCATCAAACTATGAGGACTAAATTGAAAACTGAGGTAAACTGTAGGAATCAAAAGATTAATTTTCCCAAGATTTTATCTGTTAATTTGCTTTTTCCGATTTGAGGATTTGTTTTTCTGGACAGACAATTTGTACTTTCTTCTGTTTCTGATAAAGTTCTTTTATTAAAAAAAAACAATGGTTTAATTATAAATAACCTATAATTACCGAGCTAAATATGTTAATCACAAGTTATTGTCCTTATAGAAAGTAGTAGGGATCTGGGTCCAATGTTCTGGTTACATGTTCCTTGCCTCTGCAAATTGCATCTTTCATGCAGCCTGATATTGAAAATTTTCAAAATTGGCTAGTTTTTCACTGCATATTACTTTCTAATTTCTTGGTGGGGTGATATTTTTATCTCTCAACCTGCCATACTGCAGTTATATTACACTTCATCAGCTTCTCAATTGGAAGATGCTAGTTCAAATGGATCCCCAAAGAGTGGTTGTGATGCATATATGGCTCCTCATGTTCTTGCGATGTCTGCAACTCCCATCCCAAGAACACTTGCTCTTGCTTTATATGGTGATATGTCACTGACTGAGGTATTTAATATTTCCTGTCCTTGTGATTCAGATGATACACGCCCTCCCCTCTCTTATTTGGAGGCAAGACCTTTGAATTTATTATGTCTATAGTGAGAATTAATCTGATATTCTGTTGCTCTTCCAAGTTATTCATTGTCCTGCACATTTTTAGGTACAGTGTATGGTATATTATAGACAAAGTTTTATATTTATGGATAAAATAAACTTTTTTTTTTCAAGAAAACGGAAGAAAAACCTAGAGTGGATATGAAATATTCTGTTATGGAAGAAAAAACTAGCAAGAAAGATGAGACGCACAGTGCGAAAACTTAATCATGTAATACAGCTGCCCAAACCATCTGCATAACTGACAGAATCATAGAGAAGCCGCTGACATAAATCCTAGCCCATAGGTTTTCAGGGGACAAGAATGAACCTCTACGAGCATTCCATTCAAGTATACAACAAAACAAATTGAAGATAGCACATTGCTATAAAACCTGGTCAACCTTTCGGTGAATAAGATTTGTTAACATTACCAAGAGTATTGCGCTAATTTGAGAGGGCACGCCTGATTCTTACCAAACAAATACAGAAGCAATCACTAAACAAAGTAAAAGTAAATTAACAACAGTTGAAGTACCAGACATGCATATGATCTATGTGCGGTGATAGAGGTGTCTGCTGTGTTTGGTATGCGAATCTACAGCATGTCTTTAGCAGGAATCCTATCAAGCACCAGCGTCCAGGCATCCAGATAAACTACCAGGCTTTTGTAGGCATCTTTCATAGGAATCAGTTAATCCCTTGAACCTTGGGATTTTTTCATTTTTATTGTTTTCTGTTTGTTTCTACTTTGTCATTAGCCATCATGAAACCTTTTATAGCTTCATGTTGAAACATTAAGGAGCAGTTTATGCTGCTCATAGTGTCTAGACAGATTTTTAGCCATGCAGTTACTGGATCACATTAATACAGTTGTGAAGAATATCAGCAACAGAGAAGGAAAAGTAAAAGGAGCAAAATTGAAGATTAACATCTATTTGTCTTTTATTTATTTCTCTTTTCGTTTGCTTGTACAAATTTTCTTAATTTAGTGTGCAAAATGCTCTTCAATTGCTAACAGAACTATTTTTGGCTTCCAATCACAGATAACTGATTTGCCTCCTGGAAGAATTCCTGTTCAAACATTTGCAATTGAAGGAAATGAAAATGGATATGAGTGTGTCTACAAGGTGACAATTCTTAAAGTCTTTGGGAACAATGTGCTTAATCATTGCATTCTCATCTTTTCCGGGGGCACTATGTTTTTTCTTACCTTTGTTCTTGGTAATTGATGTACAGTTTAATACTTTAGGCAACTAAGTTTTAGTGATAGACATGGGCTTCGATCTTTTTTTATATGGCCTGTAAACAATATCTGCTTTTTATGCATGATCAGGCATTCATTCCACACCCTGAAAATTGAATGCTTTAATATTGGGAATCCAGTTTTCTTTTCATTTTGATATTTTGGCGTGCTCCTAAATCCTAGTGTTATGGGTAAGGATAAACTAATGTGTTTTTTTAAAAATTGTCTTTTTAATGACTTAAAATCACCTAATGCATCAAACTGTTGCTATTCTGATATTACACACAAACCGATAGTAAATAATGGAATTGACTACTCCAGAATTAAACTGATTCTCACAAGGACATGGGATTGACTGTTGTTTTGTAACAACATATGCAATCTCCATCTTAGATTGTAAGAACTTAAATAGAATTCTTCATGTGCGTTATTGCTCTGTACCCACCCGTGTTCACGCATGATCCTTCCAATTTCTCACTTTTTAGTTGGTGAATCCTGAGCTAAAGATCAAGTATAATTGCTTGTAAGATATAAGATGTTGAGTTTTAGTAAATAAGTTATTTATAATTTTATAGTAGGAACATTTTTTACGATTATGCAAATTGTTCTATATATTGCAGATGATGATGGATGAGTTGGAAGATGGGGGAAAAGTATATCTTGTGTACCCAATTATTGAACTTTCTGAACAGCTGCCACAGCTTCGTGCAGCATCTGCAGATCTAGAAGTCATATCAAATCGGTTTCAAGGATACAACTGTGGTTTGTTACATGGGAAAATGAAAAGTGATGAAAAAGAGGAAGCATTGAGAAGGTTTAGGACTGGAGAAATCCATATCCTGCTTTCCACACAAGTAATTGAGATTGGTGTTGATGTTCCAGATGCATCGATGATGGTTGTTATGAATGCTGAGAGATTTGGGATTGCTCAGTTGCACCAACTTAGAGGACGAGTTGGACGCGGTGCAAAGAAATCTAAATGTATACTAATAGCCTCTGCTGCTGGTAGCCTAAATCGGTTGAAGGTTCTGGAGCACTCATCAGATGGCTTTTACCTTGCTAAGATGGACCTTTTGTCACGGGGACCAGGTGACTTGCTTGGAAAGAAACAATCAGGACATCTTCCAGAGTTTCCTGTTGCTAGATTGGAAGTTGATGGGAATATCCTACAAGACTCACACCATGCTGCACTGGTAAATTTGTTAACATTCCCCAAGAGTTATTAAGTTATCTGCCTGATTTATCCGGTCTCTTCTTTTGGTAGGTTGTTGACTTGATTATTAGTTGTTGGTTTAATATCACTTGAATATGACAATTGTAACAAGATGATCTCTTAAAGATGCTGAGACCATGTTGACTGCTGATGATTGTGATCTACTTTAACTAATGATCTAGCAGACTGCTTTACTTTCAATGTTCACAGGTCGACTATAGATTTAGGATTGTAAGTTTGGCAATCCTCAACAGCAGCCATCTGGTCGTTGCTCCAGCGCTTCAGTTAGATTAACCTATTGGCAGCTGATGTTGTTGGTATAATTACTGACATCATAAACCGCAGTTGAAAATCATCAAACTTCTTTTGGTGCTACTGACTAGGAGCATTGAATAGCTTTTTCACATAGTATAGGGTTATTTAATTAGATGCTCTAGAGTACGTATCCTATTCTTCTATAGAAGGTAAGGAGTCTGGGCCAAACTCTCCATTCCAAAATCCGAACTTTGGTATCTTTTTCCAGGAGATGTATTTTGGGGTGCAAGGGCATGTCAACTTTACTTTTCTGGGCATCTGGCGGTTCTTTGCTCAAGTGTGTTTCACTATCTGCATCTTTAACTTCTGGGTTACTCTTAGCTACTGAAGAAACAGATTTAATATCCTACATCATCCTATGCTTGAAGCTCCTGTTATATGTCCAGAGGACAGTAGTTAGAATGCAAAGAAAACAACTAGGAAGTAAAGCATACAAGGATGAATACAATTTTAAACATTCAGCTAAAGGCCAAACAGTTTGAACAAAATCCAGGTGGTCATCTGGAGGACAAAAATATGCAGAGTTTGAAACCTCTTTATGTTAATGAATTTCATGTACAGCCGTGATTGACTTTGATCTGAAGCTTGAGGTTATTCTCGCTTTTGCACAGCAAGGAATTTGACTTGCTGAAGAGTTTACAATTATCTACCAAACTTTTATTTAGTGATAACATTATTTCTTTGAAATTGAAGTTGTCGCTTTTACAAGTATGACCTTTTATCTCTCCAAATTCTGATTCCTTGCTTAGTAGAACGTATGTTGCACAATCAGTGCTTAAGTCCATAAGATGGGTCTCACTTTGTTATTTGCATGCAGAAAATTCTAAGTACTTCCCATGATTTGGAGCAGTTCCCTGCGCTTAAACTGGAGCTGAGCATGAGACAGCCGCTTTGCTTGCTTGGCGATTGAGACCCCATTTGGTATTTAGAAAGTACCGTGCTCGTTTTTTATTAGCATTTCCACATATTGTGTGATTCGATTTGATGGGTTCTTCTTTTGTATTTTTCAATGACTTAGGCTTTGCCCTTTAGGCGATGTAGTTTACTTGTAAATTTAATGATCTGGGCTGTGGGTTTGACTTCTGAAACTGGACTGCTACAATATGCCATTGGTGCATCAGTGTATTCTCTTTTTCCCTTTTCTTCAGCCATGGCACATCTTTGTCTTTAGCAGAATTTGCTTAGAAGCTTACACTTGTGTTGCTGTGGAAAAAGAAATGAGCAAGTTTACTGGGTTCGATGGTGCAGTCTAGGGACACGGTACATTTAGTTGAGTTTTCCGTTACCCTATATATATATATATAACTTAGCAGGTCTTTTACTGTTTCAATTACAAATCAATAATTGAAAAAAGTTCAAGTACACTGTTACGCTACAGAATTTAATATGAACTATGAAGGTTATATGATGATAAGAACCAGCATAACTGTGATGAAGCGACATGGAAGGTGAGCTGTCGAAAATTAATTAAATTTAAATTAGTAACAATTTAGTAATTATGTTGTTACTATATTCCTGTATATTCAATTCTTCGTGGAAGTGCACCATGTTCACTTTTTTATATATTATCAGAGGGAAGGTATATGTCGAAAAGAATGTATAGGGGTATTAATTAAAAAATAAATTAAGAAATACACGAAATGCACATGGTGTACGTTTCCAAGGAATTGCCCCGAACTATTGTTATGATACGGAATGTGCAATATAGTGATTGAAACAAACGGAAATTTATTTTTATTGTTATACTATTACGAAATTGGAATGATGCCGACACTTCGTTTTTACTGAAAATAACCATAATTTTTGTGAAGTGAAAACGAGTTATATGATGTTATATCATGAAAAGCCAAAAGGTTAATTTGTATTCCATTGATTCCCTCAAAGTGCTAGGTGCTTTTTAAAAGAAATTTTATAATATTAAAAGCGGTGGCATGAATGAAAAGTTACAAAACTGTAAATTTGACCATAGAAAGAGAAAGGGAAGTGGAGTAGAGGGAGATGGTCAATGATGATGATTGCCATAGTCTTGAGTTACTATAACCGGTTGAACTAATAAATCGTTGAAGCAATATATTAATTACAAAAAAAATAATAACCTTTATTTTATTAAGTGGAGTTGGCAAATCACTTTATTAATTGATTTAGTAAAATATTTTTTTATGATTAATCTGAGATTTTGACCCCTTACTCTTAAACTAACATCCTGATGTATTAACAACTAGTATGAGTTTCGGTTGATCTATGATTACAAGTTACACAAAGAGAGATGCAATGGCTTGGAAGGATGATTTGGTGAGTGATTAGAGGGGACAGTGGAGGCAGAGTTATGCTCGGGAGCCCCCCACCAAGTGGTCACAAGGTGGGTCCACCTCTCCCCGTGTTCTCTGTGCTGTCCCCTTCCCATTATCTCCCCTCGTTCCCGTCATAATCATGTCACTCTTCTCCTCACGCATTTCTGCTTTTTCACTTTTGCAAAAATCTTGCCTCTTGTCCTTATTTGGTCATCATTCCCTTCTTGTCAATTTCTTCCAGATGCTTTCTATCCTCTTCAGATGTTTAGTTTTTTTCATGTCAAATAGAAGGAAAAGCTATCCAATTTTACTGGTTTTTTTTTTCATACTATTTTTTTAGCAAAACTTCATACCCATACTTAATACTCTTCCCTTTCTAAGCTGTAGTAGACTTTTGAGAAGATTTGGCACCATAAGGTATAAAGCACTTTGAAAATATTAAAATTTTATTAAATAAAATGCTTTCAATATTATTATTATTTTTTTATTTAATTTCTGTCCCTCCTTTCCTCTTTTTAATATGTTAAATAGAGGGTATTTTAGAAGTTTGTATTTTTATTTTTGAAAAAATAAAATTATTAAGTGTATTTAATTAAACTTATTGGTATGTAAAATTTTATCCAAAAATGTCTCATATTTTGGAGACGGAAGGAGTACTAATTAAGCAACAACAAAAAAAATCTTTCATATCCTTAATCTTCTTCGTTTCGAGTTTTTGACCCACCATCGCTTAACCTCAAGATCGAGAGGTACTGATAAATAAACATGTAATAGTAAGTATGAGTGGGTTGATGTTATTTTCCTTTTTCTTTTTTAAATTCAAAATATTGTTACTTTTGTCCTCATAATGATACAAACTACTCCCTCCTTTCCAAGTCTTTTAGGGGTGAAATTTTTGTTGCATGTTATGAGGCTTTTTATAATTTTAAAGAAATATTTAATAATGCATACTCTTCCTGTTTTACCCTTGTTTAAACCAATAATTTAACAAGTTTATTTGATACAATTAAATAGTATATTCAACCCAATTAAATAAGACATAAATTTAGTAAAGTGATATTTTTGTATATTTTAAATTTATGCACTTGAATCTTGAAGGACAAATTTAATGAAAAGGAGTGAAAGTTATATAATAATCTAGTTTTTTGTTTACCGAGGAACGGCAAAAGTGGACTGTGACTTGGACACTAACGTAGCTTTCATTGCATCATGCCATCATCCAACGCCCTGGATGCAGCCTTGTGAGAAAATCATGTGATATACTTAATAATTATTTTGAAAATATTACAAATTAAAATTCAATTAATTTTAAAAAGATTGAAGCAATTATGTTATTTTCTAATTATATTCCAATATGTTGTTTTCTTAAAACTCTCGGCTTTGAATGTTTTAATATTCTGATTTCAAAATAAGAGTAAGTGTTTAATATCTCATCCTAATAAGGGTCGCGTGAAGCGTAATAATATAAAATGTATATTAAATCATATTATTTATAAATTGTTCATATTATCTATAATTTTTTCAAGCTAACTTTATCAAAAACAAAGTAAAAATATTGCGATACTAAAGCCCGCGAAAATAGTGACACCATTCCTTTAGGCCAAGCACACTAGAGAGAAAAAAGATAACTAATTGCAGACAAGCCAAATCAAAACACACAACCAAGCTAGAAAATACAACCAAAATCGCATAAGAAAAAACGTCAACAACAAGAAGAGACCAATCATAACTGGAACAAGAAGGAAATTATCTAGCCAACGGATCGATCTTGCTAAAATGCGAATACCAGAGCAAAAGTAAGCTGAATATGAAATGTTTCTAAACCTCCCTTCATTCGAACTCGGAGCTGATAGACTATGAAGCATGATGTTGATTCTAGTAGGAAAAGATAATCCATTGTTTCCAAGAAAATAATGGAGGTTTATAACTTATTAAGTTTGTAATTTCATTTCCTAAGTTTTTTTTTTTATAATACATATAAAAATAAGCCCAGTCATGTAAAGTAAAAGGGCATTAAAAACATTTAATCTATGAAATTGTAAATAAAGATAAATTCCACGTGACCTAATATGAAACTGTCAGGTGAACACAATGATGATTGGATAATAAATTGTTAAAAAGAGACCCGAAAGGCTTGGAAATATATAAATAATAAGATTTGCATCTTTGCTTCCAATATTTTTTTATTTTTATTTATTAATTCAAAATCCTTATGTGATAGAATTCACATTCGCAAATTTTCCTCATTTGTCTATTTTCCCGTTAACCCCAAGATGTGATTGATAGGTGTCCTGTGTCATAATATTTCTTGACGTAGATCGGATGAGTTGTCCAGGATTATATGAATTTGTTGAAGTTTAAGTTTACTAGTGATTATATATTACAGACTCAACATAATGAGAGCCTATTTTTAGAAATGATGCGTTTCATTATTGCAGTCCTTTGTAATGATTTGTGAGACAATTTTGTCCGAAATTTTCCAGCTTGTTTATCAAACAAAGTAGATTTATCCTTTATTCGGATATAGAGAAAAATAGAGGGGAGAGAAAATTAGGAAGAAAACTTTCAAAAATAGTAAAAAAAATAAAACTACTAAGGATATTTTCTCCCCTCCCTACTTTCTTCCAATTTTCTCTCCATCTAAGCCAAGCCATAGTAATTAGTTTGTTTCATTGAATGTTATATGTTGATAACATGATCATTAATGTGAAAAGGTGATCACTATGTTGCATACAACCTACCTTTCTATTTCATGAAACTTCAATTACCAAAACAAGAAATTATAATTTGGTGCACATAATTGAATCTTCTAATTAACATGTGGCCAGAGATTTTCTCTTTTTCCTGCCACCAAACTAGTGATGCAGATAATAATATCTTTCTTAGTCTATATATAAGTTAGATGTAGCATAGGTTAATACTTCTTCATATAAGTTATATATGCATTAATTATTTTATTATACAGAGAAAAAAATCGCAAATTTACCATTCAAAACATACTCTATATGTTTCAACTCGAACCAATATATAGTATTCAGGACATCATTTGCTATTGATGTTATGTATATAAAGTTATTATAAACAGATTTTATGTGAATAGATTATAAAATAAATCACTATATGCTGGGAGAAAATTAAAGGTTAAAATATACGTTAATCCGATTCATATGAACCGAGAGGAAATGGATTGGATTCAATTCATCTTCACATGAATTAGGAACTTGAGATTTTCTCAACCCAACTCAAATCGTATAGATTTGTGAATTTGTTTTCATTTTCTTTTTGACGATGTAATGACTAACAATTAATTGTCTTATCCTTTTACAGGGGATTAAATTTTTGTTAACGTCATTATTAATAAATAGAGATTACACTATAGTACAGGTGTTTGAGTAGTGCTACTCTGATTGACCTCGTCTTGGCTTTCTTAGATCAAACCAATCGAACTCGAAGGTGTTATTGAAACTTCGTATGCATACTATAATATATTTTTATTAAAAAGATTAACACCAAATAGGAGTATTTGTTTTTGCTGCATGCAGAGGAGTCTGAAAAGTGAAAAGCTTGTGATTGTTGTTGTGTTTGGGTGTGGGGGCAATGAAAGTGGTTGGTTGGTGAAGGCAGAGACAGAGAGTGGCCAATTATTTCATTTCCTCTCCTCTTTCAACTCAACCTTTTTAATTGTTGCTACTCTCCATCACTTCTCATTTTAAACTAGCTTCATAGTTATCAAAGTGTTCATCTTTTTAAAAATCTCTTTGAAACAATAGATAGATAGGAGTAATAATTTAAGAACTATTCAAATTATATACTAATAAAATAATTATTGATAGAAATGTGAACAAAACTATAATTATTTTAGCCAAGATAATTTTATATTTAAAAGGGATACGATATATCAAGTATTAACGTGAGTGCACTGTTGAGTACAGACTAGAGAGTCATAATCTAAAGTACTCCATGTAAATAAATTTTGTACTAATTAATAAAATAAGTTACTAATATTAGTTCCTATTATTATATAAATTTTATAATCAGTCTATTAATTTTTAAACGAGACTTGTTAATGGTGAGGAAAATCTTCTTCCTAAATCCTTAGACGTGATTCTCAATTATTTATGGGCGTCATTATTTTGCTGCCACGTGACACCCATCAACGGGTCACATACTGTTCTTTGACTTTGACGACCTCGGTCAGAAACCCTAATTAAAACTCTTGTTAATAGTAGCAGTTCTTTGGAGTCTCGACCCTTTGAACTAAAACCAACCTTTTCAGTTAAATTTCCCAGGGTTCATTTATACAGGCTACTAATTGTTAATTAATATGCGTATCCTCTCTATTTATTTGACTTTTCTATGTTCACCTTTTTTATTTCATAGTATATATAGATATATCCTCCACTATATTCTTATTTCCTTTCCTTCAGATATATGGATGTTATTGTCTCCTTCTGTTTGTCGCTTTACCTTTTCCTCTGCTCTTAGAGAGAGATCAATCTTCTCCTTCTCCTTCACCAGCACCATCTTTTTCATTCTCTCCAGAAGATTTTGCTTTATATATACATATAAATATATCTGTCCTCTATCATTTTCCATGGCGGTTACACCTAGAAGCTCTTCCGGCTTGGAATTGACCATATCTGTCCCTGGCCTTGCTTCTCCTCCTCGTCTTCCTTTATCTGCGGGTCATCATCTTTACTTTTTTTTTTTTACATATATACATACTTCTTCTGCCCCTTCTCATGATCTTCTCTCTTGTATATTTCTGATCTTTAATTTTATGTGGAAATTTGTTATCTTTCACCTTTCTTCTTGGTTTATTCATTCACTTCCCACGATCGCGTTTCGCAAGAATTATTTGTCGGTAAGAAGCCAAAAGGATTACGATTGTATACTGACAACAAGGTTAAATTCAATTCTTAATTTCATGATTGTCGTTAGAGGTTTGGTGCGGTATGTCTTTTCTCTGCTTTTGAAAAATTGTTTATAGCTTGTAGGAAGGTCACAACTCAGAGTTTATATATATATATCTTGAACGAGATATTAATATTCCGGTAGATGATCCTCTTTTTTCCAATTAAAACTTTGGGAAGTACATAAGTAGTCAAGAAGCAAAAAGAAAGGTTGAAGATATATATGTAGAAATTAAATATGGTGATGTTACGTTAATGTGCAGTGAGAGAGTTGGACATGAACCGAGTACCGTCATCAGAAGAGGAATGGATAACAATGGAAGAGGAAGAAGAAAGCAGTAACGGAGGAGGAGGTCCTCCGCGTAAGAAACTCCGTCTGACCAAGGAACAGTCTCGTCTCCTCGAGGACAGCTTCAGACAAAACCACACTCTGAACCCAGTAACTCTCTTTATTTGAAGCACGCTATGAATCTAGGCAAAATTAAGAGTTTAGTGCTTGAAGAGTGTTCATTTGGAGAGAATTTAATGGGAGTTGATTGATGATGCTAAAAGGAGATGTTTGGGGGTTGTGCAGAAGCAGAAGGAATCATTGGCAAAGCAGCTGAATCTGCGAGCCAGGCAGGTGGAAGTGTGGTTTCAGAACCGTAGGGCCAGGTATACTATGTAACCCCAGCTGATTTATTACTATCAAATGCCGTTTCCTTTTGGCGTGGGTCTGGGTCAAAATTTTAATGAGACAAAAATAATTAAGAAGCGGCATGCCTCATAACCTGATCATTTCATCTATAACCCTTTGTCTATATATATTTATTAACAATCCCTAGTTGGGAAAGTAGCTGTAGAGAGCTGCTTTGGGAGCATTTGATTTCCTTGGGGAAACACACGCCTGCATAGAGATAGAGTAGTGGTTAAAATGAATGTTCAGTAGTTGAGGGGAAATTAAGAAACAGAAAGGGACTTGACTTGTTAGGGTAATACATATAGCGTGACAATATTTATCCATCTGCCATATACAAGATCAGAGGGTGCAGGTGTGTTGTTTTCTCTCTCAACTTAAATGAATGTTAACGTTGTAGAGTATTTACATGCGCACCATTGCAGTGCGTATATGGAAGTATAAGTTGAGAGAGAGAGAGGGAGAGGGTGGGAGTAATTAGAGGATGGTGGGGAGGGTGGAAATGAGGAAAAGGGGAAGACAGAATGATGAGGATGTCGGAAAGAAAGAGGGCAGGAGGCGGCATGATGGCGAGCAGGGTGCATTTATGGACTTTTGTATGTTCAGCCTCGTGTGCTCTTTCTTTAGTCCTTACTCTTCCTTTGACCACTCCTTCCCCTCCTTTCATTTCTCTTTCTTTCCTTCAATTTCCATGCATTTCCACGCTTCCCTTCGCATTACTGCCATTTTGTTATCACTATTCATTAAATGTTAGTAAATCCTTCATGCATTCATATGCCTATCCATCATGCAAGAAGCACACTAGCTAGCACTATATAATATCACAAAATTTAGGAATTGTTTCGTTTTCATTTACTGCTTTTTTATGACACGTTTCTTTTCCCTGTAATGATCTCCGCGGATTACAGCTTGTAACCAGTAGTTGTGCACAAGGACCGTCATGCTACTATTTATTGCACGTTTAATGTCCTTGAAAAGCTATTTAATTTGCCATCAATAATTAATTTCATTTTCTATCAATATTATGTTAATATCATATCCTATCTCTTTGAAATACGTTCATGTCCTCCGTACACTGTTTCATTTATTTAACTTTTCTAATGTGCGGTGTTATATAGTTTTAATCTTGAATATTTTGACTTTGCCCAGTGTGACAAGGTCACCATAACAACACAGGTCCGCCAGCGGTGCTGCTCATTAATTTAAAAATTCATGAAGAACAGATAACCTAAAAATAATATAATGGGAAATTGACTCACGAGAGTTATAAAACATGAAAAGTGAAGGTACAAATCTAGTAGAATAATGTGAGGAGAATAATACTGAGATGGAGAGGTAACAAGGGAAGAGTACTGGTGCAGGAGCAAGCTGAAGCAGACAGAGATGGAGTGCGAGTACTTGAAGAGATGGTTCGGATCCCTGACAGAGCAGAACAGAAGACTGCGCAAGGAGGTGGAGCAGCTCAGGGCCATGAAAGTGGGTCCCCCGACCGTGATCTCTCCCCACAGTTGCCACCCGCTCCCCGCCTCCACCCTCACCATGTGCCCTCGCTGCGAGAAGGTCACCGCCACCGCCACCCCCGCCGCCGACACCGGCCCCACCGTCTCCTCCTCCCTCCTATAATCTTGCAATGTCCTCTCTCTCACTAAATGCCAAAAAGCAATCTCTTCTCTTCTCTCTCCTCTTAATCTTTATACCTTTTTCTTTTTTTAAACAAAAATTGGGTCTTGGATGCTGCCATCATGCCGGGCCATACTTTGCACTAGCACTTTGCGATCATCAATTAATTAGGCCACTGTAACCGTAAGTTCCCCATGTTATACGTGAATCTTTGAAGCCAATCACCTCTGGAGTTTCTAGCTAGTCCCCCACGCGCTGCATTATTTTGCTTACTCCTTGAAGCATCCACTTGTATCCGCCACCCTTATGAATTTATAAACACGTTGTTTTCGCCACAAAATTAATTAATTAATTACATAGGTTTCCACCCAAAATTTTCCATTCATGTTAGTGGCCTTTCAAGTTAATTAATCCTACCTCTCTCTGTCTCTCTCTGTCTCTCTCTACCTCTCTCTCTCTCTCTCTCTGAGTGTGCCCCTCCGTTTCGAGATATATGTCCTATAAAATCAAAAGAATTATGCAAAATAGTAGTTTGCAATTAAAACTCAAAAAGTGATCTGATTTGCTTCCTTTAATGGAACAAAATTTGAAAAAAAAAAAAAAGGAAAAGAAAATCAAGAGAGCGCCAACCTTTCAATATCACTCGCTTTTCTTTCTTTGCGGCCATCATCCTTGTTCCTTTTTCTACTAGCTATGAAAGATCACATTGCTGGCTACGTGAGATAATTACAGATGGTGGCGCGTGATTGATAATTACAGCACGTTGGATGGCAATGCCTCCATCATCTCCCAAACGAGTATAAAAATCTCAGGGTCCTTCCGTAATTAATTCATATATATATATATATATATAGCCAGCAACACGATGTAAAAGTTTTCTAAGTAAAAACAAAAGGTGAGATTTAAAGTTATACATATGAAAACTCAAACTGTAAAGAATTACTCCTTACATTATATTTGAGTACCGGATAATAGTACTACCATCTTAATTCTTTTTTTTTTTTTTCAATTACATAGCTATGGTAAAAATCATGTAAGGAGATTAAAATTAGGTCACGTCAGAAGCTTTAAGACTTCTATAGTCAATAAGCAGTATGTCAAATAAAACAATATTGAAATCATCCCTCGAAACTGCCATCTTAATTCTTATCCACATTCCTATTCTACACCACTAGACATATTTTTTTCCCATTGTACGGACTATGAGGAATAAGTTGTGGTGTTCCTGATTTGTAATTATATGGCTTATTACGAACATTAATTTATGTTCATTGATATACTCGCCAGTTAGTAGTTCATTCATCACCCATAAATCACAGTAGGATCGTTGAATGCAATGCAACATCGGAATGAGCAAGATTTGAATTCTTGTCCAAAGGAAGTTACACAGCTTTTATTATGCATGATAGGGCCCAATACAAGATGAATGCCAGTGTTAAAAAACGCTAGCGAATATGGGCCAACACATGTTTTGTGTCCGGCTTAAAAGTTGGCCCAAAAAAAGTCTCGTCTAGAAACAACGTTAGAGAATTATATTCCACAAACACTCTCTATCTCACATGCGCTCGCGCATTTTATGTTATTTTTTTTCACCTGGCAAATGGTGAAGAAATTTTGGATATGGGAGTGTAGCTGTAGCTGGGAGAGTTTTAATCAAGGAGAATGACGATTAAAGCTCTTGTAAGGAAATGAATATAAAAGAAAGACCTTTTTAAGTTGTAAGTTCTTGAAATTTTAATGGTATAAAGTCCTTGACATTTTTCAAAGATGCTTATTTATGATTCTCCCTTATAATTAAATACAAAACGAACGATAACATGGATTATATTGGAGTAGCAATGTAGCAGTGAGGGTCATGAAGACAAGAGGGAAGGGGCCCGAAAGATGTGTAGGCCCACGGGCTCAGTAGCAGAGCAGGGGTAGTCACAGTCATCTCCTCGCACGAAATGGGAGAACAAGGCAAGGGGCCCACAAGGAATGGAAGATGAGTGAGGTGTCGAATGAAGCAGAAGAGAAAAGAAACAGGGCGGGTTAGTGATAGGTTGGAGGAGATGATTGGAATGAGAGGAGAAACAGAAGACGCACATACCCAGATGAGAGGTTCCCCAACCCACATAGGCCCAACCAGACACGCCTTGATCCTGTCCCAGACAACCATCATACGACCCTTAACCCTTGGGGAGGGGAGGGTTCAGTACTATCTTCCTTATTATTGCATCCCTTCCTCTTTTCAATATTATTTGGTATTATGGTTCTATTCCAAGCTCCTTTGCATGCATTCCTACTTATCCCCATACCTAACTCACTGATTTCAAACAATTACCACATAACTAATGCTTCCATTATTTATTATTTACATGTTTTTTTTTTTTAATTTATATTATATGATGTAAAAGGGAACATAATAATAAGCAAAAAAGAAGCATGGTTAGAAAAGGATGGTACTCGGAGAGTGCGGCACATGGGGGAGGCGTGTGGGCAGTTCATCAATGATAAATAAGTGCCAAACGAATAATTATATGCACTCTCAGATATGCGTAGCCCACACGCTCACCCCCCCCCCCCCCTTTCCGCCTTTCCATTTCTTCTCTCTTTCTAATTTCTCGTTTGCTTTCATCCATCACTTACATTTTCCCCGCATTATTTTGTATCGAACTTTCACAATTTATTCAACATTGTTTGATCTTCTAAAACGGACAAAGAAGGACAGTGCATGTAAATCTTCTTCATTATTATCTATCAATTTTTTCTTCTTTTTTTCTGTCATCACGTTGAAAGAGTTTATGCAAAGAAATAATTTTTGTAAACGGATGAAGAAAGAGAGGAAGAAGAAGAGCACTTGGAGCGAACTGGGAGAATAAATTGAGTGAAAGGCAGACGAACAACATCACATGCATGGGGCTCACACCGTGGAGAGAGCTTTATTCCCAATCAATGGCCATTCACGGCTCTCCCGCTGTGCACCGTTCCCGTACAACAACACCACAAACGCAAATCCAAATATATTATGTCACCAAAAAAAAAAAGTTTCCTTCCCAACCTAAATTCGTGTCCAGACATAGTCCAAACATGTCCATCACACCCACTGAATATGTCTCCGGCTCCGATCCCCTTACAGTATAGACACGACACCCAGAAAGAAAGAAATAAAGAAAGAAAGATCGATGGAGATTATATATCATGAGATTTTGAAACAAGGTCTCGGCTGTTTTGTTCATTGTCGATACGAAGGATGGGTCCGGAAGCTATATGAGAACCAGAAGACGGGAATGGGCATGTCCATGAGGACGGAAAGGGGCGGCGTGGATGAGCGAGGATCTTTATAATATGTACTACATGCCATCCATACAAACCTTGCAACATGTTGAAAAACAATGGTTCCAGTATACATTACAAGGAATGCCTCGTCACGCTCCCATCCATGCATGAATAATGATCTGTTTGATTGGAGGAAAATGAAGGGAAGGGAAGATTCTAAAAAAGTTCGATATATTTGCTAAAAGTGGAGGATTTTAATTACGCTTTCTGAGTCTTTTAATTTCATAACCCACTTATCCATTTTTAAAAAAAAAAATTTACTAAAATTTCATTTCCCCCCTCCAATCAAACAGGGGGTGAGAAAGAAAACAAAATTCTAAGGAAATCTAGAAGCATCAGTGAAGTTGATGCTATCTTTCTGCACATTGGGATGCAGATGATTAGGTTAAAAGATTATATCCATATTGTGTAATTAGTGAATTGCAAATGAGGGAGGAAGACGAAGGATACTGAAAAAGGGGGAAAGTAAAGTAGATGATGCGTGGAAGGAGGAATAAAATAGAAAAGTAGAGGAGATAAGGTTGGAAAAGGAGAGGTGTTATTGTTGAGGAGAGCATTTAATGGCTGCCATGAGCTTAATTAGAGAAGGCGCGTGGGGGTGGGGACGTCTCAAGCTCACGTATTTCCGACGTAGGATGATAAGCTCATGAGCTTAGTCTTACTTCACCTAATTACTGTGCACAGCTTTGCTTCCTTCCCCATCCTCCAAATCCACACGCACTTACGGGACCAAATTTCTCTTCTTGTTTTTGGATAGGGAAAACGGGAATTATTGGCGAAGGACACAGATGGAGTTGGATGAACAGCGCAGAATAACCAAATATTGGGGAATTAATTAAATGCGAGATTTGATGTAGGAGTAGACTATAAGAAGGGTGAAGATGAAGGAAGCGTGTGTGCTGTTGTGTGTGGGCGGAGGAAATTAAAAAGAAAGCCTTTAAGTAGCTTTGGGAGATAGAATAGTAATGAATGAGAGTGCGACGGGAGTGAGACCACGGGAATTGATTCACTCGTCCACATGCTATGCCATCCCAAGCTTCCCCCATGCACACGTGCACGTGCCCAACCTTTTTCCCATTTTTCCTTCCTCAATTAATTACACTATCATCAATCACATCACCCATTTAATTTTTCTTTCATTACTCCCTCCTCCTATTTCTTTAACTCCGCCGCGCTTCGTCATTCGTAAACTATTAAGATTAATTAAATATTATTGCCTTTCAAGACATGATCAACACTCCCTGTACGTGATGGTTAATTAGTGTCTTGATGGAGAGACAATTAATTAACTACTTAAAATGACGTGTGCTGGGTTTGTCCAGGTAATATGAGGCACGATCTCTTTCTTTCATGAATGACATTGTGTCCCCTGCTTCATCTTCTTATCGTTTATCTCCCAACCAGACGAGAGTCCCTCGCCTTCGCTTTTCCATGTCTTGTACTGTGTCCCCAGCACCCTCCACTGTTTTAACCAACAACAGCCCTGCCTTCAATTTAAACCACACCTTAAAATTCAAACACTAAAATTGAAAACCAAATTATGAGTTTCTGACAATTATAATTCTTTACTTTGTTAGGGCTCAGAACCTTTTTAGGTGGCTCTCTCCGATCCCCCTGAACCCTGGCCCTGGCCCCGGCCCCTCCCTCTCCCTGCGGTATATGCATTGATTTCTTTGTATGATCTATTAATTTGCCTCAACTCTTCATTCCTGAGAGGAAAGTGATATCTAATACCTAATTTTGCAGAGCATATACTAGCCTATTTTCTGACCGTTTGGGCCTAAATTTGGAGCATCAGCCCCAAGACAAGAAGAGAGAGCTAAGACAGACTGCAGGTCCAAGATGAAAACTCGATCCATTTTCAGGAGAGGGATTGTGCACAAGATCGGCTTAATCCTCAAGATTCGTGGCCGCTAGACGTTAGGAACCATTGAGTGGATATGATGTGATTAATTCGTTTAAGAATCACTTTCAGTTTTGAGTTGCAATCAATGCAACTGTGTATTTTTATTATCACCATCAATTCAAAAACAAATTCTGTTCTAATCTCTTCACATTTTCACATATAAGTAAACCATAGTTAAGGGAGGTGGGGGACCTTATTGTTACCCCTAATAATCAACGTCTTTAGCACACTTAATATTTATTATTTTTGCTAAGAAGAGTTTGTGGCAAGGACAACAAAATTGATGAGGTATGTGCTGATTCTTATAAACCAGAAGAAAGCTCTACGCTCGCAGTGTTATAGCTATTGGCACCCAATACTAAAACAAGTGTACATCATGAGTACGTAGTATCAATGACCACAAGCAACAGCAGCATGAGCTCTAATTCAAAGGCAAGTAGCAAAAACATATTATAACCAATCGCAGAGGCACTGTGAGGAATTCGGAAATTTTATTTACATGTGAATACACGCACCCCAAAAAATAAAAAAAATGTAATATTTTTATTTATCATTCATAATTATTTTTAAACTAATATGATTATGTATTTAAAAAATATTATGTATTTTGAAGTATTTTTATCTTATAATTTTTTCAGATTATAAAATTATTTTAATGAAATCACTTATTTTAAATATTTAAAAAAAATAAAAAAAAGCTAACAATACAGTATGTGTTAATGTTTTTTAATAAATTCCCCCCGGGGTTCTGTACCCTGGTTCCACCCGTGTCTTGTAGGGGTTTTAACTTTGACAAATCATGTGACTGGTTACAATGTCTTGATCAAGAGACAGTTAAGCTTGATATGCAAGTACTTATGCTGAGTTTGTGTAGCTAATGCTCCTTTATACAATCTTTTTTTCTTCCATCCATAATATTGTATTCTCTGATTCATCTTTTCAATTATTCCCTCCATCCTTATATATAAGATATTTTTAATTGAATCACACAAATCAATAAAAATTAATTATCTATTTAAAAGTATAGCAATATTTTAATTTTACCGCTAAGTATTATAAATAAAAATAAATATCTTTTTTTAAAGTAAATTAATAAGAGTACTTTTTTTAATTTAATAAAAGTATAATATCTATTTATTAAAAAATATGTTAACAATTTTTTATATTTAAAAATTAAAAAAATTTATAAAATTTTTTATATATAAAAACGGAAGGAATATCTCCCAACGAAACGAGATTCCCTCATGTTCTTTCGCTGGTCCTCACTTTCTAATATATCTTATACTGTGTTCCCAATGATATAAAGTCTAACTTTCTTTGCACCATGATATAAGATATTATTAACTACTTCATCTTAAAAAAAAAAAAACAACAACAACAACGGGACTTGAACCACCTTTAATGCAAACACTGAAATTGAGTTTCTGAGCAAGGCTTGTTTGGGGGGCGGGGGGGGGGAGTTAATTAGACTCCGCCCACCAGCAAGTATAAATAACCATAACTTCTTCCTTTCTCTCTTCCTTTTTTTTTATGTTAATTCAATTGAATTATATTCAAAAGTTCTGTTTTGAGTAATACATACTACTATAATTTTGTTTATAAGGTAAAAAAAATAAAAAAAATAATCTTATTTATAAGACATTTAATAATTCTCAATGTTTATTTTTACATTTTTTTTCCTTTACTAAATGCTTTAACTAAAAATATCACTAATAAGATTTAAGAATATTTATTAAAAGTAAAAGTAAAAACTTGTTACTCCCTCCGTATAAAAATATAAGACATTTTTTCAGGAGTTAAATGTTAAAAAATGTAAGACATTCTTAATCTTTCAAGATGTAATTATTGCCTTCTTTTTAAAAGTGCCGTTATTGATAATGACTTTATATTTATTATAAAGTATTTAATAGTAATAAATATAAAAAGATAGGGTTAGTTTGAAAGTGCATAACTACTTTATTGGGGTGAAATTTAATTAAAAATGTCTTACATTTTTTAACAAAGGGAGTAAATTTTAAGATAAAATCATTGAGAATTGAGGTTTTTTTTAATTTTAATAAAATATATTAAAAGTAATTTATAAATAAAAAAAGAGGGAGCGGCATATAAATAATCTCAGGTGCAATCATGTAATACTCATGGTAATATGCTCCAAACAAGTTATGAAAAGCTTAATCAAGCCCGTAACGCATGTATTAACATTACTTTCCATTAATACAAATACTAATATCACTTATATTAATGCAACATATTTAGTACACATTAATTGATCATACCAATTAGTATTTAGTAATGAAAAATGAAAGGTTAGACAGGAAAATAATAAAAAAATTTTAAAAGAATCAATTAATTTAAATTAAATTTTAAATATTAAATTTTAAAAATTACAAGTTCATTTCTTAATTTTGCAACTGTGTTATCATGAATTTACAACTTATTTTTCAGATTTTAACATAATTGAAAAATAAAAAATTTATTTTTTTATTAACATTTAAAATATAAGTTATAAATTTATCACAATAAAATTATAAAATTGAGAGATTAAAGGCTTATTTGATTTCTGTTCTCATTTTTTATTTTTAAAAAAATATTTTGTAATATGATTTTTAAAATTATCTTTAAAACAATAAAATAAACATTCATTTGGTTATATTAATTAAAAAATGAATTGACAGTGATGGTTATAAATATTTAATGATTATGATTAATAATAAAAATTAATTAAATTAATTATAATTTTTAATAATTAAATGTGTTGTATTTTTAAAATAAACAAATAAAATGAAAACAATTTAAAATTATTTCTATTTTTTTGTTTTTAAAAATAAAAATTTAAAAAATTTAAAAAAATAAATGAAAAGTACTTATCTAAATAAATTTTTTTATTTTTCTATTTTTAAAAAGAAAAACAGTTTTTATGGTTAAAAAACAGAAAATAAACATGTCTTAAGTTTTAAATCCCTAAAATTTAATACTTAATATTCAATTTAAATTAATTAATCTTTTTGAGATGTTTCTCATCCTTTCATGGTTACACATTGTAGCGGGATTTTCCACGGCATTCACTATTTAGTACACTAATAATTTCACCATCTCAGAAAAACTTTGACCGAAGGAACAAAAAAATCATAATGGAAAAGGAAAGCGACGAAGCTGTCCACGTCACTTCACTGATGGAAAACGGAAAGCCCATTCCTCCTTAACCCGTGTTGGGTTAACTTAACCACATCAGGCGGTCATTGCCTAACCCAACTTTCCCGCGGGTCCCCGCGGATTCAATCCCCTAAACTCAGCTCAAAATATTGAAACTAATGCTCACACTTGCATTTTATTTTCAAGGATAATTGAAATAACATTTCATAGGTCCACAATAAATTAATAAATTAAAATAATCCCTCAGCCTGTTTCTCGGGGCCTACCTGTATATATACTGATCACACTCGATGCAAGTTAAACCATTGTAAATTCTCCCCCTCTCCCCCTCTCCCCCAGACAACAAGCACTCTCTGTTTCTGACACTTCTTTCTCAAAAGCTTCGCCAGCAGCAGAATCAGCTGCACACTTAGCAGTGGACTAGCCAAAATTTTGCAGAGACATAAATCCCTTCCTCTAGTTAGTTATCTAACGGTTTTATTTCTTCGTTCCCCATTTTACCCTTTCTTCTCTTCTCACATGACATTTCACCTTCGTCCTCAGTTTCGAAGCCAGGCAAAGCCTTAATTGCTCACCGACTCACACTCAGATCTTATTCTCTTTATAGTTGCTAGGAAAAATGATTACATGGAAGGATTTCTACACCGTTATGTCGGCGGTGGTTCCTCTGTACGTGGCGATGATCTTAGCGTATGGCTCCGTTCGGTGGTGGAAGATATTCTCACCGGACCAGTGCTCCGGCATAAACCGCTTCGTCGCCATCTTCGCCGTTCCTCTCCTTTCCTTCCACTTTATATCCACCAACAATCCTTACGCCATGAACTTACGCTTCATCGCCGCCGACACCCTCCAGAAGATCATCATGCTCTTTGCCCTTGGAATATGGACCAACTTCACCAGGAACGGAAGCCTCGAATGGATGATCACCATTTTCTCTCTCTCGACATTGCCCAACACTCTTGTCATGGGAATTCCTCTGCTGATAGCGATGTACGGCGGTAGTCAATATGACTCAGGTAGTCTCATGGTTCAGATAGTAGTGTTGCAGTGCATTATTTGGTACACACTGTTACTGTTTCTCTTCGAGTACCGTGGAGCCAAGTTGCTGATCATGGAGCAGTTCCCGGAGACGGCAGCGTCAATTGTGTCGTTTAAGGTTGACTCCGACGTCGTCTCACTCGACGGCCGGGACTTTCTGGAGACGGACGCGGAGGTTGGGGACGATGGGAAGCTCCACGTGACGGTGAGGAAGTCCAACGCCTCGAGGCGATCGTTTGCGATGACTCCCCGACCGTCAAACCTCACCGGTGCCGAGATTTACAGCCTGAGCTCTTCGCGGAATCCAACACCTCGGGGTTCGAATTTCAACCACGCAGATTTCTACTCCATGATGGGGTTCCCGAGGCATTCGAACTTCGGCCCTGCGGACTTGTACTCTGTTCAGTCATCGCGGGGCCCGACGCCTAGACCATCCAATTTCGAAGAGAACTGTGCTCCTCCTCCAATGGCTCAGGCCATGAGTTCTCCGAGATTCGGATTCTACCCTGCACAGACGGCGCCGGCGCCGTATCCAGCTCCGAATCCACAATTCTCATCAACCTTGGGAAAGAGTGTGAAGAACCAAAACCAGCAACCACATCCTCAGCAGCATTCCCAGCAGTCTCAAGTGCAAACTCAGACTCAAGGGAAAGCTAGCCATGATGCTAAGGAACTCCACATGTTCGTGTGGAGCTCAAGCGCATCGCCGGTTTCAGAAGGCGGCGGCCTCCACGTGTTTGGCAGTACCGACTTCGCTGGGTCAGAGCAATCTGGACGGTCCGATCAGGGTGCGAAAGAGATCCGGATGATTGTAGCTGATGACCACCCCCCAAATGGGGAAACCAGTAAAGGTATTTCACACATGTAATCTTGGTAAAAAAGAAAGAAAGATTCAGTTAAAGTTAGAATGATGAGATTCACTAATTCTGTATTTACTGGCAAAAAATGAAGCTATGCCGGAGCCGGAGCTTGGCGGCGATGAGTTCAGGTTTCCGGCGAAAGAAGTACCGACAGATCAGGAAGAGAGAGACCAAAAAGAGGGACTCGCTGGGCTGAACAAGCTGGGCTCGAGTTCTACGGCAGAGCTCCACCCGAAAGCTGCTGGAAATGCGGACTCCGGTGTCGGGAAACAAATGCCTCCGGCGAGTGTGATGACCCGTCTGATACTGATAATGGTGTGGAGGAAGCTCATCCGTAATCCCAACACATACTCAAGCCTCATTGGATTAGTTTGGTCCCTCATTGCCTTCAGGTAAATTAATTTTTGAAAACTGAATTAATAATAATCTCTCAAATGATGTAATCATAGTCCATCAAATGTTCCTTGAAAAGCGTAACGCAAAAATTCAACAACCTAAAAGTGAAATAGATAAATAGAGTAACACTAATTATGAAGATGGTTACGAATGATGATTTGATGAAAATGTAGGTGGAATGTGCATATGCCGAAAATAATAGAGAAATCAATCTCCATCTTATCAGATGCCGGGCTCGGAATGGCCATGTTCAGCTTAGGTGAGTGGTCGCCACTACATTTCCAAATTACTACCCTGCTCAACTATTTTGTTCTCTTATATATTCATGAATCGATTCATTAACTTCCTCTTCCATGTACTAGCCACATTTTTTCGGTGCCTTCCAGCCCTCATGCCCATCTCTGTTTTTATTATAAATCAAGAAAGCACAACGTTGTAGCAAGCAATTTCAATCTTCAATGATTTTGAAAAAAATTACCGTGCCATAATTTTACTATATGTTCTCTTTTGAGAAAAATCCGTGAATAACATGAACCAGAAGATTTGAATGTTGATCTGGTTTTACCTGACCACAATGGGGATTGGATAACCGCCTCAAGACGTTACCGACACGTGGGGTCTGATCTTAAACTTCGTCGCTTTGTGGTCCAAAAACAGCGGGCTTTTGAGGGTGATGGTTAATTTATTTTATTTTTCAACAAAAGAAAAATCACATTAAAAAATTCAGTTTGAATATGAATTTATGATTGCTAATTAAAAATGATTGGTAGGTCTGTTTATGGCACTTCAACCTAAGATCATCGCATGTGGGAACTCGGCTGCGACATTTGCCATGGCCGTTCGGTTCCTCACTGGCCCCGCCGTCATGGCCGCGGCTTCCATCGCGGTCGGCCTCCGTGGCACCCTCTTACACATAGCTATTGTTCAGGTAACTAATTCTTTGTCTTGTTTACTTCGTGATGCATCAAATCAAAATCGTATCAGAACTCAAGGGATATAGTTAACTTGTGGAAATGTAATCGTTGGAAACCAGGCTGCACTTCCACAAGGAATTGTCCCGTTTGTATTTGCCAAGGAGTACAATGTTCACCCCGCCATTCTTAGCACAGCGTAAGCTACTCGATCTCCTTATTTTTCTCTTGCTGCGAAAAATTCAAGATACGGGTGAATGAAACTTTGTTAGACATATTACGAAACTAATAGTAATTATAACATCAATATATGAAAATATCAAATAAATATTTTTGTACAGTTTATTAGCACATCGCCCAATTTTCATCTGGGAGAGTGCTATATATATACATACACATTCCCTCTTTCTTATATATCTGGCTTTTACTTGCAGGGTTATATTTGGGATGTTGATAGCACTGCCAATAACTCTAGTCTACTACATACTCCTTGGTCTGTGAGCCGACAAAACAAGGACAAAGTGAATGGCAATTTAAAATATTTGTTAAATTTTGGAGTTAGAACGGATGCTTGCATCATTGATGCCACTAGCTAGTGCAAAATATTCTATTACTAACAGGGAGGAGGATTTTCCGGGTGGAGAGGAGAGGAAATTGCTATTAAAAAAGTGGCCATATTCTTAAAACAGGGGAGATGATTTCAATTCTCAACAATTTTTGGGGGATTTAAGGAAAAGTTTGACTGGTTGGTCCAAATCCTCATGATTTGTGTGCCCTTCCAAAGTGATGTGATTTTTCAGAGACCTCAGGGGAAGGAACTGGAGGAACTAGCTCACAATATGGGAGACAACAAGAGAGGAAAACAGGGGAAAGCTATTATTAGCAGAGTCAAAGATTTCTATAAGCAGTTCCATCTCTATTTGCATTGTAAATTTTATATTTAAAAAAAATGTTACAAGGAGAGTTTGGTTTGGGTCTTCAAGTGACAAAGGTGATTTTAATAATTAGGTGGAAGAAATGAACATTAGAATAGAAGGAGAAGAGTTGCTTTTCTTTATTTCACCTTTTGTTTGGTTTATCTTCCATGTTTTCTTTAAAAATGGAATGCGTTTGCCTTTGATTGTTCACTGTTCGTCCAATTATTTGCTTTTGTCGTCTTCCCCTTCCCATCAAAGCCACTCGAGATTTATTCAAAGGGATTCATTTCAGCTAATAAAAGGAAGATAATGTCTTTCATGCGTCACCTTATATTCAATTATTGTACAAAAATATTTGAACAATAAAACTATCAAACTCTAATCTGATTGAAAAATAATCAAAGGAGAGAGAAAGAAGAGGTTGCCAGATCAATTATGCATTCAACTTTGTTTTACAGAAAAGTTGGGGAAGGATTTTTTTCATTGGGACAAAGACCTGTCACATGATTGTCCTTCTCTAAAATTTTCTGATCAAAGGAGAAGCGAAGAGTGAGAGAAGGAAAGAAAGGGAGAGATGGTGTTTTAAGGCACACACGGTTCCTTCAAGTGAGTGGGGGGTATTGTACTTTTCCTTTTGAGGCCACCTTTTGATGTGAAGTTGAGAGAAAGATAAGATAGGCACGAGGGAGTCAAAAAAGGGCATAAACCCCCCTCTCATGTGCTTTTTTAGGCCACAGTTGATGCGCCCACAACCCTAACCAGGCCATCCCCTTTGTCAAAGAACCGTCAAGTTCATGAGCCCCTTCTCTTAACCAAGAAAATGATGGCTCCTCCATGTTCCATTCAATTAACCTTGGTCTTCTAAAACAAGGTGTGGTTCAGCTCCTCGGTTAGGCTCATCCGGTCACAATAACAAGGGCATTCCAACCCAAACAAGAAGAGGTATAGGAATCTATTTGGTGTCATCCGAAAACAGAGCCTGCCTTAAAGGAGATTGTGATGTTGCTGGCGATTAGGACGATCAGATAAGAAACCGCCGGTAAAAGAACCAACATTAATAGGGTGTTGTTGACCAAGGAATAATTACAACAGAGGGGAACCAACAATAATTATGGAATTTTTTTTTAAACAAAAGAATAATTATGGAATTAAAGAACAAGAAATTTGTGCCTTTTCATTTGCTTTTCTTAAGTAACTACATGTCTTGCAAATCTTTCAACAACCCAACAGGGACTTCCTGTTCGAAGTCGCTATATTCCAGTTTTCTCAGTCTTCCTTTCTCCTATCTTACTGTTTTATTTAGTTGAATTAATACCGGGTAACTAATTAATACCAAAGTGCAGTAGCTTGAAGAAGGGAAGACATACAATAGTGAATAAACTTGATTGTTGGAGAAAGATGACATGACAGGGGAGGATTTGATGAATGAGAAAAGGGCACACTGGGTTACGTAAATTCGTAATTTGACGAATCCTAAGACTTGAGAAGAGCAACATTGTAGCATTGACAGGGAACACAGGCACGGCAACTTGTTGCATTGTGATTATATTACACGATTCCCCTATAATTAAATTGATACCCCCTTTCCACTTTCTCCCTTCCCCTTCCCAACAAGATTCAGTTCTTTGTAATGCCATGCCATGAGCCGCTCCTGCATCAGGAAAATCTCATTAAAGATGGTACATAAAAAAAAAAAAATTATTCAGGAAAGTAATAGGATGGCTTAATGAAATTTGTGAGTTTATTGTGGGAGGGCTGGAAGCAGACAGAAGGGGAGCAAGTGTGAGGTAAGAGAGGGTTGGAGGGCGATTGCATTTGCATTGGGAGTCTGTGGAGAGTCAAAACGGGGTTACAAGGCAAATGAAGACAAAGGAGGTGTCATATTTAAAATAATAGAAAAGAAAAGAAAACAGACAGAGGCCGCTAAATCACGCAACGACCAACATGCACGCATCATTGGCACCGAAAGCGACGTTGGTAACTTGGTGTCACAACACAGCCCGCCCTCGCGGCCATTTCCCTGATTGATTCTCTTCTCAGCCTCGCCCCATGCAATTTTTTTCATTGTTTTCTTTTTATTAAAAAATGTAAAATATTTTTAATTAAATTTTAGTATTAATAAAATAATTAATTATCTTTACTTTTATATAAATATAAAATAATTTATTTATTATGATTACTTTTAAAAAAATATTAATTATACTTTAAAATATTAAAAATGCCTCTTATTCTTTAACATCTAATCCTTCAAAAATGCTTTATATTTTTGAAAAAAGAGTAATATATTTTATTTATTTTATTATAATTAAGAAGATATAATTAAATCATTATAATAATAATGAATTAACTTTCAAAATTCACTCCTACACAAAAACATGAATTAAAAAAATCATAGGAAGTTTTAAATAGGGATGATGATTTAAAAAATAATAACTAATACCCTTCATTTTTATGTAAAGTAATTGATATATAGGACCATCAGATAATACATTTATTATTTTTAATTTAAAACACAATAAGTATTCATATAATTTATTCATAATATTTTTTTTCAATATTCTGAATACTTTAATCGAAATATATTCTTAGTTTATTAAACTCATAAAAGCTTTGTTTTATTTTAGTGAAAACACAAGCAAGATAGTTGGAATTTAAATCTAATGTTACTGTGCGGGTGTTAGTCTCATGCTTAAATGTTATGAATATAATCCATATGACCACAACATAAGTTATTATTAATTAATTTACATTTAAAAAAATTAATGAGAATTTTAATGTTTTTTCAAAAAATTTCCCATCTTCTCAATCATATCTTTGAATTAAATAAATATAACATTAGACTTATTTAAAATATCATCAATAAATACTTGGATGGATTGGATAATAATAAAACAAGGATATAGTAATTAATACATCTTTTATTTAAAAATGTAAGGTATTTTTTGAAGAGTTAGATATTAAAAAATATAAGGCATTTTTAGTCTTTCGAGATATAATCATTTTCTTTTTTTAAAAGTGTCTTATTGATGAATGATTTTATATTTATTGTAGGGTGTTTAATAAGAATAAATATAAAAAGATATAATTAATTTAAAAATAAGTAATTATTTTATTAAAAAATAAAATTTAATTAAAAACATCTTACATTATTAAACAAAAAAATTATATATTATATAAAGGGTCCATCTAATAATTTATATTTTAAATCAAAGTTATTAAAAAAAAAAATAAGGTAACATATGGCAGGCTAGTAGGAGAGGGAGTATAGTTGGGCAGGCAAATGGGGCAGAGTAGGTAGAAGCTCACGTGTGATTCTGCTTCTGATTAGGATTAGTAATTGCTTTGCCCTTAAATCTTGGCCTTCACTGGGCCCCCCCCGCCGCTTATCCGTCTGGCCTCCAATTCTGCCATCTCTTCTTTCCCTCTCTGAAAGTGACTCACCTTCTTCGATTTCTTCTGTGTCTTTTCCCTTTCCTTCATTTTACATTTTCTTTGATTATTCCCATTCCCATACACGATATCCACCTAACTCTGTCCCTTAACAGACTTGGTTGGTCATCCTTGAGTCATGGGTTTGATCGCCTTCTTAATTCATTCATTAGAATCCTCATTATCTGCATTTGAAGTTGACATTTACACTGCTATTTCGGTTTCTCACACTATTGCACGCTCACATATAATAGTAATTGCTGCTCCCCTCTCCCCTACTCCTTATAACATCGTCTGTTATATTTTTAGCTTTCTAAAGGGCTTATCTTCTTCATTTTCTCACCATTTAATTCAAAAATTGGTGTTTCACAATAACCCCAATTCAGGCTTCGGGTAGACTTTTGGTTTTTGGCATGTATTTTTACATTTTTGGGGTGTGGTATTTTTTTTAAAAAAAATAGGGATGTGGGATGTTATTTGATAATTTTATGATCAGGTAAATTAACTTTTTGAATGCACTTGAAAAAATCATTGGAAATGAATTTGGAAACACACATTAATTATTATATTGGAGCTTTTTAAATTAACTTCTTGGTGTTGGATTTTTGAATTTGCCATAATTACTATCCTTATTCCCTTACATTTGTTAGTTCGAGCTCCAACTTTTGGCTTTTTGTGTGTGTGTCAGTAACCTCTTACAATATTTTATTACATGCTTTGTTTTATTTGAATAATGAATACGAAAGATTTTCCATTTAGGTATATCTTACTCTGTGCTTTATATTCCATACATTTTATTGATTTTTGCTTCCTTATTTAATAATTTTATCATATTTTATTAGAGTTTGCAATTCAACTAGATACCAAATTATACATTAAAAATTTAAAAATTAATAATATTAATTTCAATATTAATGCATGTTAAACTATTTATTATATAATTTGTTTCTAATATATCAAACTTATATTTTTATTTTTATTATTTAACATTTCAAATTTTATGTTATTTGGAATGTTTATCACATTTTTTAAGTATTTTTAATATATTATATTTGTATAATAAAAATTACTAATCATAAAAAATTATTATCCTTTTTAGTAATTATATATTCAAAAGAACATTTGGCTATATATAATATAACCAATTTTTAATTTATCAAACTGACTTCTAAAAAAAATATCTAAACTTAAATTTCATTACAACAACTTATTTTTATTAAATTAATTTTTATCAAATAAACTATTAACAAATTAATTTTTTATCAACAAAAAACCAAATATACATTAAATACACCACCGATATCTAATTGATTTTTTTTAGTAACTTTAACAAGACTAGCAATGGTAGATTTCTCGAAAAATATTTTTTTTTTAATTCCATTGAATGTATTGGAAAATTTTACGGTATGACCGATCAACTAATCAATGCTGTTTTACCGGGGCAAAAATCTCGAAATGGAATTATTAAATAAATGATAAACAAAAGTAAAATCATATTGAAAACTAAAGTGGGAAAAGCAGGAAATTAAAAGAAATGATTAAAGTTAAAGCAAAATGAGAATATGGAGAGGGGTATTAATTGAAAGGTGAGGGGGGCTAATAATGAAGGTGTGGATGGTGATTTATCAGTACTGTTGTGATAATCCTTCAATCAAGTAACGTGCTCAATCAATCATCAATGGCAACACGAACCGAGTCATTATGCCTTCCATCCCAAACGACAATTAATTTCCATGCATTTATATGCCAAAGCCATATCTACACACTGCTCCTTTATTTGTGACTCATCATATATTTTTTCGTTATTTGTTCCTCCTGGTCTGGAAAACACGGCAGAATTATCAAACCATATGTGTGTACCTATGTCCCCATCTCCTTGTCTGCTTGTAATCATCACGAACTTCGCATATTAAACATTACCGTATACATGCATATTCTCACTACGTTGTTTTCTCCAGCAACCTTCGCAAAAGACACTCGCGTCTCTCTCATATTGTCCCTCGTTTATTTTCCCCACTTTATCCTCGGGCTTTTGGACACGCGTTGCTATCTCTAATACCATTCCCTAATTAATTAACTGATTTATTTATTTTTAATCAGATTAATTATAAGATTCTGTTAATTGAAATATAGTTAGGTAAATTGACCACTACCGGTTGATGGTGGTGCTAATTTTTTTTCTTAATATATATCTGCAAGTTCAATTCATTAATTTCACGATCGAGCTGAAATGTGAGTGGAGAAGAGCCATTCTGTTGTCATATTAAATGTGAATTTTTGTGACGGCTTTCTTCCTTTCGTGTTTCGCCAATGAATGTGTGTTGGGAGGGGGGGGACAAGAATTGAATTGAAGAGAATGATAGTCATTTTAATGTAATTAAGCTTATTGATGTATACTCCTTATCTTTTATCTATTCCTCCAAATATTCTTATCCATGAAAAAATTGATGTCTTAGATTTGCTTTTAATATATAAGATGAGGTTTCTTGTCCAAACTGGCTAGAGAGGTCCAAGTTTTCGATCAGAGCCTCGTTGTCAGTCCTATATATTAACTGCAAATCTATGTGCTCCCACAGAAAAGCTAGGCATGGGCCAAGGAAGTTATAAACACAAACGTAGCAAGTTTACAGATGAATTATTCTGAGAAATGGGTGAGACTGTCAACAGTGAAATATATACATGCAATTTGAACTCGTCAAATGAATCTTGTGTGGCAAACTTAAAACTTATCCATGATTTAAGAATAAGACCTGAGAGGTGTTATTTAGACAAGGAATTCAAAGCCATATCATGAAGGATAAACGGGGCCCGTGCTTCTGTGGTTGCCCATACAGGCTTCATGTGACGGAAACCAAACATGGCGTGGTGTATATCTTGCATTAATTATTGCACACTTGGGAGGAAAGAGGGAGGAACTGAATTCCAACTAAAGGTAGGGTCAAAGAGGCGGAGATGAGAATGAAGTTAAAGCAAAAACTGATCACAGGCTGTAGTTGTAGGCTTTGAACGAATCTGATCGATTAGGTTTTGAATGCCTCTTTATTTCACATGGACCCCTCACTTTGACATCAACTACCATCACCAGGTCCTACCATTTTAGTCCCACTTTCTGGATCTTTTTCATTACCTGGCGATGCAAGGTGTGATAAAGAAAGTGAGAAAGAGAGGAACGGATCATGACTGTCAGAAATCTGCAAAGGAGAGAGCTATATAAATGTCCCCACCAGACATATATGGCATGCTACGGATAATTAAGAGAATGCCCCTTAGATCGATATGTACAAAGTACAACAAGGCTAGCTTGTATTATACATTTGACAGTTTCAGAAAGTCATAAACTACTTTCCCTGTTGCGTCTGACAGTCAGGATATGGCTTATCAACCACACATACCTGTCACCGGAAACAATTCAGGGAACCTGATATCATTAACACTACTTGAAAATTTTGCATCGAGGTCTTGTCTGTAGTCATCGTAACTGTGAAATTATCGAGTTCTAGCTTGTTATCTCATAGTACAGGCTACTTGGGTGTATATAATTAATGAGATATAGTCGTTTGAGCGACTATTTTTCTTCACTAAATTTTAAACCATACTAATGAAGATGGGAATTGAAGTTTGAAAAAGTGATGATTGCAATCACCCAATAGTAAAAGGGCCAGAAGAGTGGAGAGACGTAGTAAGAGGGGGGAGACAACCTACTATTAAATAATTAATAAGGTGGGGATGGCTGAAAACGAAAGGGTAGTCCCGTGGATACATGGCTTAGCCCTCGTGTGCGTGGCCTCATGTTGCAGCAGACATATATAGTAGACCCATACACACAACACATGGGAGGATTTGAGTGGCCATTGTGGAAGTACAGAAAGCGATGCATATTAGAATATTGGAGAACTCCTGGGAGCATTTAATCTGATGAAGCAAGAAAATGCAAGGGTGGGAAAGAATTTATTCAGGTGAAGAAGAAGGAGAAACAAAGTAAGAGAGTATGCTGAAGAAGAGAGAGTGGGAAGAAAAGATAATAAAGGAGCCTTGTAGGGGAACCACGGACATGAGCCAGGCGGGCGTGGTCCATGATTGAAACCTTCGATCATGTTGTTGACAGAGAAGGATCACGCAGAGACAAAAGTGATGATGGGGAATTCAATGAGCGCCGCGATATTTGCTGACATGTCTCCCCAAACCCCCAGAGCCCATTGACCCATTCTTGAGGGGTCAGGCCTGTTCCAGAGCATACACGAATCCATTCACAACAATTGGGCCTCCACCTCTCTTGCCCATATATTAGCAACCGCCGCTCTAAATTTGTCGTCCTTCTCTTCAATCTGCAGTGTCAGGCACAGAATGTGCCCCGGAAGCTTAAATTCGTTACTGGTGTCAATTATGGGCCCGAGTACAACTCCTTCATCATAACCAAATTAGACTTATTATATATCAAGCATTCATGCTGAAGGATTCATGAACTTGAGTCTTGGATTTTTTTAGTTACATCAATTCACTGATCATTTACTAATTGGATTCTCTCCTGTTTCGGTCGTCACTTCTGCATTCCTAGTAGTTAATTCTTTTTTCTCTGTTTTTTAAAAAATAGATTGCATTTATCAAAGTCATGAAACGAGGAACGTTATTTTTTATCCTGGGTGGAAAGCAATGAACGTTATTCCTGCTACCTTTTGATGACTCGGGCTTATTTATAAAAGAAGAAAGTGACGGACGATGAGATTTAAAAAAATCTAGAGATGTCAGCAGGCGAAGGAGGGGGAGCGAAGGTCGTTGAAAAATTGTTTGCCGGTGAAAGCATTTGGATGAATCAACGTTAGTTATAATCCAAACCGGAGGATCTATCATCTATAAATGGAGTGGATGCTGGTGGAGAAGTTGGAGCCTGCTTATTGGCCGCAGAAGCAACAATCTTATCTACGCTGCTTGCATCAACATGATCCTGTTGTTTCTCATCAGTACCCCCATTAGTGCCAATTTTCCTGGGCAGTCAGATCAGTACTGAGTCCTCATCCAACGGTCAAACATACTCCACGTGCAATGTACCATTAGATTGTCTAAGTGTAATTGAACCTAAACAAATATGAGAAATCTCATATAAAATAAAGTTGAAATTAATAATTAATACAAAATAAAGATAAATGATACATAAACTTGAGTTTTAAGATTTTGAATTAAGATATTACATTCTTCCATTAATCTTGCTTGTCTCTTTTCTTCCCTTGTTTTCAAGGGATTACTCCTCATTGCTAACAAATGCTTCTTGTCAATTAAAACCCTTTAGAAATTTTATTTCTGCCCAATGTGAAACTTATGTTACGCGCTATACTAAGTTTTCAAACTGCCTCTTAGAGTAAACCAAAACACTTGCAACTTCATCATGACCGCAAAAGAAAAGGAGCACCCAGAATCTTCTCTTTTCCCAGTTAATAATCCCTCATCTTTACCCATTAATAGTCGCGACTATGTAAAAATGTTGCATCTATCACATAATTTGTACTTCCACTAACAATTAAATAAAGAGTTACATCAATAAAACAACAATCTTAATAATGTCAAACCTTAGTTATGCATATTTATATAATTAACTCAAGTTCTGTTGAATATTTTGATGAAACCTTGATATAGTAATTTGAATTTCTTAAGACAAAAGGAAGATACATCATCTCTGGTTATTTTCTGCATTTTCTTTCTTCTCAGCAGCTTTCCAAATTATCCACCCTCTCCTCATCTCCTCTGTTTTTCCCTCCACTGCATACAATAACCACACGCATAGCAGAAATCTCATCCAAGTACAGAAAAGAGAGATTCAAATAATTACTGCAAATTAAATACTCTAAACCCTCATTTCAAGACTACAGCTTAACAAATACATCAAGTTGTTCGCTGAAATTTTTATTACACAAGGAGAGAAGTCAGAGACAAAAAGCAGGTCGCGGCAATCATCATCCCCGTCCATCTGTGCAGAGCAGGTGCTTCCGACGTGTCATCTGTCCTGTGAGGAGGCTTCCTATAGTAAAACGGAAAGTAAGGCAGAATCGGATCAGGAGGTGGTGGGGTCACACCTGAACCGCCGTTAAAGTCGCCGCCATAGGGAGGTGGAGGGGTGTAAGGGTAATAACCAGAAGGGGGTGAATATGAGGAGACAGACTGAGGCGGTGCCGGCGGAGCTGGGGTGACGGAAGGAGTTGCGGGAGTGGCGCCGGGGATGGGGGGCGGGTAACATGGATATGGACATGGCTCGTCGGATATCGAGATGCTGGGAAAACTGAGGAGGATTGTTACGGAGAAGAAAACCAAGGAAGCGAATTGGGACATGTTGAGGAAGAAGGAAAATCAAGGGAAAGTGAAGGAAAATTATAAAGGTTGGTGGAGAGAAAATTCAAGCTGGGACAGTGAATTTAGAACAAAGAAGGCGAGAGTGACGAGGATATGGAGGGTTGGTTGGTGCAGCGTCGTGATGAATCATAGGAAGAAAAGGGAGAGAGTGATTAAAAGTTTTGAAAACGAAGTTGTAGCTGCCACTAGATGCTTTTTTGGTAAATGTTGAGCAGGAAATTAAACAACTACTACAGTCACGCTTGGGCTCACATGCCCTTGGAAGTCTTGATCCTGCTAATTATTATCCCTTTTTAACTCTAATTATAAGAATCATAAAAAAGTAATAACTATTATATATAAAGTTAATTTCTTTTTGTACAGTCCAAAAAATTTGTGATCTAGTCTTTGTTACTTACTAAGTTTTTCTCCAAGCAATTAAAAATTATTGAATAGTCCAACAGCTGATTGTGATTGCGGATATTAAGAAGGGGTAGAGTTTCTATCAATAAATAAATAAATGGAAGTTGTAAATTGTAATAGAAGGAAATTTTTATTGGGTTGTTGGCGGAGAATAACAATCATTGCACATGATGCATCTGCAAATGTTGAGAAAGTTTGCATGTATATATGTATGTATTTAAAATATAAATTGCTTATGTAGTAACCTAATTATGGTTTTCTTGAAGCTTCTAAACCACAAGTAGCAATTGATGATTAGCTAAATTGGAAAATAAGCATGAGTAATTACTTGCTAACTTTAAAACCAGATCACACTTCTAAAAAAAAAAAAAGCATATCAAACTCGTATGCGCAAAATATTTTTATGAACTCTATCTGTGTTTTTTTTTTTTGGGGCCTTGCTTAAAATTTACTTTTTGAATTGGTTTCAATTATTTTTCGGGTTGAACTTGTAAACTTTTAAGCCCAGGATCATCAAGTCTATCAAACGTCATGAGAACTAATTTGATTGTTTAAGATAACAAAGTTGTAGGATCAATGCATGACGTTGATAGTGAAAGGGGGGAAAAGAAAAGAGAAGGCACAAAAAGTTGTGCTTTTCCGATCTGGCATTTCTTAAGTGATAAGGCTTTCTTCTTGTTTTGAAGTAAAGCAAAAATAATTGTAGCCAAAAGTAGTTATTAAAGTTGTTTAATCAATTAATGGAATTACGAAACATGATCGTCTAATGAATAAATTGAAAACCATCACAATTATAGATATGAAATTTATGAATATCAGAATTTTGAATCTAGATGTGAATAAATTGTCACAGCCAATGCATATGACATGTTTGTTGTGGCCAACGAAGTATTCCACCATAATGCACATGATAGCATAGAAAAGATAACAATTAAAATTTAACTTTTGAAATGCATAATTTTCAGCTCAAACCTTTAATTAAGGTTATTTAAGCATCTATACATAGACAAGTAAACACTCTAATTAATGGATTTAATTTCACCTCAATTCGATATGAAGTGAGGATCTTGAAACACTTGGAGTTAAAATATACTTGTCACATTTATAACTTATCAATCAAGTATATTCCCTCCATAATTAGCTACTAGCCACCACAATCATATCCAACATAAATCATAATCAAACCTTACATATTTAACTTCTCAACATGCTAATTCATTTGAGAATCATAATTTAATCATACATTTACACATTTGGCCTCAACTCCAAAAATGGGGCTACATATAAGTGATAAATATAATCTAACCATAAAGCCCATAATATTAGTAATAATAAGTATTCAAATACATAAACTAAATAATTAGAACTTTACTTATGAACCCATGCTTCTCTGGTCTTTGATGCATCTCCCCTCAGCCTTTCTCTTAGTGTCACCTAAAAAAGTGTCAACAAACGAGAGTGAGATTATACAATTTTAATAACCAAAGTACATAAATTCAAATACATAAAAGCATGACAAATACAAGCACATAAAACAAAGATTAACATTTAACATTCCTTTGATATTCAACATATATCATAAAACTATTAATCATTAATCACACGCATATAATTCAATGATGTCATTTATGCATGATCATATGCAATTCATCCTTATTCATTTTCTAACTGAATCTATGAGCTATCATATAAGACTAACTTGTATGATTGGATTAGGCCACTCTCTAATTATGAGGGGTTACTTGGCCAATGTACTCACTCCCTACTCTCAAACCTTCTTGAATTTCTAGGATATCATAGTTGCTTGACCCTCACCGTCCCTTATAGGAAGTTGGTGGTCTCAAGCGGCATGCTCACACATGTCATTCCTAAAGGACAATGGACATAAATGCACCTAAATCAACTATGCCAACCACCATGTGCAAATATCAATGGAGGCTACATCACGTGAAATTTTCACATTGCCCTTTCTTACTAGGGTAAACTCCTACCCTTCCATAATCATGTAACATACTCATGTTATTCAATGATACATTATAATATAAAATTAATTAACTTATCTCATAATTAAGCACATACTATCAAGTCAAGAAAACATAACCAATACTCAATTTCATGCCATAATCATATGCTTATGCTTATCATAATACTAAGCATTCACTTAAGCATATATTATAACTTGATCATATAACTAAACTAATAATAGCCACATAATTCTCAATAATCAATACCAACATACTAACATATTTTATATCATCAAATTCATCGTAATCAATAATATGTAGCTCATAATTACAAACAATAATTATTTATAAAAATTTAACTCCTGGTTACCTTAATCCTTAAGGCTTAGGCTACCACTTTAAGAGTTTGATCTTGATTCTAAGGGAGCTTTGAAGCAATCAATATATAGATTGAGATTAACATACATCATTAATGATTAATTGTTATTAATTAGCCTTAATCATAGTTAAGGTCTTAAACCCTCGTTAAGCATGATTAAGCAAAAATCAATCTCAAAACTCATTTTCATTAACTTATTTATCTTCCATTAAGGTCAATAGACATTATTAGCTAATCTCATTAGCTTGAACTTAATTATTTAACATTATTGTTAACTTTTTAAACCCATTATTAACAACTCTAACTATTACCATTAGCAAAACCCAAGGATTAGAAAGTTAAATAACCATCATTAGATTCTACTGAAGTTATTAGAGTAAGATGTGTCTGCCATTATGCATAACAACTCCCATAACTAGAAAACTCCTAAGACTAATTAAGAAGGAGGAGGAAGAGTGGAAGAGGAACCTTAACCAAGGATTAGATGGCTTGAAACTACCTCCAATGGCAAACCCTGGTAAAGCTCCACCCTTCCTTTCATGTTCTCTTTCAAAATTTCTTACCATTTTACTATCTGAAACACATCTCGTAAGTTAATTTGTGCCTAAAGTAGCCCAATGAGTCCTCTAGTCCCTTCTAAGCCTCATATAAGGTTTAATGGACCTAAAGGCCATCTAGTTACTCTAACTAATTCAATTAAGACCCGAGTTAATTCATCTTACTGTTAATTAATTTAAATTAATATTATTTTAAATTTCAGGATGTTACATGTACAATGTGAAAGCAAGCAACAGGTAGAGTGACAAGAGCTTTAATGAGTTTCTTGCAACTCTTAAAGTAATGTTATGCTAAGTGAATGAGCTTCATATTAACATATATGAAGCAAAACAAATGTTACTTGCTATTGGCATGACTTATAAAAAGATTCATACTTGTCTAAATGAATGTATATTATTTAGAAATGAATATGTATCACTAATTAAGTATCTAAAATAGGTAAGTTTAAGTGTGATTGTGAGCTTATGGCACTTGGTTGTAATTTTAGACATCCTAATTATGTTTTGAAAGCATAAATGGGTAAGTTCTTATTTTAGTGTCCAACTTTTGATTGAAAAATGATTTGAATATGAAACTAGTGCCATTAGTTAGAGTTTAAAAAAAAGCTTTCCGTAGATATTTAGACTACTTCAATCAGATATCAGACGGAGTAGTGGGGCTTGTCAAAAATTTGACTAGAAAATCTGCCGTTGCTGTCATGTGTTTTTGCATTTAATGCTACAACATAAATTTTGATTCTGTAACGTATTATGCCAAAATCACTATTTTTATTTTTTTTACCCCAATTTGTTGTTATCTTACTTGTATGATAATCATGTTTCCGTATACATGTTTTACTCTAATTTTAATTTATGAAATAATTTTTTTAGCATGTTAAGTTTTGAAAACTTAAAATTTCATTTATGTAAATTTTATAAATTTAATAATTTACTTGGGTTAGTCTTGTAATTACCTCAATTATAGAGTTAATTATGGATTAGTAAAGAAAATCTTACATTATTCATGCTACTTTCAGGGCTAAAACAACCCAAAAATGACAGACATTTGCTTGACTCTTTTAATTAAAGATTTAAATTATTATAGGAGATAAGTGTTGAGGTGTATCATAGGTACGGGAAAGAAAAAATTTAATTTGAGAGTCTTGCTATTTGGTATCATAAATGACTTTTCGGCATATGATAATTTGTCAAAGTATAGTATCAAATAAAAACTTGAATGTCTTATTTGTGAAAAAAATACAAATTCAATTAGGTTGAAGCATAGTATGAAGAACACTTATATGGGCATCACAAATAGTTGTGTCAAAGTCATTATTATTAGTTATTGAAGAAATCTTTCAATGAGAATTCACAAAAACAAAGAAACCAATTAAAGTAGCAATTGATGATTAGCTAAAGTGGTAAACAAGCATTAGTGTAATTATTTGCTGACTTTAAAACCAGATCACACTTTTTAAAGAACATATCAAACTCGTATGCAGAAAATACTTTTTTCTTCATGAGCTCTCCCTCTCTCTCTGCTTTTTTTTCCTTGGGCCTTGCTTAAAATTTATTTTTTGAATTCGTTTTCAATTATTTTCAGGGTTGAACTTATCAAACCAGGTAAACTTTTAAGCTCATGATCATCAAGTCTGTCAAACGCCATAAAATCTAATTAGATTGTTTAAGATAAAAAAAAAAAAGTCACAGGATCAGTGCAAGAGAGTGTTGGAGAAAGTGATAGGGGTTTCCTTGGAGAGGAGCAAGCATGGATTTCCATGATCCCGAGTGATAGAAACTGGTCAAAGTGTTTGATTGGCGTGTGTTCTCACAAGAAAAACGATGCTTCCCTTCAACGAAAGATCCAGAATCATCATCATCATCGTGCTTTTCCAGTTTCATCCCATTTGAGAGAACGCCAATTAAGATTTGTGCTGTAATATCCCTGCATTGGAT